TATCCAAACAAAGCATAAAGTATAATCTTTGTACCAAACAGTTGTTCACTTTTTATCTAAAGTACAATTAATAATTGAAAAATCTAAAGTACAACTAATTATTGAAAAATCTTGACTGAATCTATTATTATTATTATTATTATTATTATTATTTGCACAAAAATCTTCTATAATCTCTGCTTGTAAATTCTGTCCATTTAAATTTAATCTAATAAATCCTAACAATTATAATAATGGACCTTGGTACCACAATCCATCATAATGCCTCTTAAACAAATATTTTTTTTTCAAGAAATGAAATTAAAAATAAAAAATATAAGGAAAACAAAAGAAAAATAGAGATTTCATTTAAAGTCTTTCATTTAAAGTCGAAAGGTAAAAACTTTTATACAAATAGACAAAATATATGGATAAATAAATACTAAATAAATAAACTAAAATAAGTTATCAAAATAGTAAATTTTCATAAAACTTTTTTGAGTGAATTTATATAATTCAGTTTTTATTATTTATTCTGATTTTATTACTATTATTTATAATTAATTGTTTTGCTTATTTTAATTATTATCAATTATTATATTTTTAATATTTAATTATTTTAATATTAGGTTCTATTTGGTGGATCAATCATCTCGTCAAGGAATATTTTGTAATATCTTTATTTTCTTTTCCAATTTCAAATTAGAATTCTATATTTCTAATATTCTAATTATATATATACTATTTAAATTATATTTTTATTTCTATATTATTACTATATCATGTTTATATTATATTATATTTATATGTTTATTTTTTTATATTTTTTTCTATATCACGTGTTTATTGCAATTTATGTGTACCATGTATGTTTTCGTATGCCAAGTCAAGGAGGATTGAGAACCACTAGACTAGTAGTTGTCTGATTTTCAAATTAATTTTGTTTCTTATAAGGTTAAATAACTATAATTAGTCCAGCAAATCAAGACATAGCTCGGTAGAAAATGTATTTACGACCTGACTATACCTCTAGGTTCAAATAAATTAATTTAGATGATACTTGTTTAATGCTGAATAATTTTTAACATAAACATTTTATTCACAATAGTTTGTATCAAAATTAAATTTGAATAATTGTTGAATTATTTTATTTAAATTATATTCTAAAAAATAATATAACAATATATTTTAATAAATATTTTAAAAAATTATAATATCCTCTTTAAAAATAAATTGGTTTATGTTAGTTCTAACACCTATTTTATTATAAAATTTTGAATTATTTCATTATTATTGGGTGCGGGATTTATCTCCCAAAATATAAAATTAATATAGTCTAGCTGGAGTGGTACCCATACTATGGATTACATTTCAATTTTAATTTTAATATGATGAAAAGCACGTCCAGCTAAGAAGTTTAAAAAAACAATTAAAAAATTAAAAGTATTAAAAAGACATTCCAGACCCAAACTCTATGCTTCAATTTGTGATTGGTGTCACCAAAGATGTTGATGCCCATCTTACCAAAGCTTAAACTCCATCATCCATCAATAGAACTGTCTTATATATGTGTGTGTGTGTGTATGTTGAAATAAAGAAGGATAGGGATTAATATTAATTCCTATTTCCTTTCGTGCCCAATAGACTTTTTTTGCATGTGGTTTTGCTTAATCTATTAATGGATGTGAGTTCTGTTAAGGATTTCTCCATTTTGTGCCTGAGTTGATTAAGGGCCTGCTTGGCATGAGATTTTTGGCTACTGGCATATTTTAGAATTAAAATTATATATATATTTGGCTACTGGCATATTTTAGAATTAAAATTATATATATATATGTACACACACATTAGATGCGATCAAGCAAATAATGAACTAATCAAATATATCCTTCTCGCTCCATAATACATCATTTCTATGCTTCCATGTAGTCCATAGAGTCATGCGGAGATTCTGGATATCGTCCAACGAGTTGACATGAAAAACATTGAATATTAAGTTAATTATCTATTATGAATTTAATTCGAATGTGAATTTAATGTTGTTGCGTACTATCCATCAAAATTTATTATATAATTCAAAATTATTTATATAATAAAATGTTTAAAGTAAAAATTTAAGGCTATGTTTGATATGATGTAATCAAACATGTAATGAAATATGAGTTGATTATATTGTTTGGGTAATATGAGTTGATTATATTGTTTGGGTAAGCTATTTTTAAGTCTTATAATATAATTGTGATTATACGTGTAATCTTCATTATTTAAATTGATGTAATATTCATTACTTCAAAAAATCTACATAAAATCTATTACATTCCTCAAAGTCCATATCCATTCTCAACCACCACCACACCACTCCACTACCACCACCACCACCATTACACCACTGCCACCACCACTACACTACCGCCACCATTCTACCACTGCAATCACCATCCCCACCACTCCATTACCACCACTATTGCAACTGCCACCACGATATCATTATTAATTATTCTTTTGTATTGTTATAGGGATAGGAACTCACTAAAAATATCAATATACCATAATTTTATATTGTAATTTAATTTATTAAGCGAAAATATATAAAATTGTAATTGTGTAAAAAAAATTAATTTTCAATGACTTTAACTTTTATTTTTTTATATTCCATTTTTCCGGCTTAATTTTTTTTAATTTTCTACTCCAAATAGTTTATATGTCTAAATAGTCTTTAATAGCTTTGATACAATGAATAACTTTTGATTTAAATATTTCTTTTTTTGTTAATAATAATATGGTGGTTGTCCATGCTCTACTTAATCATACTCTTAATAATTCTGAGCTAGGAGTTTTGCTTTCTAATTGTAGAAACATTTTAGATTTTCGTGTTGATATTTCTGTGCAATTGGTTCGTAGGCAAGCAACTTTGGCAGCTCATACTCTAGCTAGAGCTTCCATTGCTCATTTTTGCTTTCAGGTTAGGAATGATATTCCCGTATATTTGTTGGACTATTATTAAGTTAATGAAGCTTTTGGTTTCTTAAAAAAAAAATAATAATAATATGGTGGTAGTGATGGTAATGGTGATAATAGTGGTGATGGTGATGGTAATGGTGAAGTGATGGTGATGGTGGTAGAGTTGTAGTTGTAGCGGTGGTGGAGGTGGAGTGATGTTGGTGGCGGTGGTGATGGTGGTGATATTTTAATTACATTACATGTTTATGAACAAACATAAAAATTGAATGGTGATTACATTTCATAAATTTTTTTAGTTACATTACACTTTTCATTGCATTCGTTTGGTAATTAAATTTTAATTACATTCCATATCATGACACTTTTAATCACATTAGATCTTTGATTATATTACATTGTATTAAACCAAACATAGCTTACCGCTTATATATTAAGTTTATGAATGGAAACAAAGCGGACATCCTAGCAGTTTGAATTCATTTATTTATAATATTTATGAATTTAAAATTTATTTTAATTTTTTTATAATTTTGTAGTGACGAAATATCCCAAATGATTAGCCAATATAGTTTCTGTTCCGAAAATCAGTAAGTTTCTATTTGATAATATAGTGAAATCGGTTGTATGTACATATAGAAAGAGTGAATTTTTAAGGGTACCCTACTTGATTTAGATATTAGTTGAATGGGTATATAACTGAGTACGAACATTAAAAGATGGATATAGATATAGATTTGAGTATCGAAAGCAGATCTAAGTGGGATGGTGTAAATTCTGCAAAGTACGTGTCCCATCTTTATCCCTAACTTATAAAGAAGAAAAAGAATTCTGAACGGTGCCATAGAGTGTGTATATGTATATATATGAAATTTGTATAATTAAATAAACAAGTAATGATACTTTTTTGATAAAACAAACAAGTATGACTGATTACTGTTCAATTTCTAGTGTAAGAAATCTTACCGTTATTTATAATATCTATAAATAACGCATATAAAGCAAAATTATTTGCAGAGTTTTGAACATGCAGAAGCATGACGAGCATGCAAGGATGATTAGAAAATAGGTAAAGGAAGAAGATGGGATCAGGATTCAGGAGGGATCTAGAATATACACGTCACTTCTTTTTCTATATATATCACTTCTTTTTCTATATATATCACCAACACAACGTCAGATGGCCTTTGATAAAGAAAGGAGCGGATAGTGTAGCGTCACACTTTAATTAATTTCTTATTGGCAGTTGGATTCATTATTAAGAAACTGAATAGTAACAAATCCTTTGATTTGATTGATTTATACACTTAATTAGTAACAAATCCTTTGATTTGATTGATTTTATACACTAAATAGAGTCAAAATTTTAATCATTAGCAATTGATATCAGGATCATTTTTGAAGCATTTTCATATTAATTGTTGATTTGTATTATATTTAAATTATATTAAACTTATAAAAATGAGAAAAATTTCTTTTTCAATTTAATAATTTTATGTGATTATTTTATTTATAATTATTTAAAATAATTTAATTGCTCAATATGAATAAATTAAATTTTAGACTTAATAGCCAAAACTTGCAAAAGAAGTTCGAAATGTGTTTAATTAGCCTAAAAAACATATACATATATATGATCATACATAATAATTTTTTTAATTTCTTTCTTTATTCAATTTCTTTTTTATACACTAGAAAACTTAATTTGCATCAATTTGATTCAGTAGTTGTGTTTGTCCAACTAAAACATTATCTTCCTTATATCAAGAGTTATTTTTAGTACCAACATATTGGTCCACCAATAATTTAGGAAATATAAAAAAAATATTATTGCATAATTTTCATACAATTATAATAAATAATTTTTAAGGATGAGACTATTAATAATTTTTATCTATTAATAAATTTTAGTTATGATAAAAAAAAAAAAAGTACCAACATATTGGTCCACCAATAATTTAGGAAATATAAAAAAAATATTATTGCATAATTTTCATACAATTATAATAAATAATTTTTAAGGATGAGACTATTAATAATTTTTATCTATTAATAAATTTTAGTTATGATAAAAAAAAAAAAAGAACAGTGATATAAATTTTACAGCCTCATGTAATCATTTTGCAAGTCCAGTTTTGGCATAGTTGTCAATTTGAGTGATATCTAGGAATTTGTCCACTCCACTTGCCAGAAGAAACCTGAAAAAAAGATTCAACAAACAATGGTAAAGCAAGGCAAAAGTGCAGAAAAATTAAATAGTTGTATTATGGTAGAAGAGCAAAACGAATACTTGTCTCTAAGAAGTTTTGCCATAAAATGGCATCCTCCAACCACCATTGATTGCATATTTACCGCAATGTTCGGATTATGAATGCTCTGCCTCAGGTGTACCCATCCGTATTCTCCATTTTCTTTGTTTGATACTTTAGCCCTGTTTTGGCAACAATATCGAATAATTTTTAATGACAAAACAATTTACAAACACAAATTCCCACTACTTGTCGTTTTTGTTTTGTTGGCGGGTTTTCTACAGCTTATTGGCAATGGATCCAAGTGCAAAAGCAAGTATTTGTTAATTTGGGCTTTGCTTTAACGTATTAGGTTGTTGGATCTATCTTAACATTAGTTACGTACTGGGCCTTTAAATCAAATTTATTTCCACCAACGAGAACGACAGGTCGGCCCAAAGTGGTAGTGTCGTCAACGTAGAAGTCGTACCTGTACATATAAGCATCAACAGCTGCTGGAGTGTCGTTTGAGTCAACAAGGCAGCCATCGCTTACCCAACAGTCTCCACAGGCGTCCAATTCCCATCCTTCCAGTTTTCCTTCCTATGTACCAAATTTATGTCTTAAATTACGGAACAAAAAGGAAAAGCTACCTATCCATATGTTTACATATGGATGTTTGTGTACCTCAATGTAGCTTCGAAATTTCTCAATTGCCTCAATTGCTCTTGCCTTGGCATGTCTTGGCTCAGAAATTACGTTCATTCTTAGCTGTACAGATTCTAAAGGTTCTTCCAGATCTTCTATGAGAATACCTATTCCTTCATCTGATCCTCCTAGTTTCATACGTACCATTTCAATAATGATCTTTACCACCATGTAAGCTCCTGAAAAAATAGAAGAAAAAGAATTTTCTTTAAGAGCAAATTAATTAGTAATAAGATGCAAATTAAAGACTTGTTACTTACTTACCATCATCCAAGAAATAATTCTCTTTAAGGGCACCATGTCCAGATGTTTCCATCATGAGATGGGTTTCAATACCTTCTTTATTAAGCTGAACTCCTTTATCAATCACATTTCTGTAACCAACACGGTATAAGCAATGTTGCCCTCCTCTATCAGTAATAAATCTTGAAAGTGCCATGCTGGTTCGAGCATCGGTAACTATTGTAGTACCAGGACGTTCTTTTAAGACAATAGCAGACATAAGTGCAATGAGCTTGTCGCCATTGATAGGGTTGCCTTTGTTATCAACAACGCCACTGCGGTCTACGTCTGTGTCGAAAACGATACCAAGATCGGCTGAATTTTCTAAAACGGCGGCTCTGGTAAGGGCCATGGCAGTTTTGTCCTCAGGATTGGGAATGTGATTGGGGAACATTCCATCTGGGTTTAAGTGTAGGGAACCAAAGGTGTCTGCTCCGAGTTTGTCTAGTACATCCCATGTAAAGAAACCTCCTGATCCATTTCCAGCATTTACAATTATCTGCAGATTAATTAGAACCATGCATGGTTGACATTTTAACGTGTATCATATATTAGAAATTTTTAAAAAATAACATATGTATAAATATATTAGTTTAATTAAGTGTAATATTAGTTAAAAAGATTTTTCCCATTATTTTTTTTTTTACAAATTAAGAAATTTAAATATCTTACAAGATATCTAAATAAAATATCTAGTTTTTTTTTTCGTAAATTAATTAAGCTTCATTGAGATTTAAACTTCCAATTTCATATCCCAAAAAAAAAATTAGTACTACTATGACACTCATCAATTAGCAAAAATACTAATTTCTGAACTACTAATTAATTTAATGATTTAAACAAAAAGAATAATATTTGAAATACGCATTACCCAATAATAAGGTGGATGTCAGAATTGTTTTTTTGTCATTTTTGTCATTTTTGGAATTAATGCAATTAAGTGCAAGTATACATATAGGACAACATGAGAACCAAATGGGTTAACAAGCACCACTTATTTGCAACTAGCTGCCAAAATTCCCATCTAGCTATAGATTGAATTTCTGAGGATAATGTAAATATGGAAATATATGCATGTAATAGTTAAAAATGAACCTGAAATCCTTCGAGAGGAGTATCGTAGTGCAAGGGATGGTTCACTCTCTCTTTGATGATTTCTCGTAGATGCTTGGCATAAGTGCTCATGAAATCAACTCTTGTTGGTGGAGTGCTAAGCATTGTCGATACTTTTGCAAGCCTATTTGCATATTTACGCGCTGCTTTGTCACATATCTCCTCCACCTCGGTCGAGGTCAGCCCTCCTCTTTTTGTGAAAAATTTTAGACCATTTCGAGTGTAGGGCAGGTGTGACGCCGTCATCTGAAAATTAAACGCCATTTTCATATATAACAAATCCATCTTATCTGAGTAACATAGAAATGAGTGAATCTTTGTGTTGTATCATACCATTATGGAAGCATCATAGGCAAATGGAGGAAGCAATGTACTCATGAAACAAGCTGGAGTAGTAGCTAGTCCCATATCAAACGCTATACAACCTGCACGAGAAAGGCCAGCAAAAACAGCAACACTCAAAGAAGTTCCTGATACTCTAGGATCTCTACCAAGTGAGACTCTAACATCTTCAACGACACGCTGTTTTTCCTTTTCCAAGCCATGAATAACCCACTCGCCAAAACTTTCTCCAATGGCTTCAACTGCTGGAGGAGTAAGATCCACTGTCCTACCCTTCTCGCCTTCCAACGCTACGCCACGAACATCAGACCCATTTTGAAGCCTTCTTATCCTATCCATTTCTTCATCAACAATAACTTCATTGTATTTTGTAGTACTAGAAGATTTTACACGTGTCATTTTAGTTGAAGGGTTTGAAAATGGAAATTTCAGATTTTTTTGGAATGGTTTTATTGTAGGTGTTGATGATGAAGATGAAAAGCTTTTTCTTGGGTTATTGCTGTGCAGAGATATTGATGATGTCGAAGTGGAAGCCATGGATTCTCAGCTTAATCACCTTGGTTCTCCTAGTTAAGTTGCTAGTTTGAAAGTTTTTGAAGAGAAGATATTTGTTTTCCAAAGAAATTGTCAATTTGAGAAGATAAGGTACTAGGATTAAGCAAATAAATGATAACCCTACAATTCACAGAGCTAGCAGAAAACAAAATATCTATTATACAAACTTCCAAATGACTGTAGATTTTCCTTTTTGTCCTTGTTTTTGCATTCATAAGATGCAGTTGATATTTCTGCTTCTGTATGTATGCGAGATGAACAAGGGATACTCTATGTTTCTTGTATGGTTCTAAAATTCAAAATTACAATTAAAGATCGCTCGAAAATGATAGCTAATTGTATTGTTGCTCTCCTAAAAAAATCCCCCAATAACTGGGCTAGCAACGCCACAAAGCAATGAAACTAAATTTGTAAGGTAAATTGAGGCCCATTCTGAGCCCCAACATTTTCGAAGCCCAAGTTTCTTCAAACTGCGTACTGCAGTGGTTGAATATGTAATGGTTTCCAAAATACAAACATACATTTTTAGATTCAGCCTGATATATAAACAGAAGTTTCAAAAAGAGAGAAATTGCCTCCAGTAATCTCATTGTTACACTACACTGGAGCATAAATAGCTACGAACCTCTCCCTGTTTATTAAGTACAATAGAGAATACTCGACTCATTTCACGCAGGATTATGAAGCCTGAATTTAAACATGTCAAATATGTTTAGCTGAGACGTTCAATTTCCAATCCCTTGCAACCTGGAACATGAATCCACTCAAGTTGCACTTCCACTTCACCTGACTCTACATTTCTCAATCTAAGAGGCATATTTTGGATGATTTTTCCGTTGTTCCAAACCATATGACTCTCATCGGCAAGGCAGTTGGTCCTATTTGGCTGAACTCTAGATACCACACAGCCATTTGGAAGGTTTTCCAAGCCCATCTTAAGAATTTTTATGTATGGTTTGATGTCAATCTCAGCATCACCTATTTTGTCATCTGCAGTGAATTTGTCTTTGTCAAAAACTGTCTGCAAAGGAATACCAAAATCAAATCAAATAAAGGGTTGTCATGTATAGGGAAATAATTAGAATTTCAAGCCTCTTGATTCAAGAAAACCACTTACTAATCTTATTGGAACATCGACATCTGTGACGGAAAGAGTTAGTTCTTCATTCCATTCAGGATTGCAGTTGTTTTTCACCACTCCAGTCTTCAATGTCTGCTCAGTTAAAATGGCAACAGGAGAGGGAGGGAAAAGAAATGGACAAATCAGACTACTGAATCAATATTTTGATTAGCTCAGAAATTGATAAAAAAAAAAAAATTGAATTACACTAACTAAAGTTTACCTTTAAACAGTTCTATTAAAATTAAATGCCTTTTCTTGAACTAATTCATCATTTATGATACAATCTTGAAATATGCACATCTTATAAGAAATATCCAGTTATTTTAATATTTAATTCTTTTGTCTTCTTTTAATTAAGCTACTTTTGACTTATTAAATAGATTTATCCCTCCCAACTACCATCAAAATAAGCAGTTCAATCATTAATAAAATTATGGCAACAACAAAACTAACAAAATATGTCAATATTGAATATTAATTTCACCGGCACAATAGATTCCCAATTTATATATCAATAGATTATCAGGAGAGCGTTACAGGAACTAACAAAAGACGCAAAATTTCGTATACATATAAAGCAAACGAACAGATTAAAATGATTGAATATTCTAGAGTGGATAGAATAATCTGACAGAATCAAAAGAAAGAAAATGAAAATTTGAAAAAAAAAAAAAAAAAAAAAAAATGATAAAGCAAACGAACAGATTAAAATGATTGAATATTCTAGACGTGGATAGAATAATCTGACAGAATCAAAAGAAAGAAAATGAAAATTTGAAAAAAAAAAAAAAAAAAAAAAAGGATTGTGAAAGCAAGAAGTACGTGGGTTCCATTGCTGACGACTGACATAAGGATCGCTGCCACCAAAAAAAAAAAAAAAAAAAAAAAAGGATTGTGAAAGAAGGAAGATACGTGGGGTTCCATGGTGACGACGACATAAGGATCGCTGCCACCAACATCACGATCCACAAGGTTTCTGCCTCTTAGGATACGAATTCTGAGAAGACCAAGAATGTCCTCCATTCTCAAAAACAGATTGGGAAAATACGTTTCGATGTGCCAACGAGTGTTTCCAAAACTATTACTTATATATTTGTGTAATTTTTTTTATTTCATCAGATAAGCGAAAAAAGAAAAGGAAATGAAAGAAGAAACACGTGGGAAGCGAAAGATTGGCACGTGGAATCTATGAAATTTGGGTGCATTGCAACGCGTTCATTGTTTGATAACGAAAATGTGGTCGCCGTAGTGTGCGCTCCGCCCTCTGTTATAATTCGGATCCAAATATTAAACCAGACAGGTCCGACTTGAGATTGAAACATGGACAAAGCCTTTTGGGCCAACCACAATTCATCCAAGCAATAAGCCCATTTGGAAGTTCAGGCTAGTGTACTAAGAAATGGCTTTGTTTGTTTGCAATTTTAGTGTCTAATCCTACAATAATTAATCATTAATTACCCATGATTAACAATTAACTAGAAATTGCCAATTGGAATCGAACCCTATATTTTATTTTAGATGCAAAGGATTGCAAATTCAAGTAATTTCCATTAATGGAGAAAATTTTCCATGTCTTCCTAGCTCTGCGACGAAAAAAATATCATGAAGAAATATCTCTGCTGTAGTTTATGGATACCAAACAGTGATCCTTTGAAAAGATAAAATACAAAAACTAAAAAGATGACATTTCTTTAGAGAAGAAACAAAATTTGATAGAACAGAAAATTGTCTAACCTCCACAAGTGTCAACATCTTTACCTTGCGTTAGAAATATAGATAGAGAGATTTAAAATTAAGAAATTAAAAATTCTTTTTCCATGAAAAATTTTATCGAGCGATAAATCAAGCGTTCAACTTTTAATAATATGAAAATAAAAGATATTAAATTTAAATCATCTTTATTATAAAGTTTAAAGCTCTCCTTTCTTTTACCAAAAAAAAAAAAAATTAAAGACTTAATTTGTTTAATGAATGATTTTTTTTTCTAGTATTAATGAATAGATTCTTGAAATTACATATTATAAACTTAACATATTAAAAATTGGTTACTCTTCATTTAAATAAATTCAAATTTTCAACTTAAAAAAAAAATCAAAATTTTTGCCTCCTAACTGCTTCTGCAGGAATCTTTAATAAACGCAGTAGTCCAAAGGCAAAAAAATAAATAATAATAAAATAAAAAATGTAGATTAGGATCCATAGGTTTGGGCCAATGTGGACCAAATGACAGGTCAGGTTTTTTATCCTAATTGTACGGTTTTTTATAATTACATCTCATTTTTTAAAATAATAAATTACAAAATTAGAGAGAAATAAATGTTTTGAAAAAACTAACGGAAGAAAAGGTGGCCACATGTCGCATTTTGGATTCGGTAATTGCCAGATAATATGATAAATCCAAATTATTAAAAGAGAAAAACCGTACGTATCGTCCCTTTAAGCCAATGTAATGTGTACTTATCTATCACCACCTTTCATATTCAAAGATGATGGAAGAGAGACCACACAATTCATTGATTCTGTTTTAGATCCGCCATCATCAATCGCAGTCATGGTTGGCCCTCCCACAACATTTATAATTATTAATTATATCATTATATTAATGTATATAAAATATCTATGTAGTATATGTGTATTATTTTCCTTTTTTATTTAAAAAAAATTATTTTGATCATCAATTGAGTTAATATTTCTAATTAAGATGATATTTATCTCTTTTTTTTTTTAACATAAAATAAAGATTAATGATGGTACTCTTCTACATCTAAATATTCCCTCCTCATTTTATATATTATTATTGAATAATAAATATCAATAATTTAAATGATTGCCTGAATGTGAACACTGCACATATGCACATGCTTATTAAAATTCTTGTTACCGCAAAGTCAAACGAAGGACACAGATGTATTGACATTATTATAGAAGGTAGACCAGAGAGTAGGCAAGAGTTTGTCATTTAACCAAAGATTAAGAGAATATGCTCTTCCATCATCTTTCTGGGTTTTGACTGGACGAGCTTCGTGAGACTAGTAATTATTATTATTATTATAGTCTAATTATAGATTAGTCCAAAATATAAAACTTCCTATTAATATTTAGTTTTATCCCACCGCTTGCAGTACACTGATGACTTAAACCTAATCTCCCTCTCATCCGTGTAATATCACTTTAATGTCGCAAAGAAAAGTAAACGAGGAGTTAAAAACAGTTTTTGGTTGATTCATTTCAAGCAGGCTTATGAGACAAAGACTGAAATAGTTAAATTATTTTAATAACACAAAGGAGACCGAAAAAAAAAAAAATTCCAATTTTATACAGTTAGCTTGCATTTTCCTTTCACATTCGTCATTAATTATACAGTAACGTTAGGCATGAATTTAAAAAAGTATTTTTAAAATAAAATTAAATTCTTCAAATTTCATCATTAATTTAAAATGATTAGTTTTGAGAAAATCTCTCTTTTAAACTGGTAGAACTAAAGCCTTAATAAAAATTTTTAAAGTGAGTTACCAATTTGATTGTTGTTCAGCCCGCAGTATTATTTAGGCCATCAGATTTCCTAATGAATTGAAAAAATAATTATATATATTATTAGCGCCATCAGATTTCCTAATGAATTGAAAAAATAGATTTATATATTATATATTATATTATATATATATATATATTATTATATATATTAATTAAGCTAGGTACAAATTTTAATTTTTATATTTACTAAATTTTATTTTTAATGAATATATCTAATAATGAGACATTAAAAAAATTTATATTTCATTTTATTAAATATTTAATTCTTTAAGATATAGATAAAAAAATTTTTTTTATTGTAATATATTTTTTTCTTTATGTTTGTAATGATATGATTCTGTATATTTTAAAAATAAATTTTCAAATATAATAGATATAATTATATATTTTATTTAGGAGGAAGATAAAAAAAAAAAGAAAAAAATATAATATGTATTTTTTGTTAATATTTTTGTTCTCTATATTTGTCATATTTTGATTAGATATGTTTTTTAAAAAGATAAATTTTTCAAATAAGAATTTACATAATTAAACATGTTTACATAATTAAACATGAAATGGTAAACAATTGAAATTTTAATTTTAAAAAATATATATAATATTTTATTGATATATTTATATATCTACATAGATTGAAATTTTTTTTGTTAAGTGAGTTTTGAAAGAGGTTTATTCTTAATAATAATTTTTTATTTTTTTTCATTATTGAATAACTTGTAACTACTATAATTTTAATTTAGTAAGCGATTTATATCTCCCTTGAAATAAATAGATGGCCTATTAATGGTTAAGTATTTTTAATTTTCTTGATATTTTTTTCTCTTATGTCTTAATTCTATTTGACTTTAAAAAAAATAGTATTTAAGAAACAGGAAAAAAAAAACTATAACTATATATTTTTATTTTGGTCACTTTTGGGGTTTCAAGAATCTCTATGTATGTACATATATTCTTTTATCTGATATACTGGGTAAATAATGTTGTCATTATGGTCAAAGTGATTTTCATTATCAATTCAAATCATCTTTTCATTTATTTTCTTTGACCTGACAGTAAAAATAATTTATTATTATTATTCATTATAATTTTACTTAGATATTGACTTGAGGTTGAGAGCAAAGGGTTGGAGATTGAGTAAGAACTTGATTTTATTTTTGAGCGGGTTTAAAAATCTGCATTTATAAATTATGAACTAAAAGATTATGTCTAATGATTAGATTGAACTTTATTCTAATATCATTTCATTATATAAAAATAGTATTAAGTACAAAATAAATAACATTGCAAGTAATTTGTACGGCAAAATACAATTCAAATTAACCACTTGTAATTATTTTAATCTAAAAAAGACTTATATATATATAATGAGAATATAACGAGTATAATCAATGTGCAACGCACGTCATACAAAAGACAAGTAAATATTAAAAGGAAAAAAAATAATTTCATGCTTCTTTTTCTTTTAAAAAAAATACGAGAAAATTCATCAAAATATGTACTTTACATCTGGAATTTTCCATTTAAATCTTACTTGAGAGCTATTTTTTTTTTTTCCAATTTTGAAATACTCCAATTAAACAAATAAATTAAGTTATTCCTAACTTGACTAATTCAATTAATCTTTCAACTTGAACCTTAAAAAAAAAAAATGTCGGGTCTCTCAAACAGTGTTTATAATAAAATTATTAAAAGAAGTGCATACTTATGCACTTAACCAACCAACCATCAAATTCGTATATATCATATTACCAATTGATAATATAATTCGTATATATCATATTAACCAATTGATAATAATATATATATATATATATATATATATATATATATAAATTGGGTGGGTCTCTCAAGTGCATGTACTATATATATCATACTCCCAGTTGGAATTCAAACATGTCTATATAAATGTTATTAAGATGGGTATTGCACTCCAATCCAAGGGTGATATGAACAATAAATTGGTGGGTCTCTCAAGTGCATGTACTATATATATCATACTCCCAGTTGAATTTCAAAACATGTCTATATAAATGTATAAGATTGTATTGCACTCCAATCCAAGGGTGAATATGAACAATACAATGAAGACCATTGATTTGAACAAAATGTAAATTATTAATTCAAAAATGCTTATTCTTTACATTGTAGACCATTGAACATGCATAGGATATTTTCCATATAATAAAAAACATTACCCGTATGGGAATCTTACATTAGTCATAAATTGTTCTTGTTTAAGTAAAATCAAAAGGTCCTCTTTGTTCTACACCATAGATTTAGAACCAAATCCAATAATTGGAAGGACAAGAATTTAGAATTTGCCTATTTGGTCTCAAAAATATGCCTAATTAACTATAATTCATCATTGCATATAATAATTTTGTGATTAAAAGCATAATATATAATTTCATACACTCATGCTTATTAAAATTGCCCTTAATAGTTGTTATTTGTTTTAATAATTTGAGAGGTTATTCTGTTTTTGGTAATTAGTCTTAGTTTTAGTAAGAAAATATGAAATATGGTTTTGTTAGTTCTGTTCAAAAAAAAAAAATTACATAATTAGCAGAATTACAAAAAGAAACTAATAGTCATGAATTAAAATCCTGATTAAATAACAACTAAGGAAAATTTTAAGCCAATATAAAATTGAAAAGGATGATTTAAAAAATTAAAAATAGAAAAGAAAGGCTCTAAAATTTAATAAAAAGGTTCTAAAATTTTGTTATATATAATTATAAAAAAAACAAAGCTGTCAAAGCAATTTCCTAGAAAACAGTGGCGAAAAAGTAAAACGTGATAAAAAAAAAATGGCCGGTTCAAGTGTTAAACCGGGGCAGGTTCGAAGAAAAGGAAAATTACTGAAAAGGACTTAAAAACGCTCAAAAGCAACGTGTTTCCTTCCTAAATAGAGATAGAGAAGGAAACTGGAAGGCATATACCCGGTTAAGGTCGGCGCAAAATACCAGAACACGCTAACAATTTCTGTTTTCTTTTTTAATTATAAATAAGAAACCTTCAACAACCAATTTAACCACACAAACAACAAACCCTAACCCTAGCCCCACCTGCTTCAAACTCCTCTCCTCCATATAAATAATCCAGAACCCATCACACAATCATACAAATTTCCTCTCCGGCTCCCAACAATTTCGTTTCTCTCCTCTGTTTTGAAAATTTCTTGCCGGAGAGCTGATTTCTTGCTCCGGATTTTTGTTTAGAAATAGAAATAGATCAACAAAAGAAAACAGGATCTTTTAATTATCGTTGTGAATGGTGGAAATCTTAAGCAGTAGTAATTACATGCTCTCCCTTTGCAAATCAAGGGCGGGCGTTGTCTCTGCTGCCTCTGCTTTTGCTTTCGGATCTTGCAAGGAAGGCTGGTACTATCGCTGCCTCGGCGTCGACCCCTGAATCATCTAATTTCAATCTCGGAAATCTCAAATTTATTTTGTTTTTTCGAAAAAGAAAAGAAGCCAATTCTCTGTTTTTGCCTAATATTTCTTTTATTTGTTCAATTTGCAATTAAGAAACAAAAGAGTTCTCTTTAGATTTTGATAAACACGCAAAACAATGTTGCTTTACAAGCCCAAGAAGAATCAGCCTGCGAAGGGTAACAGGTTCTTGATTAGCGTGACTGTTTTGGGGAGTGCTGGGCCGATCCGATTTGTGGTAAATGAAAGGGAGATTGTTGCTGTTATTATTGATACCGCGTTGAAGTCTTATGCTCGTGAGGGTCGCCTTCCTGTTCTTGGCTCTGATCTAAACGATTTCTTCCTTTATTGCCCCAATGCTGGTTCTGGTGGTAAGCCTCTTTCCCTTTCTCTTTTTCATTTTTTATTTCTCATGATTTATTAATTTGTTGGAGAAGTCGAGAATTCTAATTTCTAAGAAAAAATGAGGCTTTTTAGGTTCATTTGATTTGGCTCGTTTTTGGATTATGAGAGCAAAATTTTTATTATTTTCCATGGCAGAAAAGAATTTTGGGAGTAAAGAAAGCCTGCTGGGTATATATGGATTTTGAATTTAATTGGAAATTTTCTTGTTTAATAATTATTTAATGTAGCAATTCTTTTAACGTGGATGCTTAATTTCGATTTCAGCTCTGAGCCCATGGGAGACAATTGGATCGTTAGGGTCTCGAAATTTTATGCTATGCAAGAAACCACAGCAGCAGGTGAAGGCAGCTGAAGATCCAAGACCAAATGCAGCAATTACTCGAAAAGGGAGTGGGAGTTGGAAGTCATGGATTAATAAGTCTCTCAATCTTAAAATATCGTCTCATTAGATTGAATGATTTCATTCAGTTTCAAGAAATGGAAACTTTCCTTTAATTTTTCATTATCAATTTCCAAGTAACAGATGTTTTGTTACTTTGTTCTCTGTTGCTTCTGTTTTTTTTTGTTTTTTCCTATTAATTCCCAGATTGAAATATTCAATCTTGGTTATTGTTTCTTTTATTATGTTCTGTTTGACTCATCATGAACTTAAATGTACTTTTTGAGTTTTTGCTTTGAGAATAAAATAGACATTTATTTTTTATGTCTAATTAATCTCTTCTGCTGCTTGTTTTATTCTGCCATTTGTGTTCTCCTATTTGTGTTGAGGAAATTATTAATTATTATTTTTGTTTTTATTTTGTTTGCTTGAAATAAGAAGGTTCACCCGTTTGCTTTCTGCCCATATCTTATAAGTTGGGCAGGTAAGCGGTAGTTAGTATTTTGAAGTGTTTTGTGGAGTCTGTAGCATTCAAATGATGTTTTGAAATTGAAAGCAAGCTGCGTGGTTTCTTGCTCTGATGAAATTGCATTATATGCAAAATGAAATGGTTTTAGACTTTTATTTTTGCTTTTTGACTATGATGCTCATGCTTGTATGCTTTTGCCCTTCACCAAACTTTTCCTGCAGAATCTAGACTTTTCCTTTTGGTGCTGTTTTTAAGTCCAAATTGAATTAAAATTACAACCCAGCTAGCTTGCTGTCTGCTATATGGAATTTGTTCTTACAAAGATGGAAGCTTCCAACTAATTCCAAACGGGCGATATAAATTCTTCCTTTTCATTTATGCTGTAATTGGTAGGCTTTTTCAGGTTCAGGATGCTTAATTGTTACCGTTCTTTTTGCTTGGTTGTCAAATTATAGCTGTATTTTGGACTTATGATGTTTGCATTAATACTTGTGATATCGATTAATTATAGAATTAGAAGGATAATAATACCTGTTTACAGCAATTATAATTAATTAATTACAGAACAAAACCTGCCTCGTTTGATTTGAGACATTGATAATATCTCCCCACCGCACCGATACTTATTTCCGACATAATAAATAAATAAAATAAATTGATCTATCAAAGTTGGACTCTGGGATGGTATTCTTGCAAATTATAGGTAATCTGTCTGTTTTATTTTGAAGGGAAAAGAAAATGTTTTGTCTATTATAGTACGACAGTATTGCACGGAACTTATCCGATAGGTCCTTTTCACTTTCTCCTTTCCGCAAATTCCATAGCAATTTTTGCTTTCACATTTGGCCTTCACTGTCGAGATTTTAAGATTCAAATATCGTAAAGTTTTTCGGATTCAAATATCATATCTTTGGATACGTTTAGGGTTGATCAAAGTCTAGTTTTAAAGAAAAATTGAATCATATTCAAAACAAAAGAAAATAATAATTCTTCTATCTCATCAAAATAGGTTCATTTTTCTTTTTCATTATAATATTGTATTTTACTTCTATAACAATTGACAAAGGAAATACGTTGTATAGAATTTCCACGAGTTATCATAAAAAAAAAAAAAGCTTACCCAAATGGTTGGTTAAGATTGATAGCTTATATAAAGATAAAAATTTCTTAATTAATTTATTTAAATAATTTAAGTCAAAAGGTTGAATTGGTAATTAAAATAAAAAAAAAAAAAGCTTACCCAAATGGTTGGTTAAGATTGATAGCTTATATAAAGATAAAAATTTCTTAATTAATTTATTTAAATAATTTAAGTCAAAAGGTTGAATTGGTAATTAAAATAAATTACTAAGAATTGGTAATTGCAAAAGAATATATGTGGAAAATGGTTATAAGTGACGTGTGGTAGTTAAGAGGAAGATATTATAAATCAAACAAAATGGATTTTGTATAATCAAAGATGCAACTTTCTTTGATGTCATTATTAAATTTCCTTTGTTTAAGCCAATCCCCCAATATTTTTATTTCGACTTGTGTTAATTTTAAGGTTTTATTTTAATTTGCTTTCACCACGATGGCTAGTGGTCCATGATGGGTATCGCTAAAGGCCATGTTCTATACTTTCTGCATTTAATAGAAAGGACAACAACTAAAATCGGTGGAGTATGATTGAAAATAATAAAATTACAATAAATTTTAAACCCTAGACCTAAATTAGTATTACTCTAAACCCTAAAACTTCAAAACCTGAAAATAATAAAATTACAATAAATCTTAAACCCTAGACCTAAATTAGTATTACTCTAAACCCTAAAACTTCAAAACCTAAATCCAAAACTATAAAGGAACTCTAAAATCTAAATATTTAAACTAAGTTTAGAATTTTTCTAAAGTAAATAAGAATAACCATACACTATGTACAATTGCATTATCACTTTTGTTATAAAAAATAATAATAATAAAAAAAAAAAGTTCCACTTTTTTCGAAAATGAATCCAAAGCTTTAATGGGCTAAAGGCTAAGATAAGCCTTATCCATTTGACGCGTTCATAAAGGGCCAGAGATTAGTATTGGGCTTCTTTATTATCAAAACGCAGTTCTTTCCCGCCGTTTGTCTCGACGCCGAAATAAAAAAAAAACTATGGGCTTCAGTCTATTCGACACTGACAATGTCTAAAGTACACCAACACAGTGTTTCTTGGTTCATTTTTCACGTTTGTTTTGAATAATTAAATTCTAATCAGCTCTATCCAATAGAAGAAACTTTCTAATTATTATATCTCTTAAAAGAAAATATCGAATAAAGTCAAGGGAGGCATACATGTATACATATATATATATATATATATATATATTATATATATATATAATTATATATATATATAATCTCACAGCCCGGAGAAGCAAAACTGTGTCAAACATATATATAATCTCACAGCGGAGAAGCAAAACTGTGTCAAACTCACGAGTCTTATGACCCACTTCTTAAAATTCCACAAAGAATGTTTATGTTTGTGCTGTCAAAGCTCAGCCCACTATGCACAAATCAGTAACTTCTTAACAAATTTTACTTTGACTCTACTGTCTACCTCTCACTTATTAATTTTTGGATTCCATTCAGGTTAAACCTTTCCAATTTGTAATCAAGATTTCACTGGTTAATTTTGACTTGCTCAAACTTTATTTATCTCAATCCACATTTGATACAATGGTTTAACTAAAAAGAATCAAGAATTTAAATTTGACTTGGCTTTTCTTTACATTAATCTAATAAACAATATTATGGACCACTTTCCACTCATTTTTAATCTTATTCTTTTTTCCCACCCCTTTTTCAAACTTTTTCTTTCTTTTTAAGAGGTGGAACAAGGCAAAAAAATAAAAAATAAAAAATAAAAAATAAAAAGTAAAAGCAATAGGGCATGTGTGAGCTTCTGAAATGGGATGTCATCTCCAAAGATTAGTGAAGTTGGGGAAAGTCAGCAGTAAACAGTTTGTAAACCCACATGCAATTGTGCAAGTTGGAGTTAAAAAATCTCTCTCTATGTGTATATATATATATATATATATTTTTAGACCTCATTATTGTTGGTTGTGAACATCTAAATTATAATACAAAAATATATAAAAGGGTCCAATCCATTATCCATATAGACTAATATGGCCATGGTGCTTCCTTTCATTCACCGAGTCACCCACTGGTCTGTATACACTAAATGAATGCCTCCTCCTGTGCTGACAAATCCTCAGAAATCTCTTTTCTTGTGATTTTCATGTTTTTCCTAAATAATGGGACAATAGGACACGGCACCTCTTTATTTATTCATTTTTATATATTCAGTAGATAAGAAGAAAATGAAACACTATTCTTTTTACCATTCATTAATTTCAATTAATGCTTTTAGCTTTCCATTTTATCCTAATCTCCTTTCAATCTCATCTAAAGCAAAAGTTGTTGAAATTTACTGACACGAAGAGACAGTGTTGTTGATGTAGAGATCCACCAAATTAGTGGTCAGATTTGATTTAGATGTTGACAAAGCAACACTAAGGTAATTTTGTGTGGGATTAATTATTATCAACTCTTTAAAAACCAATGAAAAGTTCAAAAATTGCTTTATTATATACAAAAAATACTATTATTTTAAGAAATACATAATTGTAAAAGTTCATAAGACTCCTTTGACCTGATGAGCCTCCTTTTACCAATTACTCTTACAATTATTTATACCTAGTACACTTATGGAGAGTCATCAACTGAAGACCAGAGAGTTCTCTGCCAGATTTAAACCATGTGGAAAAGAGATTTTTTTTTTTTTTTTTTTTTTTTTTTTTTTTTTTTTTTTTTTTTTGGGTTTCTTCGAGTATGTATTTGGTTAATTATAAGAACCCTAACCATTGGATTCCCTATTTTAATTTAGGTCTTAAAGCAAAGTTTAACTTGAAATGATCTGTGGAATAGAGAGTGATTGATAAGAAAAAGTGAAGAAATTTTGAAGAAAGGAAGGGAGGAAGACATTATAGATTCCACAGGAAAGGAAGTGACTTTAGCAATGGATAGACGAGAGACTTTTTAGGTTTTTTTTTTTTTTTTTTTTTTTTTTTTTGGGGTTTTCTTCGAGTATGTATTGTGTTAATTATAAGAACCCTAACCTTGGATTCCCTATTTTAATTAAGGTCTTAAAGCAAAGTTAACTGAAATGATCTGTGAATAGAAGTGATGATAAGAAAAGTGAAGAAATTGAAAGAAAGGAAGGAGAAGACATTATAGATTCACAGGAAAGGAAGGGACTTTAGCAATGGATAGACGAGAGACTTTTTAGACTTTGATGATTGTGCCTTTCCTTTTCTGACATATAAAAAAGATGGAGGAATCTGTCTTTGTAGTTTTCTGGAATTTGTAGTAGAAGAACAGTAGTAGCAGTAGTAGTTATAGAGTTCTACCTTGAATAAATGCCCACTCATCATTACCTTTCTCATATGTCTTGTCCTAACTGTAATTCGAAACATGCATCTTTGTATCAAGCAAATTTATATATTTTGTTATTTGGAGTAAAGTTCTAATTTTATTTGTTTAGGTTAAGCTCTTAACTAATATTATTTATACATCAAAATAGGATAATGTTTCATTGATTTTTCTTACATATGGTGAACAAAAGCTCAAAAAGAAAAAAGAAAAAGTGACACAATTATGGCTAAAAGCTACTCCATGAACATCATGATCCAACCACTGCAATAACCCTAGAGAAGGAAGATGCAAATGATGAACATCCAATTTGACGAGAAAAAGCCCATTCCGAGGCACTTTTCACATATAAAATTACATGTCGTTTTAATTAAATTTACCACGCTCGGTGGTGAATTTATTCATACACCAAATTAATCCTGAACGGATTCAGACAATATAACTAGCGGAAGGTGATGTGTAAAAATAATAATTTAATGAAGAAAAAAAATTAAATATAACAAACCAAAAAGCAACCCTAAAATCAATCCACAGAGGATTTTTTTGAAAAGTTATTACTATTTATCTTTTTTTTTAATGGATAATAAAATTTAAATTAAAAAAAAAAGTAATTTTGACTGATTTTAGTGCATTAACGATCAAATATACTAAAAGCGTTGGTATGTTTCAATCATTTTGGGTAAATCTTAAATGTGAAGAGCAGATTATGCTTGCAAAATCAAAACCAATAGATTTTGTAGTTGATGAAAAGGAGTTTTATCTTTTTATTAGTTATTAGCACCAATATATTTTATATATAAATACACAGCCCTGAAAAATACAAAATAAAAAATGAAAAATAAAAATACCCAATTAAAAAAAAAAAAAAAAAAAACGAAAGAGGTAATTTACCTAAACAAAAGGAAAGTGAAAATGTAAAACAGTTAAAAGAGGATGACAACAAGAGAGGTAGAGGGAACACAAAAGTGAAGAGACACACTTAAGAGACTGGTGGGTCTCAATTTTTTACCCACGTCAGTACAATCCCCACCCCTACGATTTGGTGAGGTTGAAATAGAGTTGACTTGACTCACTCGCCCGAGTTCACAACCCAGCGAGTTACTGCTTATTTGTTGACGACCCGCCATGCCGATGTTGCAATGAGTGGCCGAGTATGCCAACCCAGCGTCAAACACCCATTATTCTCTTCCACTCTATACCCATCTCCGCCGGCAAATAAGGCCAGTAACATGCTTGCTTGCTTAAACGCATTGGACCCGAGATGAACCGGCACAAACCCTGATGAGCCCAACCGAGTTCGCCACTGAGTTAATGTCTCGTGTCTCTCAACTCGGTCTGCCCCTTCACATGCCACAACATTGCAAATTTGTTTACCTAAGTACACCTCAGACATCACCTTATCTTGAGTACTCGCCGATCCTTCTAACGAGTCAAACAGAGTCGAGTAATAATGCAATGACTCAGTAAATCGGTCTAAGAAAACCGGACCATTATGGTTCGCTTCTTGTTCAACAATAGTAACAATCTCCGGTTTCATCTGTTTCACTACTGAAAGAACTTTCTCAATGGCGCCTGGTCTGGCTAACAATTTATGTAACTCGAAGACTGAGTTAACCGCGAGAGACTCAAACTCATTGGGCCTAAGTTCAAGCATAGACGCGTCGAGATCTGCTAAACTATTAGCTACGAATCCTCTATATTCAAACTCAACATGAATCGTCTCCGCTAACTGAGCCAATTTCCACCCTACTTCTTGAAGGTGATCGGAATCATCATGCGAAGGAGGTCCAATTCCGGTTAACCGGAAAGCTGGCGGGCCACCAGGTCTAAGAGCAAGAGCTTGTAATAAAGCAGGCCATTGCATACCTTCATTCATGGAGAAATCGATGACATGGACTCGCTTTTTCCCTTCAAAAGCTTCAAGGATTGCTTGATTTGCAGTGAAATGAGCGAATTTGAGATATGGGCAAGTTTCGTAGAAGTGCATCTGAAGAATATCGGATAAGGAATGGTCTACTGGACTTGGTGGGTAGAGTCTATAGATTCTTCGAGCCAAGGCCTCGGCGAAGTAGGTGGCCACCTTACGCATCGCTCCGGCTTGAGAAGCAGCCAAGAAACCGATTTGCTTTACTAAAGCTTCGGCTAGAGTTAGGTTATTATCTTGAACAGCTTCTGCACAAGCCATTAGAAGATGAACGAGTCGGATTCCGTTTTCTTGCGAGTCCACTAGGACCACTGGACGAGTTGACTCAGTTGACACACCAAAAGAAACAGAGCCAGAACCAGAAACGGAAACGCCACTAATAGTAGAAGAAGATGAAGATGTTGCAGCTGCTGCTGCCGGTGGTGGTGGTGGTAGTGGTGGGTAAGTGGGTTTCAAGCGTTTGGGATCTCGAGGAGAAGAAGAAGAGGAATCGATTTGATGAGATCGAGCAAAAACAGCCTTACCAGGAATAGCTTTAAGATCGTAATCAGAAGAAGATTCTTCAAAAGCCATTACTCCACTGGCATGCTTGTTTGATTTCTGTTGTTCGGCAAAATCGATAGAGGTGACAGTGGAAGATTCAGGAGCAGCAAAAAATGAATCATTTAAAGAAGGTTGTGGATCGAAATTAGGATTAGGATTAAGCTCAGATAACATACTTTCAAGCCATGTAGATATATCAGAAGGATTATAATGAACAGTTTCAGAAGAAAGATGAGAAAGTCCATCTTCCTGTACATTACACATAACTTCTTCAAGTTGTTCAAGCTTTTGAGCTACTTCTGCCATGTCGGATGACCTTACCTTATAACCCAAAACAGCTAAAAGCTCATCCATTCCACCATCACCTTGTGCTTCGTCTTCCCATATCTTGCTTTTACAACTAGTATCAGGCGCCGCCGATGTAGCCGCCATGGAAGAATAGGCAGTAGAAGAACTGCCGGCAGATGTTGGGTCTAACCGAAGATGCTGATTTGAGTGCTCCCGTTTCATGATTAGATCTTGTTTTCCCTTTGTTCTTGGTACTCTCTCTGTGTTTGTATGGTGGGTAGGTCGGTATGTGGTGGTGCTCAAAAAACAAAGGGAGCTGTGAATGGGTGAGGAGGGAGAGGGAAGAATCTGGACATTGGGGATTGGGGGTTTTGCTTGGTTTTTCACCAGTACTAGCACTTCATACCAGGCAAAAATAAATTAAAAAATTACTAACAAATACTACATTTTAAAAAATAAATAAATAAATAAAGGCTCGTGATGGGGCGCAAGCTCCAATGGACCATCAGGCTAACAACAACAGCAACAGCTCAAACAGATAAGATAGACGAAACTAAATAATTACTACATGCATTATTATTATTATGTTGCTACTAATCTAATATTTACAGGTTAACTTAGGATGTTAAGATAGAAAATGTTGATTTTTAAACGGTAGTTAAAGGATTATTTCATTGCCTAAATGGGTAATGTTGAGGTGTTCCAACTCAAAAAAAATCTCAATTTAAACAATTCAATCCAGTGTGGAAGCACGATAATATTACGATTAAGGATGTTTTACAGAAAATGAGAAATGAAAAAAATAATTCAGTTCGAATCGGTCCAGCTAACTAAACTGGATGAATCTAGTTGGAAGTCGAGGTTACAGAAGAAAATATTGTCCAATGTCTCAGTAATGTAAACATAAAATATAACCAAAGTGGAAGTGAGAAAGGTATTTAGCAAGTTGAAACTTCATATTTCGTTGTAGAAAATATTAGGTAAAAAGGACGCAAAGGGCGGCTCGTGCCTGTATAGAAAGATAGTTAGGTGGTAAAGACACTTCATTTAATAAATAATAATGTCACTATTTATGGAAAAAACTATTTGCAGGTTTTAAATTATGGTTCTTACCCTTGTTTCGTAGGTTTACTGCCATGTTCTAAGAATGCCAATATTACAGCTTCCATTAATACGGCCTTTTCAATTCATTGCATTGCTTATATTTATATATCTTCTCTTCATTTTCAGATGAAAAACTGTCCCCAACTGCCATTTTTGTGTTTTGCTTTGCCTTTTGCTATAGTACTATAAATTACACTCACTGCTTTCTAGGGTTTTGGTTTAGGTCTGCCCTCTAGACTTCCAACCCATTTAAATGAGGCCTCAACTCGTGTACTTCACTAAAACTTTTAGAGCTTTCCACTCAAATGACTCAACAATATTTAAATTTGCAGTTAATATTTAATTTTTAATAATGCAATTGAATAGTATATTCATTATTAAATATATTTATTTGATCACTTATAATTTGTTTCATAATATTGACAGTACGACAACTGTCCAATAATGAAAGTATCATAGGCAAATCACTTACCAAACATAATTAATACATTATTTATTTTCAAAAAAAAAATTGTATAAAACAAGCAGTAATATTTTCTTTTATGATTTACTTTCAAGACTTGGGCTTTCTTTTCCAAAATAATTTACCTAAAAAATATTCTATATATTTTTTAATTTATCAGTCAATCAACATAAATATTTTGCTAATAAAAAAATTTACAATTGTTGTTTGAAAAATATTCTACCTTCAATTATGTTATTAGGATGAAAATAAAAAAAAAAAAAAAGATTACTCGTTATCTAATTAGATTAACTACCTGTCTAGAGAAAGCATTTGACGACGGCTTTTATTACTACTCCGTTATACCAAACGGGTATTGGTAAACGATCAGGATAAGCGCGTGCCAATGGAGCGTGAGAAACACGCCCTTAATGATTAAACATCAAATGTCAGGATTGCCCCACACAAAGCAGACCATTTGATTCGAGCGGCCCCGCAGTCAACATCCAAATCCTCTTCTCCTCTCACGTAAAAATTATTTACTGGACGGACTACAATTATAAAAGCCGAAATTTGCCCGTACTAACTAGTAACTTAACGGAGTTAGTAACTATATTTTGAAAATTTCTCCTTTTTATTTTATATTTAGCCGGTCCACTTCTTTTTTAGCCATAGCCAACATCGCAACTTTGAGTAATTTAAAATACATAAAATAATTATTTTATCTGACTCTTATTTCTAAAAAATTATTATTATTTTATTTATTTTTTCTTATGATAAGCAATTAAATTAATAAAACTGAATTATATCATAAGTGAATTTTTATCGGTAAATTTGAGTTTAAAATTTGAGATTATCCCTAATGAAATGATTTTTTTTAAAAAAATTATTTTTATTTTTATCTTTCACCATTTCATTACTGTTAGAAACTTTAATTATAGTTCGTAATTTGAATTGATAAAACTAATAGATGATTATAGTGAGGAAAGGGAAATTTAGTTTGTAACTTTTCTGTCATCCTAAAATTTTTAAACACATGATATATGATAGTTAGCACGTGAACCCAAAGAATATTTACTTTAGAAAAATAAAAAAAAAAAACTGACACGCTCGCACCACGTGATACCTACATGCTTACGAGGGTCCCGTCCCCTTCGCACTTGCCCCTTCAAGGTGGCATCTGAATTCATACCAGTATCTCGGGCCCACAACCCATGTGATTGTTACACGTTTTTAGATTCCAGTTAATGTTGGGCCCCACAGTTAACTTCCTAGATTGGAGGCCGTTCGTTCGTTTCTTCCTTCCTTTTCCCCGTCTTCTCTCCGGTGGGTTAAAGCTTCGGTTTCTCTCCAGTGGGTTGACCCGGCGTCCACAATGGCTAATATTGAATTTCATAGACCGTTAAACGTATGGGGGTTAAAAAAAAAAAAAATTATATGTAGTTTTTTTGAAGCATATATGTATCGTTTATAATTAAGTTAAAAAAAAAAATAATCTAAAAAAAATTGTTTGACCTGCTCTTGGCCTTAGAAGAAAATTGAAGTTGCATGTTCCGAAAATAAATATTTTGGTGCTGAATTATTACAATAAATGACAAAGTACTTGCAGTCTAAAATAAATAAGTAGTAATAGAGAGTAGACATGGACATGGTGAATTGTGTTTGGATTTTCCTGTTGTTGGCTATGGCGATTTTGGTTATATGATTACAAGAAGATTACTTTGACTCAGGTTTATGTTTATGGTGCGTCCAATTAATCACTTGACAAATAATCTTTTCAATAAAATTAATTATTTTAATAACTATTAGTTGTTTTAATAGTGTTTATTGGAGTAGATTTTTATAAAACGCTAAAAGTTACGTGTGTTAACATTTTATAAAAATTATCTTAATTTCTAAAAACTAATTCAAATGTTATGTTACTGAACACTATAAATAATAGCGTTTCTGTTGCCGAACACCGTGAAAGTGTAACTATTTTTATAACAATAATTAAAGTGTTAATTGGTTTCTTGTCCTCAAATCTTAAAAATTTTCAATTGAGTGATTGATTATTCTTTTTATATCAAATTATTTTTAATGGGATTAAAATAAAATTGGTTTCAACTAATACAGCTAATTAGTAAAAACGAGAATGAGAATCCGTATAACAAAGGCTAATCATTTGTACTGTCAAGGTCTGCCGGTTGGCAACCATCGCCTCACAACCTACCCTTTCCCTCTGTGGCATATAATTTGCAGTTTGATCAATCCAGCTAGTTCGCTATAAATGTAATATATGTTTCCAGCACATTATTATCTATCATGCTGTGTTTATTTTATTTATTTTCACCACTATGCTGTTATCCAGTAATTAAACAAATCACTATATTAAGTAAATTTTTTTTGTTTACTTTTGTTACTTGTCCATGTTAAAAAATAATACTAACAGAAAAATTTTATAGGCCAATCCGGAGCGAATAACGTGGTCAAATTTATTTAACTGTTAAACAGTCGCAGACAATAATTTAATATATGTATATTTATATATATTTGTAGAAAATAATTTGATGAAAGCCACTTTGCATAAATAAAGATTTTAATTTGGAGTTGCAGGAAGACCTGCGCCGGCAAGAAAGGAATTGACAAGCTAATCTAAATAATTAATTCTTCAAACTAGTTAACAAGGAATCATTTAGTGAAAGATATTCTTAAAGCATAATCAAAATAATTAATTATCTAATATTTGCGTATCTATTTTATTATATGGTAGGTGTACAATTTATTATTTATTTTAAATTTTATATCATAGCTGACATGCATGGTTGAGTAACAGCTAGTTAGCATTTGTAATTGGTTCCACTGGAATATCTCAAAGTATCTTATCTTTTTCATTTCTTTTCTCAAATCATCATAATATAAAATTAAAAAAAAAATCCAAAATTGACATAAAAATGTCTGATTAGCTCTATAATTTAGGCATTGATGGCTACAATTAGGTGGTGATTAACCTATGTTACTAATAAAATTCAATAATGATTATAAACTTAATTAATAATAATAATACATTCTCAAAAAATAATTATTATTTTTCAAGAAAATTTAGGTTAAATAATTTACGAAGGAAAATGGACAAGTTAGTGACAGACATACCCTTCCTTCTAATTCCATGTTTTCTTCATTTCCATTGAGTGCTAAAGCTTTATTGTTGTATTCATGTCACTGTAAGTGAAAATGGTGTCAAATCAAACTTTCCCAAAACTGGCAAAAGAGAGAAGCCTGAAAGGACCATCAAATTCCATTTCATGCTTCTTCACTTCTTTCTTCCTTTTTTTTTTCCAAAAAAAGTTTAATTAATTAATATAAATATAAATAATGTATATAACATGATATAGTGTTAGACCACCCAACGTGGTGGGTCTATGCTTTTACTTATAATGGAAATCGGTGGTTTTACACTCTTCAATTCACGCTTTAAAGGCTTTTTTTTTTTTTTTTTAAATTTTTTTTCCAAAAAAAGTTTAATTAATTTATATAAATTATAAATAATGTAGATAACATGATATAGTGTTAGACCACCCAACGTGGTGGCGTCTATGCTTTACTTATAATGGAAAATCGGTGGTTTTTACATCTTCAAATTCACGCTTTAAAGGCTTTTTTTTTTTTTTTTTTATAAACACTACTGAAAGAAAATTTTATAACGTTTTGGAATTTCTTTTTTAATTAATTAAATTAAAAGGTTAAATTTAATTTGAAATTTTCTAGAATCTATTTTCAATTCCAGTTTTCCAATTTAAACGAGGGACCAAAATGATCCCATCTAGGGAATTAACCATACGTATGCTTATTAAAGGCTTTTTTTTTTTTTTTTTATAAACACTAATGAAGAAAATTTTTATAACGTTGAATTCTTTTAATTAATTAAATTAAAAGTAAATTTAATTTGAATTTTCTAGAATCTATTTCAATTCAGTTTCAATTTAAACGAGACCAATGATCCCATCTAGGGATTAACCATACGTATGCTTATTTTTATTAAACTCAGATTTAAATTTAATTTAATTTAATTAGACAGATCTAAAACAGCGACTCTCCCTCCATCTGTTAAAACCGTAAACACGTTGCATACACGCGCGACTACGAGGGCGTGTTGTGATTTTCAGACTGACAGCCTGGCTGTAATTGGAAAGCGGCGTTTAAAAATCAAGGAAGTGGAAGGGACCCGCCCAACAAGTGCAATCACAGCAAATTGCTGGGGAGTACAATTCACGCGCTATCTCATATTACTATACCATTATTATCAAATTTCAATGCATGGTCCACTTTCTTTTCTTTTTTTTTTTATATACTCGATAAACGAAAGAAAGCCACGTGGTAAAATTATAGGAGGTAATAACACAGTAACGTGATGAGTCAACCAGATAGAGGCAGATGGAAAGGGACATGGTGTTGGTTGTAAGTTAGAGATATTTATCAACACAAACAAATGTAAGCCAGCCGTTTCTCCACTTAAGCTATGGAGCTCATTTTGTGACCAAGTGGTTGGTTTTCAGTTATCTACTAATCTGACGGGACCATGTTTACTCCTCAAGCTATAACCAACTGATCATTTTTACTCTTTTTCCTTTTTTTTTTTTTTTTATTCATTCATATTTCAAAATCATATTTTGCCAAATACTTCTCTATATATATATTCATTATCGTTGGCCAACACCAAGTATTTTATAAAAAAACAACAAAAATACACGCATAAGACGGTGATAAAATAATATTTTTTTTAAAATTACACAATTTTGATAAAATATACTAACTCAAGTCTCTCGATGTGAAATCTTAAATGATGGATCTTTACACTTAAAAAATTACAGCCCACATAAGGGCCCATTGGGACCAATGGTAAGTATCGGTAAGATAGGAAATTCAGTTTTAATGATGAAATGAAAGGAGATGGTCAGCTTCTATATAAATCATATTAATGAACTCTTCTCTTCCTTTTCTTATGCTTCAAGACTTTTGACCAAATGCCTCTTTCTATTTCTTAAATCCTAGTAGGTGAAAAAGTGAACTGAGGAATACCTCTTCAATATCTGATGTTTTAAATTTATTGGGTATTCTTATTATATTTTATAAAGTCATACCCTATCCATTAACCTCGAGAATTGCTACAGTTCATATAATTTCTCAAGTTAGTAGAATTATTCGTATATAAGAGTACGCAATTTTCCATTTCTAATTGACACGTTGAGATAGTTGTCTTAGAGATCTATTTACCGATTGATTGGATAAATAAAATTGTTTGACTTTCAGTTTGAATTGGTTATTATACTATTTAGTTTTGGATTTGGATGTCATAAATACATATTTAAATAAATCAAACCCAACTAAGTCAGTTGGGTTAACTAAATCCTCACCCGTATAGTTTCGAGTAGGCGAAACGAGCATCCTTAACGGATAAGCTAGAATTGAAGAACAATGGATAACCCGTCACGCAAAGTTCAAGGCAATGGATTCTGACCGGTACAAAGTAACGTTTTTTGATAATGAATATCCAATAAGGGGCCAAAATGGGTCAAAAAGACACTAAAATTCCTAAATTCGTCCCATGTGCAGTATGTCCCTAATCATTTTGTAGTTTCAGCAATCACTTCGACACCAAAAAATAAAGAAGAAAAAAAGTTTAAATAACCTTTGCTTGGCTGTGTAGGCAAAAAGAGATAAGGAAAATGGCCCCCCCACCCCATTTAGGGGCAGGGGTTTCTGTTATTGAAGTAGATTTTGCCCAGAGGAAGGGGCAAGAATAGTGCCCCCACAAGGATCTCTTTTAGTAACAAGATTTTGCTTGTCCAATTAAAATCATCACCCACATGCCTGTGCATGTGATTTTGGACCCTTTAACTTGTCCATGGTCAATGTAACAGTTATAAGTTGTTAATATATTATTTTTAATGCTTTTGCCTCACATGCTAAAAAGTTATTAAAGAAACGAGTATTTTATCTTCTCATGTGCATGAAATTTTTTTTTTCTTTTCTTTTCTTTCCCGACCCAAGCTTTTCCGTACCATATTAAATATGTTCTTCAACCCGACTAATACAAATACTATCTGATGAAAAATAAATTCATTTATTAACTGAGCCGACACTTATAATTTAAATATAACCATTGAATAGGTATCTTCATTCAATCTTTTAACATAAGACCTCATCAAGGTCTAAGGAATTCTACATGTAATGAATGGATCTTAGCTCAGCTTTTGTTGAAGGGAATCTTTCTGAAAGAATTTCTAATTTGTGAAAAAATACAAGAATAAAAAATCTTTAAATGTCAAAATTTTATTTGAACCTTTCGATGCACTGATTGTTGGACTTCTTCGAGCTGAGATGCCAATGCCATATTCTTTTATTTCCATTGACAAAGAACAATTAAAGAAACCATGCGGCTAGTTGCTTAGGCACTAACTGACATTACCTATTTAAGTATAAATTCTCAGATCAGATCTTATCTCAGGAGGATTATCAAACGCTGATAAGGTTTTTCCACTATCAATCATTGAATTCTTGATATAAATGCCAGTATATCTGTGATGCGAAGGGAAAAGAGAGATGAAAAGGCTATATTGAAGACATGTTCGGCAAGCATTTAAGGTTGTGTTTAGTGTTTTTACTCTAGTTAAAACTTCCTCTGTTATTTATATTGTACCATGGCATAGCATTTGAGAGTAGATTATGAAACATTATCCTTTAATGTTTAGCTAACAGCTAGTAAACAACTAATAGTTAATAGAACTAATAAATACTAAAACAACTAATATTGCCAAACATGACCTAAATTGGAAACGAAAAATATTGAGTTACTATGTAATGAGTTAATTATTAATCTAAATGCAAAAAGAGTTCCTCCTCAAACTGATTAATTGCATCCAGCACAGGAAGAAATGAAAACTTTCGAACACCAGATAACCCATGAACATACAGTTGAAATCAACTTAGCTTAACTAGATGAAACAAGTATTTTGCAACTATTTTTGAAGGAAAAAAGAATGTAAGGTGTGTGGAATACAGAAAATTTGCAAAATGAAAAGTCAAGACGCCTACAATGGGACTTCAGGATTCATCAATCAAAGAATGTAACTTCTTTCGAAAATTAGGAACTTTGTCTGCCTCAACAGCCATGACCAAACCCCTTAATTGGTAATTTCTTAGCTGCAATAGCAATCAAACCAAAGAAACATTAACAACCGGCTACAGAAGCCAGCAGTGGCATGAATAAAGGTACAGGCGAGCCATAATGAAAAACGCGTGAATGCTTATTGCCAAACCAAACGGCACCAAACAAAAAAAAAAAAAATCATCTCAGCGGACAAAAGAATAAAGGGGGGAAAAAAGAAAGAAAGAGCAGAGCTGCAACAAGGAAATAATATAAGTCCATCATTAGCAATGTACGAAAGCTCTTAAACTCATTGATTTCAACAATAACTATATCAGCGATATTCAATTTGAAACTAGCTAGTTAACGACTTGACCAAAATAGCTCTATTAGGATAGAGCAATAGTACTTACCTCATGAGTTGTTACATTCTCCGAGTGCAAAGGAAAATAGAAAGACCACTTGCAGAGCTGAAAGTTATTTGGAAACAACCAGTGCATGAGAAAGAAGCAACAGCAGCATCTTGCATTATGCTGATGTTAAAAGAATCTGTACCTTGTGAAAAATTTCATCTTCAGGCTTAACATATATCAGTGGTTCCTCGTTGTGACTGTTTTGCCCCCTTTTGTGGTCTGCATTCTTGTGCTGTGGTTTCAAATCCACCCATGAAATATACTTATACTCATATATATATATATGTGTGTGTGTGTGTGCGTGTGTAGAGGGGGAAAGAGAGAGAGAGAGAGAGAGAGAACATTACTTCAACGATAGATCCTAAAAGAGCACAAAGTAAAAGTACAAACAACAGCAGGAGATTCTATAAAATGGTTTACCTTGTAAATTCTACTAACTATGAAATAGGACTTGAAGCAGAAAGCTTTCCTCAGCTCCTCAGTTGGCTTCAACAACAATGAAACAGTAAAATTTAGTAAGCAGACAAAGTGAAGTACAGCAAAGTGAAGAAAGATATTTAGCTCACCCATTCCATACAACATTCTCATCTAACCTCATCTTCTGTAGCCCATAAGATTTCGTCAAAGAGGGCATCATAAAGAGGTGGCAAAAGTTGGGGAGGAAGATTGAAAACACGTTGAGAGACCAACAGACCAACATCATGTGCTTGCTCTTCCAAAAACAATCTTAAATCATCCATTACATTCTTGTCCTGGCATACTTTGGTTAGGAACTCCTTGACCTCTTTAATACATTTGTGATCCTGGTAGGAACCAGCACATAATTCAGTAGCCAGCACAAACGAAATGTCATAGATCTGAAGAACTGTCAAGTACAATCAATGGTTAACAGCAAACTGAGAATAAACAGACAACTATCATTCAAAAAAAGACTTGTTTGAAAAGGTGATTATCTACATGCTCTTAAATGACAGGTTCAAAAAGCTAGGTAGATAAGTCATGAGCAGGGTTTGTTATCTTTCGCAGATATGTTGTCATACACATAGCATGTGTATGTAGAAGTTATTTTTTAACCATGCACATAAAGTTGATTCAGACTTCTTGAGAAAGTCCACCGCTAAATTATTTAGCCCAATTAAGTTCAAGGCAGAATCATGGCACTGAAAAATTTTTGTTACATAGAGACTGCGAGTCAGATACTTGGCTGTAAGAGCTTGTACTCAGATCACATTTAAGCAGGGAATCTAAAGTGTAAACCATTCCCATCCTACCAGACTGCCTAACAGGATGAGCCACAATGTAATTGCAGAAAATTAGCCATCGGAACCATACAAGACTCAAAAGAGAGAGAGAGAGAGAGAGAGACTTCATACTTCAAAAATCATCGCAAAAGGAAGGAAAACATATTGAAAGTATAAATCAGTTACCTTATATCTTCCCAAGTTAAGGGCAGTAACAACAGAAAACAGCCCATTATCTTCATCATCCTCCAATTTAACAACAGTCCCCACTGTAGTCTGTCCTAATATCAAGTCTGCAAAACCACTCAAATCCCATTGTTCATTATCAAGGTAATTTTGCAGCAAGATCTTCACACCATGAAAATCATCAGGTTTCGGATCAAAGAAAGCAAAATCTGCTTGGATAACTCCCTTCAAAAGGTACACATTGAAACACATAAAAATAGATATTAAAATGCACCAAAAAAAAAAAAGGCCAGTGGTAATTGAGATCTTGTTGCCATGACTTACTTCAAAATCTTCTTCCTCAGAAGATTCAGACTGTTCGTGCTTCTCTTCCAACTTGTGATTAACAAATTCATCATCTAGACACAACATCAAACCATATGAACCAGAAAGCACAAGTGGAGAGGATCTCATTTCATATTCATGTATACTTAGATAACAATACCAGGTATTCGGGGGGAAGATTTGTGTAGTTTCATGTTGAGCTTCCGACGCTTGATTATTGAAGCTGAGGTAAGATTAGCAACTGAACGTGCAAATGGGGAGAAGGTCACAGGCGGAACCATCGTTGATCGGCTGGACCTTGTTGCTTTCCGTGGCATTGTTACTCTCCAGAAATTAAAATTAAATGGGAAAATGCTAAGAATCAATCAGCCTGAGATTATACTTGATTCGCAAAACAAAATGTATCCATTTTTATGTCAATGAGATAACAGATTAACACCACATGCTAATTGTCACAACCCATTTCCGTGGCCAGACCGGCACTAGGGCCCAGGTAGGCATAAGGCCACCGAGTCCCGTAGTAAGTTGAAACATTGTTTATCAATCAATAAACCCAATAGATATATCTCAAGAAGACAAGCCCAATAAAAAAAAATTCAACTAGATGGTTCAATCTAATAACAACAATTCAAACCGTTTCAAAGGCCCTAATTCAAATACAAATTTACATATTCATATATAACAAGTGACTTAATAATCCTACAACTGCGGAGTTCAAATGACATCTAAGATAGAATTGATTCTCATACAACCAGCAACATAATCAAAACAATTACTGAAAATAAAGATTACATTGTTTTTTGCGCTGTGTTGAAAATCCAAGTTTATGTAACCCATATTCTACTCACTAAGCTTGTTCATTTTCTATCAAAAATCAAATATACAATACTATTTCTCTTGCACTAAGCAAAAGTTGAACGCAAATGGCTAAGCTAGCTGATGCCATCACTATAGAACCTTGGATTTTTTTTATTAAAATACATACTTAACGAGTTGCTTAATACATCTCCCCATTTAAGAACTTGATTACAACTCTATATACTCATATTAAAACCTAAAATTCAAGTGATTAACAAAGCTACCTGCTGTCATAACAAAATAATTTTCATTCTTATTCCATCTTGATCATTAAAACCTTTATATTAAAAATAAATTATGAAAAACATAGCTCTACCACCAACTATGGACTTAACTCAACAAATATATATATATATAAATTTCTCTAGTTAGAAGCTGTCACAATTAATTCATACCCATTTTAAATTTACCTAATCATACCAAAATGCTCACCAAAATGTGTTTTGATTATAGCTAGGAAGAAAATTAATTTAATCTTCTAAAATGTTTGTATAAACAGTAGTTTCTAGGGATTGTTTCTACACTAACATGGTGATGCATCAAATCCTTTAACTATACTCAAAGAATTCATGAGCAATATACTGAAAAGGGGTCAAAAATCTAATTTACCTAGCTATTGAATGTGTCGGAAACTGAATATTTCCGGTTAAAATGACCGGAAATAGCTCCAATATTCAAAACCAGTTCTGTCGGAGTTAGCTTGGCCGGAGGCGAAGGCAATAGAGGATCAAGAGGTGTCAGCGGTGAGACAAGGGCGGCGTGAAGGAGGTCTGGTCGGGCTTGGTCTCAGGCGATCGGAAAACGAAAAGGGAAGGGGAAGGGGGCTGTGGTGCTATCGGGGAGAGAGGAGAGAAAATTTTGTTAGGACAAAATAGTCATTTTTCAGATTTCTAGAGAATCCCTATAGGTCAACAGTTGGTTTGGTTCAAATCAGGCTTGATTTGGTCCAAATCATGGGTTTTACATGGTTGTTGTGTTTTTTCAATTGGTTTTCTAATGGGTTTAATTTAGTTTGTAGGTTTGGTTTAGCTATTTAAAATGAATTTAGATATTATTTATTAAATAAATTTCATAAGGTATTAATTTATTTATCTTAGATATAATAATGTTCTTTATTACCATTGGTTTAAAATTTGAGAAATTAATTATTTGGTCCCTGAGATTTGATGAAATTATTTAAATAGTCCTGACATTTGAAAAGAATATTCGTTCTGGAGGTTTAATTCTGTCATCTTAAAGTAGTCCCTCCGGTTGCTTTTGCGGGCTCTTGCTGTTAAAATAACTCAAAACGTAAGAGAGAGGTGAGATGAGTTTTTTGAAATGACAAAAGTTGCCCTTCGCAACTCTATTTCTCCTACTTTCCTTTCTTCTTTTTTTTCTTCTTCCATTGATTTTTTTCCCATTTTTCATATTTTAATGATTTTGTATTCTCACTGAGAGGAGCCTTTTTCTTGCCTACTCTTCTTCTTCTTCCTTTTTTTTTTTTCTTTTTCTTTTATTTTGTGTTTTTGATGATCGGGTACCCATCAGGCCGCCGCCCACAATATGTTTTACCAACATTATTCGCCTCCGTTTTATCTGCAAACCCTACTCCTCTAGGCTCTTAACTAATTTCCCCACCAGCATGTATTTTGAGATATTGAGATGAGTGTTCTCTCTGTTAAGAATCCCACGTCAATTAAATACCAAATCCACAAAGGGCATATAAGGGTGCTAAGTTAGCTAGCTAATCGGTTAGTACTAATCTTTTAACAATGGTTGGCCCAAGCCCAAGTAAGCATATGTTACCAACATTATTTCGCCTCCGTTTTTACGTCTGCAACCCTACTCCTCTAGGCTTTTTCTTAACTAAATTTCCCCACAGCATGCGTAATTTTGAGATATTGAGGATGAGTTGTTCTCTCTGTTTAAGAATCCCACGTCAATTAAATTACCAAATCCACAAAGGGCATAATAAGGTGCTAAGTTAGCTAGCTAATCGGTAGTACTTTAATTCTTTTTAACAATGGTTGGCCCAAGCCCAAGTAAGCTTCATATCATATATTTTCATCTCATGGGATTCTAAACCTTCACCCAGTCCACCTCTACCCTTTCAACTTCTAATATAGAGCAGGTTCCGGCCCAGATCCAATTATTCCTCAGTTTACCGGTGTTGCCGCTGCGCTTTCAATTCAGGCTCTCGTTCAATTCAGGCTCTCGTCTAGATGTCCAGTCCCTAGTGAGGCCCATCCAATTTCATGGGCAAAAAGCCCAGTTCAATTTCAAAGGGAGAATTTCAAGTTTCAAGTGTCAACTGAAAGTCCAGTCTCACATCAACTAAATACCAAATCACAAAGGGCATATAAGGGTGCCCTTTCAACTTCTAATATAGAGCAGGTCCGGCCCGATCCAATTATTCCTCAGTTTACCGGTGTTGCCGCTGCGTTTCAATTCAGGCTCTCGTCTAGATGTCCAGTCCCTAGTGAGGCCCATCCAATTTCATGGGCAAAAAGCCCAGTTCAATTTCAAAGGGAGAATTTCAAGTTTCAAGTGTCAACTGAAAGTCCAGTCTCACATCAACTAAATACCAAATCACAAAGGGCATATAAGGGTGCTGCCTTTTCAACTTCTTAATATAGAGAGGGTCCGCCCGATCCAATTATTCCTCAGTTTTACCGTGTGTTTGCCGCTGCGTTTTATCAATTTCAGGGCTTCTTCAGTTAGATGTTCCAGTCCGCGTTAGTGAGGCCCATCCAATTTCTATGGGCAAAAAGCCCAGTTTAACAATTTCAAAGGGAGAAATTTCAAGTTTCAAGTGTCAACTGAAAGTCCAGCTCACATTCAACTAAATACCAAATCACAACAGGGCATAATAAGGGTGCCCTTTCAAACTTCATAATATTAGAGCAGGTCCGGCCCGATCCAAATTATTTCCTCAGTTTACCGGTGCTGTTTGCCGCTTACGTTTCAGATTCAGGCTCTCGTCTAGATGTCCAGTCCCTAGTGAGGCCCATCCAATTTCATGGGCAAAAAAGCCCCATTATTCCTCAGTTTACCGGTGTTGCCGCTACGTTTCAATTCAGGCTCTCGTCTAGATGTCCAGTCCCTAGTGAGGCCCATCCAATTTCATGGGCAAAAAGCCCAGTTCAATTTCAAAGGGAGAATTTCAAGTTTCAAGTGTCAACTGAAAGTCCAGTCTCACATCAACTAAATACCAAATCACAAAGGGCATATAAGGGTGCTGTGTTAAGAATCTCACATCAACTAAATATCAAATCCACAAAGAACATATAAGGGTGCTAAGTTAGTATTAATCTTTTAACAATGGTCGGGCCAAACTCAAGTAAGCCTATATCATATATTTTCATCTCATGGTTCTAACCTTTCACCAAGCCCACCTCTAACCTCTCACCCAGCCCACCTCTAACATTTCTACTTCTAATGCTCTCTTCTCTCTCTCTCTCTCTCTCTCTCTCTCTTCTTTTTGGTGTTTCAGGTGGGGGTGTGGGGATTGTTAAGGAAGGAAGAGTGCTTGCGGAGGTTATTGGGATAGATGCTCAAGCAAGATCCTTCAAAATGGAAATATACCCATGCTCTAGTTTCCTGTTTGGGTATCTTGATATGTATAGAGAGATTGCCCTGGTTATAGATTTTCCAACGAAACAAATTTTTTTATAATTTTTATCACCACAAGTTGTTTTATAATTTTTATTGAACTGTCTAGGCGTGTGATTGTGCAAGAAAAAAAAAAAAAAGATGAAAAAACTTTTGGAGCTTTGCTTACTGAAAAATTAGCTTTTTTGGAGGAGACAAGAGAGGGGCTATGGAGGAGAGGGAGAGCCGTGACTTTCATCTTGTCCAAAGGTATTTTTGTCATTTCATTAAGAGTTAACGGTAAAAAAAATTATAAAAACCACAAATCACAATAGACATAAGCTCACACAAAATGATCATAACAGAAAAAAGCACGCATCTTTGCTGTTGAAATCAAACAAACTCCATTTTAAAAGAATATTAAGGTACACACAAAAAATGAATGAAACTTACCGGTCGAATTCGAGAAGAAGAGTGTCGAATAGACAGTAAGAAATGTTGAATTATGATGAAGGTGAAGGTTTGTGGAATTCGGGCAGTAATTCAATTAGGGTTTAGTCAGAGGTTCTTCTGTAATGGACTATCATATCCACTGAAAAGAGGAGCCCATTGGTGTGGACTACACATTTTCAGTAGTCCAGCCCAATTAAGCCCAAATCTTGTTTTGTTTAAATTTGTAAAACAAATGGGTCGCTTTCGATCAAAAGCCACGTGGAACATGCAATGCAATGAGCGATCTAAAACCAACCACATTGCAGAGATTTTTATTGTGAAGTTTGACTGAAGATCAGATGCCCAAATCATAAAAATTGTGAATTATTAAAGATCCAAAATAAATTGTTTTTATCCAACTGCACGTGAATATCTACTACCAGTTTAATTATATGGAAAAATAATTAAAATATTATTAATTTGTTGAAAAAATCAACATATCTACCTTTTGTCTTTAAAAAAAAAAGAAAAAGAAAAAAATCAACATATCTCTCTCGCTCTGTGTATTATATATTATGAAGATATATCCCAATTTCACCCTTCTAGAATTTTTCCTATAATTCAATTTATTAAAAAAATTGCAAAAAATATGGGAATAAAAATCTATTTTATTTGTTTTTTATTTTCTTCATTTATTTTCTATATTAAAATTAAAAATAAAGAGAAAATTTTGGAATCAGCTGCAATAACCCACGGGTTTCCATGGTTGGATTTGTTATGACTCTGTGTGGCTGCTCGTACAAATCATTAGTATGTGGCGATGTTGCCATTAATATTTTGTCCTTGTTTTGTTGCTAAAGTTTTGATCCGTTCCCACCAATCTACTGCTTTTTTATTAACAGTCTTTTCTTTTTTGTTTGCTTGTTTAATTTTTCTTCTTTAATTTCATTTTAAAATAACAACAAAATAAATTTTAAATATCATAATTGAATTTTTCTTTGTTTGTGAAAGAAAAAATAATTTTATCAATGGAAAGAAGTTATATTTTCAGATTGGAAAATTTTATACTGATTTTTTTAAAAATTTGTACTATTTTCGTCTCATAATTAACATATACTCTCTCTGTCTCATTTTGTTTACTTGTTATTCTTTTTTTTGAATGTCCTAAAATTTTTGCAATTATTTTCCTCATAATAATTTTTATAATTGTTTATTAAATGATGGATTTTTATTGATATCTTAATAAGTTATTAAGGATAAAGAAAGGCAAAGTAACTTTTCTCAACTAAAATTTTAATATGCGTGTTTTGTCAAATAATGAAAACAAAATGGGATGGAGAGAATATTTTATTTTTTACTTATCTCAAATTATAATCTTATTTTATTTTTAAAAATAAAATAAATTTTTAAATATCATATCAAAATTAAAAAGAAAAATACAAAATATGTTATACTATAAGTCTAAGGCCCGTTTGGTTCAATGGTTCGTACCAGCTATTAGCTGATAGCGGTTGCTAGTAGTTAATCGTAGTTAGCTGATTATTATTCGTGTTTAGTAAAATATTGATAATGATTGCTGTTAAGATGTAAAATTGCTATTAAGGGCATCATTGTTTTTATGATACACATATATGTGTGTGTGCGCGCGTGAATATATTATTTTTATTTTAATCTATTATATTAATAAAATAATAATTAAGAATTTTAAAAATAATATTTTAAAGAAAATATTTTTAAATAACTATAAATACAATGATCATAAAAAATATTAAATTGAAAAAAAATATTAGCAACTATTTTTATGAAGTTAATGAAATCCATAACATTATAAATTCGAATTAGCTAATAAGTGATATGATAAAAATCTAAAACGTAGTGGAACCTCTGCGTTATGAGCTACTCATTAAAAAACTTACCAAAATAATAATAACATAGCTATTGAGTAAAAAAAACAGCTACCAACTACATAAATCAGTCGAATCAAGTCCCTAAATATCTAAATACAGTTAATCATAGCTTAAAAATAATAAATTACTATAAAATAAGAAAAACTTAATTCTATGCAAAATAATAGACCAAAAAGTAAAAGACAAATTATTATAGTATATATGAATTCTCCAACTAAACGATAAAAATGTTACTTGCGGTAGGATTTGGATCTTCCCTTAATATATATTGCCTGGTAGGTATTCTGGATCTTCCCCTTAATACTCATATTGTATATTATATAGTATCATTGATTTATTTTTCAAATACTACGATTTAAAAGGGATTTTCAAAATAAAAATTTGGAAATATCCATTAGAATAAAGCATAGGATTTATATCATTCTTCCTCAAAACAAATCATTTGATGCGTATCAAAACATAAGTTGTAGCGGTAACGTTTTTATATACAATTTGGCCTTATTTCGCTTTTTTCATAATTGGCAAACCTTGGGTGTTAGGGAGATGAATCAATGGGTCTTATATTTTAAATATAATTAAAAGATTCAAAATAAAAATTTGAAATATCCATTAGAATACAAAGCATAGGATTATATCATCTCCTCAACAAATCATTTGATGCGTATCAAAACATAGTGTAGCGGTAAATTTATATACAATTTGGCATTAATTTCGCTTTTTCATATTGGCAAAACTTGGGTGTTAGGAGATGAATCATGGGTCATTCTTGTTGGAATAAAATTGGCCATATTGTTCTAAGCAATAATTTGATTGTTGTGAATATGATTCATAGCTAGATAGACATTTCCGTCTCAATCATATCTCTAGATGAGTTAATTTTAATAATGATTGGCTTGCTACTTATGCTTTTTATTTGCCGTTAGATTTATATTTTGTATATTTCTTTTCAAATATATCCATATTTTTTTCTATTAAAATATAAAAAGGATGTAAACCATATTTATAAAATAAGAATATTATCAATAAAAACAACAATCAAAGAAAAATGAAGTTGTATTTGGCAAAGAAATAAAATAATAGATTAGCACGTTTCATAAAATCATCATAGATTTATTAAGATGTGTTTTTGTCTATATTATTTAACTCATAATAAAATAAAAAATAGTTATTTAATAAAACAGAAAATTTTGAAATTGAATGTTAATTGGCTAAATTTATTGACACCCACTACTAACTGAGAATTAAACATAATTGGATTGGATGATCTAATCTTACACGTTTTTCAAAAATCCTACCATTGTTAGAGAGAGCTTATCCAAGATCACAAATCCATTTTTGAAAATGTATTGTCAGCCCAACATCACACCCATGCCAACAAACTTCTGGCAATCCCGTAATTTCGCACTCTGTTTGAGGTCAAAATTGAACGAAGTCAACTCCTTATAAATCTCTTCTCAGGCCTCAAAGTTTACTTTCCTACTCCAGTTTCTCTCTCTCCTTGGAAATCGAGAGAAACAACAAAGGCTGAAATCAAATCAAAATCTAAAAATCCAAACTCCGAAAAAAAAAAAAATGGAGTCTTATGAATCGAATATTAACATTGAAGACACCCAAATCACCAATAGCAACACAGATCACGGCTGGCAAAAAGTCATCTACCCGAAACGGCAGCGTAAGCAGAAGCCTGTAGATTCTGCTGCTGCCGTTAACGGCGGTAAAATCAATGGAATCGTCGCCCCTAACGAAAAATCTAACGTGTTCCGGTCCTTGGAGCAGCAATCTGAAGAGCGACGCCGAAGACTGTTGGAGTCTCAGAAAGCTGCAAATGCCGTTGTGATCGAGGCTCCTGTTAGATCGAAGCACCGATCTGACGAGGACGACGAAGATGAGGATGATAGCGATGATGCAGCAGGTTCCAAAGGAAATGAGAAGGTGGAAGAGAAGAAGGTGAAGCAGAAGAAGCCGAAGAAACCGAAGGTGACTGTGGCAGAAGCTGCCGCAAAGATTGATGCGGCGGATCTCGCTGCTTTTCTCGCCGATATATCGGTCAGTAACATAATTTAATTCTTAATTTTCGTATGATGGACTTGGAAAGAATTGGAATTGAGAAATAACGTGTTTATGGATTGTGATCTGTTTAGGTATCGTACGAGGGCAAGCAGGACATACAGCTCAAGAGGTTTGCGGATTATTTCGGGAGAGCATTTTCCGCCGTAAGTTCGTCACAATTTCCATGGGTGAAGATGTTTAGGGAGAACACAGTGGCGAAAATGACAGATGTAAGTGACAGAGATTCATGTTTTGACTTTATGCAAATGTCCTTTTTAGATTCGAAAGCACTAGGTAAAAATTTTGGGAATTTGTGATATTTTACTACAAGAAATTTGAAAACTTTTGTTTGATTACATTAAAATTATGGAGTGTTTGGCAAATGGGATTCATTCTTTCTTTTCTTCAAGTCTGTTCTATGTTTCTTTGTCGAGTCTTTGCCTCTGGAAAGAGGAAAACAATGTTCTTTGCCTGTAGGCATCTACCTTTATTATGTGTGTGATTCTTGCATTATATAAGCTTCTGATGACATCCATATCGTGATATGATGTTATTCATGGGTTAAGAATTTCACAATTCCTACATAACATTTTGCATAGTTATGCTCCGATGATGAATTTGATTTCCTGCTAGTATCTATTTAATTGGTAAAATGATATTATTTTTGTAATTGAATATCAAGAATTTTATTCCCCTGTCTTTTGATAATCATTTTTGTTCATATGACAAAGCCGCTGTTCCAAGAATTGATTTCATGTTATTTTATGTTAAGCTTTCCTTGGATATCATGTTATCTATTGTTAATATTTTGCTATTGCTTGCTAGTTGAATTGTTTAACTTTTTCTTTTGCAATTTTAATGAACTAACTGGCTAATATATTTTCTGACAGATCCCCCTGTCTCACGTTTCTGATGCTGTTTATAAAACATCAGCAGACTGGCTTAACCAACGGTCCATTGACGCACTTGGTTCATTTGTATTATGGTCTTTAGATAGCATCCTTGCAGACTTGGCAAGTCAGCAAACTGGTTCGAAGGCTGCTAAAAAGGGCGTGCAACAAGCATCGTCAAAATCCCAGGTAATTTGTTGAGAGGATAGTTCCTTCCCTCCCTCCCTCCCTCCCTCTAAATTTCCTTTTTTCTTATGCCTATGTGACCATTATTTTGTTGGATTACAGTATTGAGTTTTGGTTGGTTTAAGTGAATCAATTTCCTTTCATGGTTTTATTTTGGTTGGTTTACACATTGGATAGTGATAATATAACACAATACAGGCACTAATACGAGTCTCCTTCTGAGAGAGGACATCAATCAATAGTTTAATGCTTTTGCATTTTCTGTATTTTACATTGAGTTTATTATTTTAGTTTAGTTGTGATTTGTATGTAGTAAACAGGAGCTTTTGTTATCTCCCACCAAGAAGTAAGTCTATGAGCAGACATCCAAAGATATTTTAATGGAAAGGAATTATGGCATATAGGGTTGATGGAATTATTAATTTATCAAATGATTTTAAAATTCCCCTTACAAAATTTTTTTTTACAGAAAATATTTCAATGTTTTTTATATACTTTGCTTTGCATTGATATTGATCTGACCAGAGCAGATATTTGAGACATAGGATTTATATATCCAACCCCAACTAGTTTGGGATCAAGGCTTGGTTGTTGTTGTTGGGGTTCTTTGAATTATTTCTATTGTGTTGGGTTTGTCAAATGTAGATTTGAATATCAATAAAGCAGATTATTGACATTTAAGCCATGATGTTGTCCTTGATAGAATTATATCAGTCTAGAATAGAATGATCGCTTGATGCTTGCACTCTCCTAGGCCAGAAAGACCACTTCACACTTGATCATGTTCCATTTTAAGATAAAGTTTCAACATTCAAAAATCCAGCTTGATCAATTTTGGGGGCATAATTTCTTAATGATATTCAAAGAAGGGAAACTAACAAACTGTGACATCACTGAGCATTTCTTGGAAAATGAAAAGCTCATGACTGGATTCAGGATTCACTGTCAAGACTTTCCCTTGTAATATCGGTACCCCTTTGTTTATCTCTTCCTTGTTCCCCCTGATTATTCGAATTTGCTTGCATGCTAGATATTTGATTTCTCGCTGAATTCTGCTTTTGCTTCTTACTTGTAATATCTTGGTCCAATAATCTCTCTCTCTTTTTTCTTTTTCCTGGAGTTATGTACTTTTATTTTGAGCATATATTTCTTTTATATCATATCATCATATGGATAGTAGATGCTTGAATCTGTGATCATTTATGTAGAGTCTTTACTCTTTTGTTGACGCATTAGTAAAATGACAGGTTGCCATATTTGTGGTCCTAGCCATGGTGTTGCGACGAAAGCCTGATGCTTTAGTTAATGTATTGCCAACATTGAGGGAAAGTTCAAAGTATCAAGGACAAGACAAGCTTCCTGTTGTTGCATGGATGATAGCCCAGGTAACTGAATGACAATAAAGAGTCAGCAACTTGGAGAATCAATTCTCATATCTACTTCTTTTTATTTTTTTATTTTTTTTTAAATTATATTTATGCTTAAATATGTAAACTTTGTTCATAGGTCTCTCAAGGAGACTTGGCTGTAGGGTTGTACTCATGGGCACATAACCTTTTGTCAATTGTGAGCGGCAAAAGTTCTAATCCACAGTCGAGGGACATAATTTTGCAGTTAGTAGAAAAGTATGCTAGCTTTGTTGTTTTTCTTACCTTCTTTCTCTTTTTTCCTTTGCTTTCAACGCTTCAACCTTTTTGAAATGTTTAATTTTTTGTTTGGTTTGCAGAATTTTGTCTTCCCCGAAGGCTCGGACAATCCTAATAAGTGGTGCTGTTAGAAAAGGGGAGCGCTTGGTCCCACCTTCTGCACTTGAGATATTACTGCAAGTAACCTTTCCTGCATCTTCAGCTAGAGTAAAGGTGGCCATTGTTTGGGCATTTGCTGTACTTGTACTAAGATATAATGTAGATTCATTGATCTTACTTTCCATTTCATTTTGTGTTTCATACAGGCCACTGAGAGGTTTGAGGCTGTATACCCCATCCTAAGAGAGGTGGCTCTGGCTGGCTCCACTGGAAGCAAAGCAATGAAACAAGTATCATTGCAGATACTAAGCTTTGCTGTTAAAGCAGCAGGAGAAAGTATGGGCTCTGATTGATTGTTTTTCCAGTTCTGTATTTTTTTTCCCAGCTCTGTCGGGAAAACAATAGTTCTTAAAACTGAGTGATCTATAAACTGTTTTTAACAGGCAATCCCAACTTATCTAAGGAAGCTGCTGGCATTTGTATCTGGTGTTTGACTCAGAATCCTGAATGCTACAAGCATTGGGTGAGCTGTTCTAGTTCTTTATTCTTGTCTTGTGCTTTTTGTTCATAGAATATAGGTTATATATATATATATATATATATAATTGCAAGATCTAAGCTTTGCTTGTTTAAAGCATGTTTCCAGGGAAAGTATGGGCGCTCTGATTGATTGTTTTTCCAGTTCTGTTTTATTTTTTTTCCGCAGCTATTCTGTCCCGGGAAACAATAGTTGCTTAAAACTGAGTGATCTATTAAAACATGTATTTTAAGCAGGCATGCCCAACATTATCTAAGGAAGCATGGCATGGCATTTGTAATCTGGTGTTTGACTCAGAATCCTGAAATGCTACCATTAGCTATTGGGGTGAGTCCCTGTTCTAGTTTCTTTATATTTTCTTGTCTTTGTGCTTATTTGTTCATAAAAGTTAATATCAGGTTATATATATATATATATATTATTTAATATATAACCTATCTGTATTAAATTTCATAGCTTTCATTTTGTCAATAAAACATATATATATGTATATAATTTCATAGCTTCATTTTGTCAATGTACTTACTCTGGTATAAACTGGGTCAACAGGATAAGATTTACCAGGAGAATCCACAAGCTAGCATTGCTATTCTTAAAAAACTTTCGGATGAGTGGAAGGATCTCTCTGTGAAACTGGCTCCTTATGAGCCTCTGCGGGAAACTCTCAAAAATTTTAGGCAGAAGGTAGTCCCTAATTCTGTATCACGTTTTTCATATAATTTGGTGACTGTAAAAACAATAGACTCGGTACATAAGTATAAAAAGTTCATGAATAGCATTTACATAAATAGGAGAAATGAATTTCTAATCCTTGGTTCTGTATTTTGCATATAATAGAATGAGAAAGCAATGGAAAGCGGAGAAGATGCTTATCATGCACTCTTCAAGGATGCGGACAAGTACTGCAAGTTGATATTGGGAAAACTATCTCGTGGCCATCGTTGCACAAAAGGTATAGCCTTTGCTGTCATTGCATTGGCTGTTGGTGCTGCTTTCTTCTCCCCCAATTTGGAGTCATTGGATTTGAAGAAGCTGGCTGTAACAGTCAACTCCCAAATCTCTCAATTCTCCCAATTCTCTTTCTGAGTTGGGGGATGTGCGTTCCTATGGATACTGGCGACTCATGATGCAAAGCATCAACTTGTTTTTCGAACGCTAGGTTTCTTCAGTTTTGTACGTTTGATTCTGACTAAGAGAAAGGGAGAAATTTTCAGCATGACATTTAGTATCTTGTTTCATCAGTTTCACATACAGTATGAGAAACATAGGTTATGACATTTTCGATAGAAGCATGCAGTGTCCAGGGAAAAAAAAATAAGGGTGAGGAATACTATATTATATGTGAATTATTTATATTTTCCAAGGGTATCAAGAATAGTTTGATTTGATTTTTTTTTTTGTGGTGTGAGGGTCTTTTAATCAAATTCAGCAACTCATGTAAATGAATATATTTGAAAATATTTAAGATCAATCATCTAATCAAATAGACAAGCAGCTGTCGAAGATGGGGCATAAGGCTGAAACAAGCCGAGCTCGAGCCTTTTTTTTTTTTTTTTTTCTAATCAAAATAGACCACAAGCAGCTGTCGAAGATGGGGCAATAAGGCTGAACAAGCCGAGCTCCGACGCTTCTTTTTTTTTTTTTTTTTGTCGTCCCTCTTTTTTTTTTTTTTTTTGTCGTCCCTCTTTTAAATAGCCAAGAGTTTTGTTCAACAACTGAAAATGTGCAATATCCTTATCAATGGATGGAAGGATTATAGACTGTACAAAATAAGATGACATTATAAATTATATAACATAAGATAATCTTCTTTTTTTCGCTGTAAAACCGAAAAAAGCTTCTATTATAGTAACAGAGAGACTTTAACCCAAGATCAAATAAAGAATAAACAATAACAGTTGATCACTTGACAGACAAGAATTTCAGTTGATCCTTATATTGTTTACAGTTTACCAAACAGTCCATTATAGCAAGCTTTTTTGTATCACAAATTAACAGAAATTACCTTAACAAAATGAAAGATTTATCAAAACAAAGTTCCAGTCCTATCATTGTTATTAGGTATATGAATATCATAGAAGGAATTGTCAATCATAATCTTCAGGTGTGGCATAAGGGTACTTGCTATAATCATTTTTAATTTCTGAAGGATTTTCTGGTGTAGACCATGGGTACTTCATTGATGGATCCCTTGGAAATTTCCTGAAGTTCAAAAATGGTGCCCACAGTAATATCCTGCACAGTGGAAAAAAAAAAAAAAAAGAAAAAAAAAAAAAAAGAAAGATCAACCATCTTTTGAATCAAAGAAATGAATTGATCTCCATCTGATCTCATCAGTTTTCTTTTTAGTTGGAATCAGATTTAGACAGCCAGAATACTGGAATTACATAAAAAAAAACCAAAGAATTCAGAAGCAGACTCACCATGAAAACGAAAAGGATAAAAAAAAAAAAAAAAGAATCCAGAGCAGACTCACCCTGGAAAGAAAAGGAAGATACACATGAACTGCAAGTACATTTCAAGGAGCTTTCTTCTGTACCATCTTACCCGAAGCCAGTTCATGATGATAGGCTGCCATTTATTTACCATCATATAGTTTATATTAAAATTCAAGATCAAATAGTTTAAAAAAAAAAAAAAAGGAAGCTAAGAACTTCATGATCGAAACCACTCACTGGCATAACTATGAAATACCCAAATGCAACAATTGCTAATTGTATCAAAACCCATATCAAATCCTCCTCATTATTCACTCCAGTAACTGCCAATGCTGGCTGCTCAATCTGATGGAAATACTCACGATATTCAATCTCTACATATTGGGATCTATTATCAAAGAAAGAGAGAATGTAAAAATGAAGCAGAAAAATCCATTTCTTACTGTGGCAAAAAATGCACCAACTTGAACTGCCAAACTGAACTTCTTCACACCATTGTAGTCTTCATGGTTTTTGCTGATGCTTGTAATTTTCTGTTATAAACAAGAAAGATTGTGGAATTAAAATACTACAACAAATTGAAAAAAAGAAATTAAAATTAACCTTATCTGTGACTGGTTTGAATTTAGATGTAATAATATAGAGAGGGGATTTTCTGCAGTGAGGAGATAGAGAAGGCAAAGCCTTTGGGATTTGGAAGGTGAAAGAGCAGCTCATGGTAGACTCTATCATTTGGCTCCCAGAGGTAGGGGGAAGAAATTGGAAGTAAATAGGAACTCCAAATATCAGTACATTCAAGGCCACAAAAAAGTTTATTTTAGGATTATGATCTTGTAATAAGAGAGTGGTATGTCGTTTGCCTGTCATTGGACCATCCCTCTCAGAACAGGTATAATTTTCTTTCTTTTTTTTTTATTTTTTATTTATTAATAGGACAACGATATACTATCTTATATTAATTTAATGCATTTCATAAATCTTAATTTAAATATTTTTAGGGGTTGACTTAAATTAAGCCAATTAGTAGGATGTTAATTAGCATACACTAATTAAATGATTATTATTAATAAAGAAAATTTTATGAATAACTGGTGTAATTTAGTTTTAATTAATTATTATATGAAAACCTTTATGAATAAGAATTTATATAAAAAAATTTAAGAAAACTCTTACGCATAAGAGATATAAAAATTACATTAGTAATTATACTCATCATATTCATACATCATATATAAAAAAAATCTTACTTTTTATATAATAAAAATTTAAAATAATTTCTACCGTAAAAAATTAAAAGTATTCTTACTTAAAAAAAAGTTACAAATTATATGATAAAAGCAATGTCACACATTTTAAATTATAATTAGGAAACTCTAATCATTCTTATGAATTTTTCCTTTATTCATCTTAAAAAAGAGAGATTTCCTTTCCATTTTAATTTATTGATAGAATAGAGACTAAATTCCAAAAATCTTTCCAGAAAGGTCTTTTTGGTCCACCGACTCCCTTCATATTTTAAAGCAAACAATTTAAAAAAAAAAGAAAAAAAATGCAAGAACATAAGGAGAAAACGCTGTTTTCTATTTTCTGTTTTTCAAAGAAAATAGTTTTCTTAGAAAATGGAAACTAAAAAATAAAAATTGAAAATTGAAAAATACATTCACTTGATAATAATAAAAAATTATATTTTAATTTAACTTCATAAACATTATTCATAATTTCTATAATATAAAATAAATTTAAAAATTTTTTAATTACATTCACTTGATATAATAAAAAATTATATTTTAATTTTAACTTCATAAACTTATTCATCAATTTCCTATCCAATAAAATAATTTAAAAATTTTTTATGTAAAAATTTGAACTTTTATTATTGATTCTTTATAAAGATAATATCATTTTCTATCATTTTATCCATTTTTTTTAAAAAAATAAAGGATATAATGTTTTGGATAATAAATTATTATTTATTAAAGCATAAATATAAATTTTATTTTATTTAAATATTTTAATTTTTTCAAAATGAAAATATTTTATACGAAAAAATTGTTTATAAATATAATAATTTTTTAAAGTTATGAAAATATCATCTTTTTTAAAAGGTGAAAAACACGCTCTTTATATTATTATAAGTGAAAATTTTTGAAAAAACAATTTAAAAGGTATTTTTGTAAATCTTAATTAAATTTTAAAAAACTGGTTTTTCTAATTATAAAACTGACCGATTTGAAGTATAACAGTTTTGTATTTTAAAATATTTTATAGAAAAAATTGTTTATAAATATAATAATTTTAATTATGAAAATATCATTTTTTAAAGGTGAAAAACACGTCTTTTATTATTATAAAGGAAAATTTTGAAAAACAATTTAAAAGCTATTTTGTAAATCTTAATTAAATTTTAAAAAACTGTTTTCTAATTTATAAAACTGACCGATTTGAAGATAAAATTTTATTTTTAAATTTTCAAAGAAAACTGTTCTAGAAAACCTGTAATTTTCTACGACTAAATATACCTTAAGATTTTGTTTTAGAGGAAAAAGAAAATTTTACATTTCTGTTGCGGGAAACTACCAGATTACCCTCCTCGGACGAGCCCGCTTCCCAAAAACCCCAATCCAGCAGCAAATCCTTTTCTGGCATCTCAAAATATATGTTTGAATGATCATATTTTCAGTGCCTTATTCAAGAAATGATGGCCACAACAATCCCAACTCACTTCAAACTCAAGCCTCCTTATCTCCAACAGACTCCTTTGAACACCTACACGGAAGTCACTCCAACAGTTAGAGCCACAAAACTCAAACGAAGAAAATCCTCAATCTCTTCTTATACTACTACCCGTTTTCATATTACTTCTAATAATGCCGCTTTTAAGCTCAAACCTTTCTCTTTCCGTTCAGTGCTTGCAAGGGTCTGCAGTGATGGTGGTAGTGGTGCCACTCCACAACAAGAGCAAAGTGTAATTCGCAAACTGCTTCCTTTTTGAGAGTTTTTGCTATTGGAAATTCATTTCTGATTAGTGGGTTCATTAAACTAATTCGCTGTCATAATATATTGACGGTATTTACTAATGGGTTAAATGGTGATTATACCTGACTTCTTTCCTGTGTCAAATGGCGATTTTGATTTTTTGTGGAATTTGTAGGCATGGATATTTTTATTGGAATATCATTTTCATGTTAAATTTAGGGGAAGAATCAATTTTAATTTTCTTATTTTCAGTGGAATGTTGCAAATAGCTAAAATAAACTCAGGGAGCTATTGTCAGAGCTGCCCTGGAAGTGATATAGTGATCCTAACACAAAAAGGAACCTTTGATCTGTATTTTATTCTAGGAATTGGAATTCTTTTTTGATCTTTGTTGAAATTTGTGTTCTTGATGCAATGCTAATACTTTACTTGTTGGTTAATTTTTGATCCTTTTTCATTGTGAAGACAATGAATTTTATTTAAGATACATAATGGTATACTTCTTTTCTGTAATGCCAGAAAATTGAGGAAAGAAACCATAGTTCATCTAGTTTTGGCGACAGCTATGTAGCCTTGTTTGTTCGGATGCTTGGGCTAGACAATGATCCACTTGATAGAGAGCAAGCAATAGTGGCACTATGGAAATATTCTCTAGGAGGAAGGAAATGCATCGATAACATCATGCAATTTCAGGGGTGTGTCAATCTTACAATAAATCTTCTTAATTCAGGATCCAGCTCTACATGTGAAGCAGCAGCTGGCCTTTTGCGATCAATATCTTCAGTTAATGTATACAGAGATGTGGTAGCGGAGAGCGGAGCAATAGAGGAGATAACTGGTTTGCTCAGTCAACCTTCCTTGGCATCTGAGGTATAAGAAGTTATCATTTCAAATTTTCTTCACATGATTTGTTTGAAACAATGAAATAAAGATGAACTTTTTTTCTGCAGGTAAAGGAGCAAAGTATATGCACTTTGTGGAACTTGTCTGCAGATGAGAAACTCAGAGTGAAAATTGCAAATAGTGATATCCTGCCTTTACTCATTAAGTCGCTGGAGGATGAGGACATAAGATTGAAGGAAGCAGCAGGAGGGGTTTTGGCAAATTTGGCTCTGACCCACTCTAACCATAATACTATGGTTGAAGCTGGTGTCATTCCCAAGTTGGTAAGAATTCCTGTATGATAGGTATAAAACTAGGTAAATGGATAATTTAGAGAATGACTGAAGGGAGTAGACAAGAGCAGATTTGATTATATTACTGTGTGTTTTCAAGAGTGTCAATGTACATATTTATAAAAGAAATGAGGTAGCCCTTGTTTGAGCCCGAGCAGAAGACGTGGCTTTTAATGACTGAGCGAGTATCTTGGATCATTAACATTTCTTTGACCGATGTTTTACGAAGGATATGTAATGCTTGGTATAAATATTATAGCGTATTTACAAATATGCCCTTAATACATTTATTAGTCTGTCACTGTATATTCTAATTTGGACAGGATTATGACCTATTTAACACTCCACCTCATGAAAGAAAAGTGTGGATATAAAATTCTCCAGTAATATGAAAGTCCAGACCTCCTATCGCTGAAGTAATCGAGCTCGAGAATTAAGCTATTTCTTTTACCAAGAGGTTTCTGATATATTTCTTGAAGAGTTAACGTGGGCTAGTAAGAGACTAGGACATATTAGCTTATGCTGTAGTTGTCGAAGGAGCTTCTCCTTTCTCATTCTTCAACATCCATTTCTAAGAAAGTAGTGTGCTCCTAGTTGGCAATATCCATATGCATGGAAGTTGTTTCGAGTCATGTAATTCGGGCATGTTTCTTATTGCCTGTGACTGGTCGAACACTAATCCCCAACCGCCAAAGAAAGATGTTCCAGCATTCCATCATGGTACTTTAGGATTTCCTCAAGAAAAGTTTTCATGATACCACATTTTGCATAATGAATTCCTTATTTTCTGCGAGTCCTGACTAATTATTTCCCAAATGCTACCTTTTGAGAATTGTATCGTAGAACAAGTATATTTTTGTTGTTAGCATTATAATAACATTAATAACATTCTATAGTGGATAATTACAGTTCACATTTGCCATTTCTAGTGGTTTCCCAGTTTGGAAGAAATCATGTCCATATGAAATTATGTGTAACATATCAATTTTAACAAGACATCCTGTTGCTTCGCTCTTTATTTGATGCTTGCTTGCCACATTCTTAAGGGCCTAATCTCCATAAACCATGCTGTAGGCAATATTCTTAAAAGCTGATATTGAAGATGAGCTCAAGGTCATTAGGAAAGAAGCAAGAAATGCCCTTGTGGAACTTGCTAAGAATGAATACTTTAGAATCCTTGTCATAGAAGAAGGTCTGGTTCCTGTCCCGCTGATTGGTGCTGCTGCCTATAGGTCATTTAGTCCAGCTTTGCATTCTTGGCCTAGTTTACCTGATGGTACAGAGATTGAACGGACTTCTACGGGCCGTTCAAGGTTTGGTGCTTCAGAATTGCTCCTTGGATTAAATATTGATGACAATAATGCAAACATAGAGGAAGCAAAGGTTAAAGCAATAATTGGACGGTCAAAGCAACAATTTCTTGCTCGTTCTGGGGCTATTGAAGTGGAAGATGCGAAACCATCTGAAACTGAAAAGCCTACTGATCGTCAATTTACGCTTCTCCCATGGATGGACGGTGTGGCCAGATTAGTTTTAATTCTTGAACTTGAAGATGAATCAGCCATATGTAGAGCTGCAAATGCAATTGCTGATGCATCTATTAATGAACATATGCGGAATTCATTCAAGGAAGCTGGGGCAATTAAGCATTTAGTTCGGCTCTTAAATCATAAGAATGACGCTATCAGATTTGCTGTCATTGGTGCTTTGGAGAGTTTGTCTGCCAGGTACTCTTGTTATTTCCCTTGCTCCAAATCTCTTTGTATCTAGTTCTGCTGCTAGATCATCGTTAATTGGTCCATGACATAATCTTCATGATGCATATAAACTATTAATTTTTTGGATAGGTTTGAATACAGTTGTAAATAAAATGTGACTGGCTGCTTTAGGAATACAAAATATGGCGAGATTTTTAACTGTCATATCAATATGCTTCTAACTGCTATTTAAATATGCATTAAGTCATGTCACTTGATGTGTGTGTGCATGTGTGTACAAATGTACATGAATGCAATTTGTCCATGTCCATTCATTCATACATATGTGCTAGTTGGAGAAGAATGTTCAATGGATTTGGAACCTTTAGTGTGTGTCATACATGCTGCTCATTTTTAAGTTGTAACGGAAGCATGATTGTGCTACACTGTAGTGTTTCAGTCTTAGGTATAGATGCTAAACCAAACTAGAACTAAAACTGGTCAGCAGTCTGAATTGCTGGAGCATCTGCTTTGGTATCAGAGTTGATGCTATTGCTTGTAATGGGAAAATTTCTGACTACAAATATCAGACTTCTGGGGAACAGGCCTAGAAATTTTATTTGGTTTTTCGCGGAGCTCATTCAACACTTACTTGAACTATTCAATTCTGTTATTTGGACCACATATCGAACGAGGATTAGATGATACTAGAGGCATTATATGGCACAAATCCTAAAACTCACGTTCAATTTTTAGCCTATAATGTTGACCATTTTAAGATTAAGTCTTTAACTTCTCTTATAATTTTTTGATGCAGCAATTGTGTTCGTCAGATAATTGAAGCTGAAGATGTTATGTCTCACTTGGTTTACATCTTTAAGAACTCAGAGACCTCTGAAATTATGATGGAAAAGGTTGTTATATTTATTGTATTTTTTTTTTTTTTTTTGTTTTTTTCTTTCGACCATTTTAAGATTAAGTCTTTTAACTTCTCTTATTAATTTTTTGATGCAGGCAATTGGTGTTTTCGTTCAGATAATTGAATGCTGAAGAATTGTTTTATGTCTCACTTGGTTTTACATCTTTAGCGAACTCCAGAGACGTCTGAAATTATGATGGATAAAGGTTGTTAATATTTATTGTATTTTTTTTTTTTTTTTGTTTTTTTCTTTCCCTCAAAGTTTTTATTTACGATGATCCTGAATTGGAATTTAATTATGAAAAGAAAATGCTGTCGTTGCAGCCTTGCAATTTGCTAGAGCGAATTTTAGAACTAGCAAAAAAGAAATGAAATCAAAGGTAAGTCAGTTGTTTGTTTCAGGGGCATATTATTTTTTTTTTTTTTTTTGTTTTTTTCTTTCCCTCAAATTTTATTTACGATGATCTGATTGGAATTTAATTATGAGAAAATGCTGTCGTGCAGACCTTGAATTTGCTAGAGCGAATATTAGAACCTAGCAAAGAAATGAAATCAAAGGTAAGTCAGTTGTTTGTTTCAGCATATTATTTCAGTTTATATTTTTCCTGAGTCTTACCAGGTACAGTGATGCATTCCAGTTTTATAATGTACCAATAAACGGATCTACAAGGGAGTTAGATGCAGTCAACGGCCTGGATGCTTCTTGTGGATTAACTACAAAAACAGATACCAGGTAGTCTTCTTTTATTTACGTTTTTTTTTTCCCTGTTAACATATTTATTGTTTCTTTGCAAAGATTGTTCTATTCAGATGGTTAACAGTGCTTCACACAATACTTCTTGTTTGATAGGATAATGGTGTCGTGGTCCTTGCATAACTATATTCTTGAAGCTTGCTTCTAAGAGTGATTACTATTCACATTCCTTGTAAATGGAGAATAACAGCCATTTGTTGGAGCTTGTATAAAAATAAAAACACACTTCAATTATCTATATCCATCTGTTCATAATAGTAATGATAAAAATTGCCAAAGTAGTATACATTATGGGCCATCCTTGGATAAATGCCAACTTATGGGAAGGTTTTGATTTCTAGGAGTAATTTACAGTTAATTCATAGGACAAGCCACAATTTGTGTTTAGTGATCCATTATATTTAGAACTCTTATGATAAATCAACATGGTAAACTTGCATTGACCTTCTGCACAACTTGTAACTACTGTAGAAAAGATGTTCTGGACTCCTCCGTCATTAGTCGCCTTGTTGAGATGCTGAAGCACTCATCCTCAAATTTACAAAGAAAAGCAGCTGCTATCCTCGAGTACGTGGCAATGATTGATGGAAGTATGGATGCAATCATCTCAGAAAATATTGAATCTGGTCTGGATGCTGTTTTCCAACAAAAAGTGTTGAGTGGTACAGCCCATGATTCTCTTATGACTTCAATTTTATAAATTTTGTATGTTATTTCGTGTAAGCCAAATCTTTTAATGTGTCTTCTACTGTGCATTTATTGTTTGACAGAAATAGATTCTGAGATTGAAAATGAGCAGCCAGAAGTATATGCCCTTCAGGTTGAAGAAGCTGGTCTTGCAATATCCGCAGCATCCCGGTTACTCACAAAGCTTCTCGATTCAGATCAGTTTTGTCGCACTATAAACTCCACCCATTTCACTAAATTGCTACGTAAAACGCTTAAGTCAAACATTCCTCTTCATTACAAGGATTGGGTTGCTGCTTGCCTGGTGAAACTAAGCTCTAAACATGGTCCTAGCAGCCTAGAATTTGAGAATCCGATCAACATGGAAGTAACACTTTATGAAACCATCCCGAGATTAATAGAGCAGATAAGTTCTACCTTCTCTGCAGAAGTACAGGAAGCTGCAGTTATAGAACTCAACAGAATAATTTCCAAGGGAGTGGTAGATGCTACTCAAGCTGTTGCTTCTGCCGGTGGGATATTTCCATTAGTGAAGCTAATAGAAACAGGAAATGAGAGGGCCGTTGAAGCGTCAATGTCTATCCTGTATAATCTGAGCATGGATGTTGAGAATCATTCAACAATTGTAGCTGCCGGGGCAGTGCCAGCTTTGAGAAAAATTATTCTATCACAAAGGCCACAATGGAACAGAGCCTTGCATTTGCTAAGGAATTTGCCTACATAATGAGACAATGCACAGACGATTTGCTGATTGTGTATATTTACTTGAACCATGATCAATTTTGGTCCCTTTTGTACAACTACATCGAAATTTAGTGGTAATACTTATAACAGAAACATTATACACGTTTAAGTCTGATTGGTTTTGTCGTATTATATTTGCAATTATAATGTCATTTTGAAAGGATAGATATTTTCCAGTAGGAGATATTTTTTTTCCGAAAATTAACAGTGCTTGATAAAATATTAAAGGCTGTATCTTTCCATCTCTGATAGAACCAAAATACACACTATGGCTTGCTTATCCTGCCATTGCACAACCAAAACACTGGTTTTTGCCTGTCTTCACAATCCCACCAATTGTAACGACTCTCCACCTCCAAAACCCAACACCACCAATCCTAATAAGCCTCCAATTCCCATAACTAAAAGGAAAACCAGACCCAGAATCAGACAGCGCCAAAGCAAACTCCAGCAGCAGCTCAATCTTATCCGGATTGAACGTGCCGTTGGCGCCGGCAGTTATCGCGACTCTGACCCTACGTTTGTTCCTCTTACTTTCTTAAACTCTTCTTTCTTTTTTAGAAAACGTTACGGACGACGTAGTCTTTAGCATTGGGTATTTGGGATTCAGCGCTTTGACCTTTTGTTGATAATAATTAGGGGATCGGAGGAGAGGGACAGAGACTCTATTTTTAAGGGTCTGTTGCCAAATTCTGCTGGTGCATTGGAAAGTCCAGTGGAGAAGAAGCTGCGTGAAACTGGAGAGTGGATTGTTGATAAGTCTGAGGGAGAATTTCGTTCTTCTGGTACTTCAATTTGCTTCTTTCATTTATCTTTGTGTGTGGGTAGGCAGTTAGATAGATTATGCTTTTTGTTTATTGCACTATTAGAAAATTGACAATATTATGAAATTAATTGTATTTGTTTTTAATAATAGTTTTAAATAGCATTCTTCACTGAAATTGAGTGCTGTTACTTTCTGTTGCTTCAAATTTGGAATATTAACCTTTGTGCTGTGACATTCCTTTTTGATGGAAAGAAAGAGCCAGTGAAATTTGATATTGAATATCCAATTTGGGTTCTTGATTCAAACTTTAAATAGCGGTTCACAATGAGATTCAGCTGTTAGGAAATTGCTATTTTACTTGTGTGACATTGGCTTGATGCTTTAGAACCACCCTCTTGAACATTTATCAGGTGATTGTTTTGAGCTTTAGGAGTTGTAGCAGTGGTAATATCAGGTGGGAGTTGTTGCATCATTGAACAAGTATAGCATTCCATGTGTTTAGGGTGATGCTGAAAGTAAATGGACATTGTCACCTGGTTTTGTTCTCATTCCTTTTGCTAGTTAGAGCACCTCTGAACATATGTATATTCTGAACTGCATCACTCTGACTTATCTAATCACCTTTTTGTGGTAAGGTCATCGAATTTTCTTTTTAATTTTTGGACCCTTGCATTCCTTTTGAATCATCATAGAGTTTTAGCAATATTGGTCCTCAGTTTTTACAGTCTGTTGATTTGATTGAAGTAAATTGTGTAGATATTACATGTGCGAATGTAAAATTGATACACATATAGTTTGTGTTTTAAGTAAAGCTTGAATCACAATGACAGTTTTCAAAGATATTTTGTTGCTCACTTCCTTGCTGACCTCTGTTCTGTATGCCAAGGGTAATGTGTATGAAACCCAAAATCAAGCTTCTCGAAAGTTGATCTAAATTGAGCTTTTACCAGCAAGTATTGCAATTTAATATTATGTAACTGTAATCAGGCTTTGCCATTTTATATTGCTGTTTTTAATTTGCAGCTCTACCTCTCGTGCTGGTCTAATGTTGGTTCTTGCTATCATTTTTTCAGGTAAAAAAATTTTGATGTTTTTCTTTCAGTGGGTTCTGCCAATTTACATTTTCATGTTCCTAGTGACTTCTGGAGTCATAAGGCTACCCTTCAGCACGCCTCTACTTGATGATTTGCTCATGTAAAAACATCTGCTAACATCTAAACTCAAATTGTAATTTCCACGGTCGAAGCTAGCAAACTGTAATAGGCCATCCAACAGCATCTCCATCCCTTAACGTGATTCGGCTGAGAAAAACAGCAGAGTGGTATCTCAGGTAAGCAGGTGTGTCAATTGCCAAATTCTGTTATCAAAAAGATGTTTAAGTTTGGATAGTTGACCTAATCATGTAAAATGCTTCAGGTCAATTCTATATGTACCTTTACATTTATATATTGCTGGAAACCACATTTCAAAATTTTGTTGTATCATCTACCTTCTTCCTTGCAGTCTGAATCTTGGAAAATAGACTTGTTTTTCAAGCAAAAAATTTCAATTTTCACACACATGGCTTGCCATATTTGACATTTGACTTATATAATACTATAATGTGGTCATTAGTTCTAACTCCTCAACCGTCCTTTCCTCCACATGTGGCTGAGGAGCAGCCTTGATTTATCAGCTGCCCACATAAAATCTATATATATATATTTATTATTATTTTCATTCAATATTTGGTGTGTTAGTGGTCTAATGGCAAGGGAATAGTGTAATTCTCTTTCTGTGTGGAGTCATTTTTGTTCAACCAGCCATTTGCTGTTGGATTTTGCAAGTTACTTATAAAAGTTAAAATTGAATAAAATGATGTCTATTTATTTGCTTTACTTCTTTCCTTTTCTTCTTTGAATTTCTCGACTTATGGTCAAAAGCTTGTTATTTATAGATAGCAAAATATTGAATTAAGGTTTTAAATTATCTATAATTAATGAAAAATAATTTTTATGTGAAAAAGGCAGAATTGGCATGGTAGCCAGCTAGATATTATCATATTAGATTTCTTTTTTTTCATTAATAAAACTTTCTTGGCTGGAATCACAGGCTCTGTTGCCAACAACTCTTCTTTTGATTTCTCTTCTTTTGATCAAATTATTTTTTTTAAACATACAGAATTTAATGGAATTATATATTTAATTGAATTAATTTTTGCATTAATCTCATCTAAATAAATGGAAATAGAAATCAAATTAACTCACCCCAATTTTGGTCGACATGTGGCATTTGCCTATTTTAACTATAAAATTTTAACTAAATTAACCTTAACATTTGTTTTCAAATTCTAAATACTGGAACAATGTTTTTATTTTTCAATTTGATTAATACGGCTGGATTCATTTTTAATTAAATTATAATTGATAATTGATTCATCAAACTAAATTGATTGATTTAACTTAACTAGTCGATTTAGTCAAATTGATCCATTTAACTAGATTGATGGAACCATTTACTCACTCTAATTATCAAATTATCAGCTAGACATTAAAATTTATAACTTTGATCATCCTAGAATATGAATCTTCGCATATTAGTTAAACAAAAAAAGAAAGAAAAGGAACTTCAAGAATTCCTATTCATCTATTATCTATATATTCAGACTTTGCATTACCAAAATTTATAAGAACCGTGAGATTTCATATTATACGTTTTCAAAAACTATAGTTATTTATTTATTTTTACTAAAATTTCTATAGAAATTTGATTAATTTATAAATTTCCAATGAAAAATATCATTTACATGTTTTTAACACCATAAAATACATTAATAATATCACCAAGTACGAATATCACAAACAAACAACAAAATTGAATTACTTTTTATTGTATAATCATAATTTTTTTTTTTTTGTTTAATGACAGAGAGTCAACGTGGCAGCATAGTAGGACAGAAACTATAGATGAGATACTGAGACCGCAGTACAACCCGAAAAAAAAAAATACAAAAAAAAAAAAATGATGACGCACCAAAATGTGGGGGCCACCAAACGCCAACCATGTCACGAAAACCTCAACTAAAAGAGAAGCATCTTAGTTGGACCAAAAATTATTAAACAAAACTAAAAATAATAAAAATAAAACCCAAAAAAAAAAAAAAAAGGATCTCTGCAGACTTCTCCTCCTTCGTTGATCAATTCAATACACAAAATCACTCTCTCCCTCTCTCTTCCCAATAAACGGACTTACAGAGAAAGAGGGTGGCGACGCCTAAGCAACACGTAGTACCATAGATACACAGAGAGAGAGAGACACGAAATCATTTTTTGTTCGTGGAGATAGAGAAGCCGATCTGATCGCTTTTATTGAAAAACAGAGAGAAAAAATCTATCTATAATATATAAAAGAATGGGAACGCTTCAGACTTGGAGAAAAGCCTATGGCGCTCTCAAAGACTCCACCAAAGTCGGCCTTGCTCATGTCAATAGCGACTATGCGGTACTTTACACTATTTTTAGATACAAATATCTCCTCCTCTTCTATATATTTATCGTTTTTTTCCCCCCTCTTATCTGTGGATTCGATTTTTTGGGGTTCTATTAATAGGAATTGGACGTGGCAATAGTCAAAGCAACCAACCATGTCGAGTGTCCACCCAAAGAAAGGCACCTTAGAAGTGAGTTGTTGTTTTCTTTGATTTGATGGGTAGATCCAATTTTGCTTAACTCCCGTTGGGTTTCTTTTGTTTTAGGGAAAGATTTGTTCTCAGAGAATTTTGATTGTTTTTACAGAAATCTTGGTTGCCACGTCAGCAATTAGGCCTCGTGCCGATGTTGCTTATTGCATTCATGCTCTTTCCCGCCGATTGGCGAAGACCCATAATTGGACGGTACTTATTTGATCCATTCTCAGTTTTTATTTCATTGTTTCTTTGTTCTCTTCCATGTTATTGGATTGATTTGTGGTGCTTTTGCTTTTCTCTACGTTTGTGTTTGTGGATGGATTGTGGATTGCTTATGCGAATGTGGGGTGGGGGTCGATTGCAGAATCGGTTTCTGATTGATTTTGTTGATTACTAGACAGCAGTTAATTTGTTTAAAAACTATATACCACTTTTTGTATAATATGAATATAAGGGTCATTTACACTTGTGAATTAAGCCTTGACTGTGCTGCTTAGGTACTCAATAAAATGTGCAGTAAGCCAGTAACCACTTTTTGCTTGTACCAGAAATATAGGAACACATAAAAGCTTCAACTCAAAACCTTGTTGTATAAAGCTAGAGAATTATTGCTCTTTGTTCAGCATTTATACTGTATCAAAGATGTGATGTTTGTAGGACCAACAATAAACAGGAATTGATTATTTAACATTTTCCATCATCAAGGTGCATTTTTTCTCTTAATTCACATCATCATGTTTATATCATGATTAGGCCGTGCTTTTATTTTAACAGGTTGCATTGAAAACACTGATTGTCATCCATAGATTATTAAGAGAGGGTGATCCTACTTTCAGAGAAGAACTACTGAATTTCTCACAGAGAGGACATATCCTTCAACTTTCCAATTTCAAGGACGATTCAAGTCCAATAGGTAGTTTATAATTGTTATCATTTCCTTTACCAACCCCCGTCAATAAGCCTCTTAGCTTCTATTTGAGCCTCATTGCTTTTCTGTTTTAAGTTAAATAATTGAAAGTATTTCATTATTTTCTTTTGTTATACCGCTGTTTTCTTGTTTTTGTAGCTTGGGATTGCTCAGCCTGGGTACGTACATATGCTTTATTTTTGGAGGAACGACTTGAATGCTTTAGAATTCTGAAGTATGACATTGAAGCTGAGCGCCTTCCAAGACCTGTCCAAGGGCAGGATAAGGTACTCCTCCTAATTCATGATTCTTAACTTCTTCATGGAATGGGAAAATTGCAAGGAAATAGTAGGCCAAGTGGATTAACATTGTGAAACTCAATATAGAACTTAAATCACTATGACATAAATTAACCCAAGAGGCGCACCATCTTTTTGTCAGAACAGTCATGTAATTGAATGACGACAACAACTTTGTACATTGGAAGTGCATATCTAATCTTTTTAACTCAAACCTTTCTCAATTTGTGGTTTATTATGATTGAATCCTGTGATTTTAGCAAATCAATTCATGAGAGACTAAGACTGCTCATATACAATATTTATTTTGTGATTCATATAGAAGAGAATAAGAGACACTATTTCACTAGTTCAATCTGGTAGATCATCGATTGTTTGCAAATATTTTGGCTGTAAATGTGCTGTTTTCTTTTGTTTGTGGCATAGCACCTCCAAATTTAGTTATGTAGTCATTCGGTGAGAAGCGAGGACAGAATCTAGTTTCTGCGGTATGTGTATAAGTTACAAGAAGGATGATAAATAGGGCCATTCCAAATAGTTTGTTTAAGTTTGCCTATACTGGCTTGCTTTCTAATATATTTTCCTATAAATGCCTCATAATATTTCTAGGAAGTTCATATATTAAAACTTGTTGTTTTTTTCTGTATTTGGTAGCTGTGATTTGTTTTGGGATATTGTTCATTTAATTATTATCTGAAAGGAAAAGCCTGGCAAGAGGTATTAAAGCTGTCAGTGAATTTGCTGTTCGGGCTATTATTTGGCTATTTTGGCATACTAGTTTGTAAATGAGTTTCATTTTGTGGAACCATTTTATGTTATATGTCATTTTTCTCTTTATGCAGGGCTACAGCAGAACGAGGGATTTGGAAAGTGAAGAACTGTTGGAACAGTTGCCTGCATTGCAGCAGCTGCTGTATCGTCTTGTTGGTTGCCGGGTATCTTTCTATGAAATTTGTTTACTCTACTTTATTGCTCATAATGCTTTGGTATATGGAAAATAATTTGTTGTAAATTTATCATTGCAGCCTGAAGGTGCAGCTGTTGGCAACTATGTTATACAGTATGCTCTAGCACTGGTATTTTGCTCTCCATGCTATAATTCTGACTTGTAGAGAACCTTCTTTTTTTATTGTTATTTTTATTTTTATTTTTTATTTTTTATTTTTGTAATAATTGAGCTTTCCCAGTATTTTGTTTGTTGATAAATTTGTCATGTTTGAGGTGTTTGATTTTCCACATGGTATCTTAAAATATCATGGTGATTGACTTAACAATAAGCCTTAATGTCAAGTTAGTTCTTTAGGGCCAGCTATATAGATTGTGTACCTACTGTCCACTTGAGCTACGTGTTTGGGGAGATTTAAAGAAAAATATCATGGTAATGATGGGGAAAACATTGCTCAAAATTCAATGTCGTTGCATTCAAATACAAGAAATTCATTGTAAAAATGTCCTGTATTTATCAGTCACATTTTCATTTTAATAGGAGAAAGGTTGAAAGTCAACTAAAGAGCAAAGGGTGGAGGAGTGACAACCTATTCATGGATTAAGGCAAATTATACATGAGAATGATTTGAGAGTTTAGAGAAGCAATTCCTCTCCCTTAAAACTTTTCAGATGAGAAAAGTTTGCAAAATTAGCTCCTCTTCATCACTTAGTTCCTGCTTTACTGCATCCAATTCATCTCATATTGTTCAACTGTGGCAATTATAATATGAAAAATCACAGTTTGGGCACTTGGTCCAGGTCCTATTCTTTGCTAAGTGATGGAATAAGAAGTAGACATAACCCCGAACTTGTTACTTCCTAGTCCAAATTTCAGTGGATACATGTGTATCAGGCAATTTAAGTAAATGGTTGGGGGAGAAGAGGGTGTTATTGCAATTGAAGAAGACATAGGTGGAGCTGGAATTTGTGCTTTCTGTTCATGCATTTGACAATTGATAAAATTGGTGGTTTATGCAATTTTCAGGTATTGAAAGAGAGCTTTAAAATCTACTGTGCTATTAATGATGGAATTATCAATCTTGTGGATAAGGTAATTTGGTTTTATGGTTTAATCATTATGCAAAGTTGCCCTGTTTTTTATTGGATTGCTACTTTTGCTGTCTTTTGTTTTAATCTTTTCTATATCTTCGCAGTTTTTTGAGATGCCAAGACATGAAGCTGTGACAGCCCTTGATGTCTACAAACGAGCTGGCCAGCAGGTCATGTTATGAATTGAATTTCACATGTCAGCTACTTGTTTTATGTTTTTGACCAACATCTGTTTTGTGCTTATGTCTTTTAGGATGTTTATATTGTAGTGGAGATCATGAACTGAGGGTTTGGTTTTTTTATATTGATGGTTTTTTTTTTCTTTTTGCAGGCTGTTAGCCTTTCTGACTTCTATGAAGTTTGCAAAGGATTGGAACTCGCAAGGAACTTCAATTTTCCTGTTTTAAGAGAAGTATTTGATGCTATGACATGGATCTGATTTATCCTTTGTTTTAAATTTTCTTATTCTGGCAGTCAGCTTAATTGTATAATTATTTCTCACTTGTAGCCACCACAATCCTTTCTGACAACCATGGAAGAATATATAAGAGAGGCACCCAGAGTTGTTTCCGTTCCTAACGAGCCATTGGTCAGTTCAATTTCTATTATGTCTGGATCAATATATATTTTTGCAGCAGCAAAAATTTCCTTAAGGTTTATTTTGCCTCGCGAAGAAATCACTTCTAAACAATAATGCTTTAGGACTCATATGTGATTCTTTCAAGCAGCTTCAATTAACATATAGACCAGAAGACGGCCCTTCTGAAGCCGAAGAGACCAATTTACCCAGTGATGAACCTGAACCAGCACCTAAAGATGATGTTGCCATCTCCAATGTTGAGATTGCTCCTCCCACTCCTCCTACACCTCCTCAAAACAAGATGGACACTGGAGACTTACTGGTAATCTCACAATTGTTAGCTGACTTGTGTTGGCTGGTGGTTCCTGTGAACTCATCCTTTTCTTTTTTTCCTCTCTACTGAATCTTGATGGTGTTAGGGACTCGATTATGCTGCCCCTGATGCATCAGCAATTGAAGAAAGTAATGCATTGGCTCTGGCTATAATTCCAACTGAACAGAGTAATCTCATGTTCCTTATTTCCTTTTCTGATGTCCATCATTTGAGCTACTACTTCTTTGCACTCTGTTTTCTTGCTATTCTAACCTGGTACATTTGACTCTTATTTTGCAGATGCTGCACCAACATTCAATTCTGGTGCTGGTCAAGCTAAGGATTTTGATCCTACTGGATGGGAACTTGCCTTGGTTACCACTCCAAGCACCAACATTTCTTCAGTTAATGAGAGGCAACTGGTAGGCCCTTCTCTTAGAATTTTTATATCCTGTTGTATTATTTTGCCTCAGGCTGTTGTGTGCAGTCAATATTACCAACAATTTAAAGTGTCAGCCTTTCCTCCTTTTTGGTTAGCCAGCATAGAATGTAAAACACAAATTTTTGACAAATAATTCTTTGTTGCTGATGAATGTCAGGCTGGTGGATTAGACTCACTCACGCTGAACAGTCTGTATGACGATGCTGCATATAGAGCTGCCCAGCAGCCTGTTTATGGGGCACCAGCTCCAAATCCATTCGAGGTACAAGATCCATTTGCAATGTCAAACGGCATTGCTCCTTCTGCTGGAGTTCAAATGGCTGCAATGGCTCAACAAGCCTCCAATCCCTTCGGTCCATACCAACCTGCCTATCCACAGCCGCAGCAGCAACATTTGCTGATGGGCCCTACAAATCCTTTTGGTGATACAGGGTTTGGGACATTTCCCGTGAATACTGTCGCTCATCCTCATGTTAATAATAATCCATTTGGAAGCACAGGCCTTTTGTAAACCGAAACAAACCATTCAAAATTTGTAATGTAGCTGATGCAGTTGCTTTTTGTGCATTGAAAATGAGCGAGGCATTGTGGGTTTAGGTCCAAGACTCACGAGAAGATTGATGGTTTGCGGCATGAATCATATGTTTGCCTGGGTTGTAGAAGTTAACAGGTGAATAGTGTATTATGGATAATTAGTTGATACGTACGGATTATAATAATTGTAATTGATTTTTGAAGAATCTCTCCATGTGCAGGTGTTTTACATGAGTACAGTTATGTTTATTTCGTTTGTTCTTTGATGTCCCAATTTCTTGGGACGAGATCATATATTTTTTATTAGCTATTGGGATTGGGAATGGCAGGGGTCGATTCTGTAATGTCTGAACATGTCTCTAAGAAATTTCTCTTCCCAGCCACCTCGAGTTGTGGGTTCGAGTGAAGTATTAATTCATCCAATTGTTAGTGTCAATATTTTAAATTGCATGAAAATTGGAAAAAAAATATATTAAAAGAAAAAAATTGTAATTAATTACATTGCAGTGGGACTAAGAAATATTTACACTGGGTAAAAATTAACAATTTCACCTGATGAGGGATCTAATCTGAAGTATTGTAATTCTCTTAGTCTCTCCAATGGCTAGGATTCCATAAGAAAATCACCTGGTTAAAGTGACTGATGGAATTTAAATTATTGAAAGGAATATTACAATAGGAATCTTGATAAACTGATATTGCCATGAAATTTCCCATGTCTTTTGTTGTTATTATCTTTTTTTCCTCTTCTGTTACACTTGTTTATGTTTCTTTAAGCACTCGGTGAATGTCTTATTCTGAAATATTATTCTACGGTCTTCTTGAGCTACACATAACTAAAGCATTTAGGGCAGAACAACCTTTCTAAAAAGCTAATTACTTTCATTTTTTGTTTTTATTTATTGGACTCTCTTTTTTCCTCGTTTGGATTGGATACCTAATATCCCTTTGAATTTATATGCATAATTTGGTAGGTTCACCATTAGGTATAGTTGTTGACTAACATAAAACAGGGAGTTCCAATGCATTAAATGGGGCATCTCCCTTGTTGTGAATTTTAATTTAGGTTTTTTACTCTTTCATCGTCTTTTTCCGAGTCTAAATTGATTGCCGATGCCATGTGTTAAACGGTTAAGAGGCGCAATATATGTGCGAACTTAACTATAAATAAAGTAAAATGAAAAAAAAATTATATAACCGATCCTAATTAGTTTGAAATTAAGGTGCTGTATAATCAAAAATCTAAAATTCACCTAATGGCAAAATAACAGAACGAAGAATTGCAAAAGCTGAAAAATTGACCGACTTAAAATCATTACTTTTACTAGACATGCAATCTAAATAGAAAGATTGCTTGCCTTTAAAGTTTACAACTAGTGGGGTGTTGTTAATCTCCATTTTTTTGGGCAGCTTTGCTCTGCACATGAATTGTCCTTTTAGTACAAATAGCCATGCCCTTATGATAATTTCACAAACACGTGCATCTTAGTTGCAAAATCTCCCAGAACCAAGACCCATGAGAGCATGTCTTATTATCATTATTATGTGGTTTAAAAGATTACAACCAAACACTATTTATTTATTTCTACTCAAACGGAGGGAGAAAGCTCAAACCTTTTACACCTTGGTGTGAAAAAGCTTAGGCCCAAGAGTAACAATGTAGACATATTTATGGAACTGGAACAATCTTGAAGCCAAGAGTCCAACATGCAATTTAAAAACAATTAGATATTTTATTTTCATAAAGAAACATAAATTCTTCCCAGAGTCATTGTTCCTGTACATGGATCCTATCAAGTATCAATGGAGATATGAAAAGAAAAGTAGAAAACAAACAATCCAACTTTCTGAATCAATAAGGGGGAAGAGAGAAGAAGAAAGATGGAATTTTTAAAGCTAAAGAGAGGGAAGAAAAAAAGCAAAAGAAGAGTGAGGGAAGAAGATTAAAAATAGGAGGCAATAAATAAAGCAAAAGAAATGTCCCACAACCCTTCAAACGCTCTCAAATCATCATCATTACAATTGCAACCCTCCACATTGGACTTCAATTCTCCTTTTCTCATTTCTTTAATCCCCTGTTTTTTTATCACATATTCACAGCTGTTTTTCATATATATATATATATATATATATACCCTAAGCAATATGAATCCTAACGCATCTATATGTATACATATTCAGTACTGAGGATAACTGTATAAAAGTTTCGGATCTTGAAAAAACCTATGCTTGCATTTGCATAGCTTTCTTTTTCTTTAGTGGATATTATAAGCTTAAAGGAAAAAAAAAAAAAAAAAAATTAAGCTTAAAGGAAAAAAAAAAAAAAAAACAATGTTATGTTCAAAAAAAAAAAAAAAAAACAATGTTATGTTTCAACAAGAAAAGAGAGAGAGAGAAAGAGAAATAAAGCCTTGTAGAACGGAAAGCGCCATAGCAGGCTTAGCCTTTCAATGGGTGAAATTATTAGCTAAATGCTGTCTTGGACCCTAAAAATTCCGACAGTACCATTAATTCCTTTGTGATACTCATAATTGATTTCTGTCCAATAATATTTATTTAATTGATTAATGAATTATATAATCTTATCATCAACATAAGATTACATTGTAATTAAACTCCATGTATACAATTATTTAGTATAGGCATCAATCTGATGTCTTGCCAATGAATTCTACTTGTGATAGTTTAGTTGGAGATTGGGTTTATTCTTTGTTTTATTCATAGAGTTCTTAATCACAGTCGTAAATGAAGAAAATATTTTCCTTTCTGGCGATTTTCTTTTTGTATATTTTTTTTTACTAGTAATTTTTGTTGACTAATCAATATTTTTTTTTTTTGTTTGATCAATAATGTTATGAAAATTTCAACCTTTAATTAAACAAAATAAGTTGTTCACCTTAAAATCCCTAATTTGAAGTAGAAGAAAGTGTTTTTTTTTAAACAAAAACCCAATATTGAGGAAAAAGAATACAAAAGGCATAAAGAAATACATATGGCCTAAGTTCTAAGGACAATGAGCCACCAATAATTAAGGTACCCCACAATAGGTTTTATTAGAAGGGATTGGCAATTGGTATAGCTTAGGCTTTTAGTTTTGGATCAAATGTCCTAACTTGTCTAACGTCCCACATGCTAGCGTACCCTACTTTTTTATTTTGCATATAAAATAATTTGAAGACCCTTAAATTAGGGGTAGTTTAGTGATTTGAGCATTAAACATTATTTGGTTTAGTTAGACTATTATTATTATGTAGATTAAATGAAAATTAAATTCCATTCACGTTGAGTATTTGTAATAAATTTAAATTGCAGGACTACTCGGACTATAAAATTATGTCTTGAAAATGTAAATCCAAAATAATCAAAAAAATCACTCGACAATAATTATTTATAGAACATATGAATATTCGTGTTTAAAATGCGAATCTATGATCACTAATATATTACATGTGAATCTATGTTAATTTTAAAAAATTTTCCTTTTTTAGAAAAAAACATAAAGTTGAATCATGAAAAATAAAAATAAATAAATAAAAATTGTGTATATATGTTACATAAAATCACCAATTTTTCATTAAAAAAATAAGAATTTCTATATACTGAAACTTAAGAATTTTTTCTTATTATTTTTTGCTGTTTTATTTGATTAGAAACGAGAAACCATTGTGTAAAATTCAAATTTTGCACGTAATTTAAATATCAAAATTAAGTGTTATTTTGCTTATCGTACATAGAATCTCAAAATAGGAAAATAATTATGGTTGTTGTACTAGCTATTTTATACATTCACATAAAAATAAAAATAAAAAAAAATCTCCACCTTCACATTTCTACTTTCATATCATATGTATTGATTTTAGAAAATTAGGTCAAACTAAATCATAGCAAATACAATCTTAATTGTTAAAATCCTCATTCTCAATTGATGTTATTAACAAATTCTTTGAAGCTATGTTATTATTATTATTTTTCTCATCAAGACCGAATTGCAACTTCTGGAGTCCAATTATTATTATTTTTTTATAAAAAAGGATCACCTGAAAAATATTTTTCCTTCACGGGTTTTACATCCCTTGACAATGGTTTTTTTAAAAAAAAAAAAAAAAATAATTATGGAAGCAATAGTAGATTGGAACACTTCAACAATCACCGATGCTTATCTCAACTTACATGCCTATAGCAAAAAATAGTAATACTATGTACTTTTTCTTGTGGCCTACTGGCCTTAAACCTAGTTAAAAACATTTAATTATTTTTTTTATACTTTACACCAGATATTTAGACTTATGTCTGTTTAATCATTCACAAATCTAACTAATTCATCGTCGCTCTCAGATGTAAAGAGACTGGTATAAGGAATTCAATCCATAACTTTAGTCATAATGACCAATCTCACGATTAGCTTTGTGCTTGTTGAGCTAAAGGAAAGTAAGGATAAATGGGTATCATTGGAAATGGAAAATAGGTCACTTACAGTATTATTATTGTAGTACAAAATTAAGCAACACACAAATTATGTACTCTCCTGTTTTGTGATTTGTTGGAAGATACCTTCAGAACCAAGCCATCCCTGTTAAATTGGACAGTATGGGTCCCTCCTTTTATCAATCAATAAAATAATGGTCGGCTGCCGTAATTTTTTCTTTTATTTTTTATTATTAATTATTATCATCATATTTGCTTAATGTGGTGTTGTTTTGTTGGGACATAGAATTTGAAGAATGAATGAGCCACGTAAGCTTAGACCTCGGAAAATATTGTGGGCCAATTATATGTCAATTCCAAGTTAATTATGCAATTTTTTTATAATTAACATGACGGACGATTATTTATTTATTTATTTTTAAAAAGAAGAAACCGAAATTCAATGTTTCAAATAATGCCCTTACACCCATTTAGATTTTAATGCGAGTCTTGTGGGAATTAGATCATTATTGTCTTTCTTTTTTTTTTTTTTTTTTTTTATTAGATCATTGATTGTCTTTCTTTTTTTTTTTTTTTTTTTTTGTCAAAAATTGAAAGTTACATTAAAGTTAAAAGGGGGGAAGAAGACAAGCCTCGATCAAAACTTTTTTTTTTTTTTTTTTTTTTTTTGGTCAAAAATTGAAAGTTAATTAAAGGTATAAAAGGGGGAAGAAGACAGCCTCGATCAAACCTTTAATCAAGATTTAACTTTAAAGTCTATCGAGGAAAGTTAATTTATCTTTTTTTTTATTAATTTTTTTTCATCCACAAAATATATCAAATTATAATGTTTTATATACTATGATAAAAATGTAAAGATATAAAAAATAAAAAATTATATACCTTTATTGTGTAGCATATAATATTCTATCGGCATATTAAGTCTCCTAATGTACAAGAAAAAAATTTAAAAAACAAAAAAAAACTTAATCACTGAAATGCAATACAAAAGTGAAGTTAAAAAAAAAAATCTTTAATTTTTTGAGCTGGCAACCATGAAATTTCAATTTTAAAATATCAATCAAATAAATAAGAGAGGGAAGGGAACATAATCATCTTTTAATTAGCGGTTAACTTAGGATTGAGATCTGCAGAGTTAATTTGATTAAAGCAAAAGTGATTTAGAGGGGCATAGCACAAAAAGTTAGATTCCGCCCTTAAAATTAGAATTTTTCTTTCTTTTTGTTTATGATTTTAATGCTATTGCTGGGTGGTTTTTATAAAATCATTTAGTATTTTATTTTTTTGGAACATTTGTTATTTAAAATCAAAACTGTGTAGTAATTATTAATTTTAAGTCATTGGATAATCTTATCTACATATCATTTTAAAATCTTAATTAAATTAAAATTCAAAATACAAGAAAAATCTCGATATCAAACTAATTTGATTAACTAAATGAATCATTTGTTTTCATTCTACGTATCTACGTCAGCTCCTCCCCTTAAGTAATTTCAAATGATTCTAGAGTTATTAAAAATATTATTCAAGAAATAATTTTCAACTAAGTCAAATTTTGGATAAAAAAAAAACTATCATTATGTTGGATTTATTAACATTAATAATATATCAAATATCTAAATTTTAATATATGTTAATAAGTACAAATTTGTAATTTTATAATTAATAGTAAAAGCAATTGCTTGGTATGATAGTTATGATGACTATTCAGTAAACTTAAAAGCAAAGGGTTGGCTAATGGCTATGGCCTACGGGGTCGGCGTGTGGCGGTGCCGTCGCGCAGCTTCTACCCACCATATTACCCAACTACACCAAACTATCGGAAACACAAGTTTTTCTTATTTTGTCAACAAAGATAGCCTAATATGAAATCATCCAATCCAAAACGGTCATTGCACAATTTATATTGCTTCTTCAAACTTTATATTTAACCAGAACTGGTTTAATTACTGTTTAGGGTTTTGTTTTTAAATAAAAATATTTTTACTTTTAGTATTTATCTAATCCTCACGGTTGAATCTATAACGGTACGAAGTAAATTTTATTTATAAGATTTTGAATTTGAAGTACTTAACATGATATTATTATATTATATAATAACAGCATAATGAGAGTTTGTGCATGTGGATGCAATCAATCACTCTATCTTTCATTTTTTTTTTTCTTTTGTATTTTTCTAATTATATATTTTATGCATTATATGATGAAATGCAATCTAATCTTTATTTCAATTATTGCTACCATAGTGAAATAAATTTTAACTAAAATGGAAGTTCTAAATTTATGTTGTATTTTTATTCATTGGAAGATTATCGAAAAAATGTTATGAATTACACAATTAATGAAAATTCTTATGGCCGAAAAATTTTAAATTCAAAACCTGTCGCTTTCGCTTTAATTAAAAATGCCATCAAACTTAACATTAAAGTACTAACAATTGCAGAAATTTTTGCAAATTTTACATTAGAAAGAAAGGATAGATAAGAAAAAAAAAAGGAAAAGGAGAAGAAGAAGAATGACCGAGAAAAGGAATAAAAAACAAAATAGAATTTCATAAAAGAACAAAAGGCCTCATGAGGAAAGAGGGAAACAGAGTTGCATAATGAAATAGAGCATCTGGCATACTTAATTGGGCCCCACACTTTACTTTGAGAGTGGTCCACCAACTTAATTGGTATGGTTTGTGGGTCACTCCATTTTGTTGCCCAAAGAGAAAACCAGACTTGAGAGGTCGCCATGCCCTTAAAGATGAAACTTGAGAAAGTGTTTAACTTGTTTTCCTTTTTAATATATATAATTCTTTTGTCAAAATAAAGATTTTTTTTTTTGACTGGAATTAAAGAATTACTCTCTATAACATAGAGAGATCGATCTATAAATATCACGTAGTGCAATATATTATGCATACGATTTTATGCAGTATAAAACATAAAATGGCAACAAACTAACATTTGCTAAGAAAATAAATCTGTCCGTCTCTACAGTATGATCAATGTTAATTGGTTACTTGATTCTGTCAAAAGCATGATATGATAATTAAGAGGAAAAAAAAATATATATATATATAATTTTTGGTCCCAAAAGACATTCTTTAATTTTCATTGACTCAATTATATTAAAAAAAAAAAAATCCCCATCTCCATTTAACATGTAAGTCTCGTTTGGCTGTCATTCCTATTCAAATAACCTTTTCAAGTCCAATAAACAAGTCACTTCTCCTTCTTCCATCTACTGCTTCTATTCTTCTTCACGCTCCCTCCCTCTCTCTCTCTCTCTCTCTCTCTCTCTCTCTCATTGAAAACATTTCTTCACCTTCTCATCTATTAACACTCTGTTCCTGACATTCTTCTATCTCTGCTTCCCTGTTCTCTCTCTCATATTGAGTAAAGTTAATACTTTCTTTTGATATTTTCTCGTAAACACACTCTGTCTTTCTTTCCCTGTAAATAGCAACCATCCATGGCTGCCAACAAGTTTGCCACCATGCTACATAGAAAAACCAACAAACTTACTCTTATTTTAGTATATGCAATGCTTGAATGGATTTTGATCGTTCTTCTTCTCCTAAATTCTCTGTTTTCTTATTTGATAATCAAGTTCGCTGATTATTTTGGACTTAAAAGGCCCTGTCTTTGGTGTTCTAGGCTTGATCACTTATTTGAGCCAGCTAAGTTTCAAAATTCTTATAGATCTCTTGTTTGTGAAGATCATGCCACAGAAATTTCGAAATTGGGTTATTGTTCAAATCATCGAAAACTAGCTGAATCGCAAGTTATGTGTGAGGATTGCTCTTCCTCTAATCATGGCGAATTATCCACCAAGTTTGCTTTTTTTCCATGGATGAAGAAACTTGGAGTGATCCAAGATTGTTCTAGTGGTGATAAGGTAAGTGAAAATCATGAGGCTATTTCCAAGTGTTCTTGTTGTGGTGTTAGCTTGGAAGAAAAACAAGGAGATAATTATGTGATTAAGTCTTTCTGGAGAGATTCAGATAATACCCAGAAAGGAATTTTTATTTTGGAAGAGGAATTTGATGATAAAATTGATGAAGAAGAAAAAAAATCAGGGTTTGTTTGTGATCGATGTGGGTTAGAACAGGGGATTGATGAAAACAGAGAAAAACAGGGGATTGATAAAAACAGTGGAGTAGAGGATGAAAACAGAGAGAAAAAGACAGAGGAGAATTTTTCATGTTTTGTTTCTAGTTTTGATTGTAAGGAAATGGTTTCTGATGAAAGCGAATCATTCGTAGAAAAAGAGCAAGAATCAGTCAACAAGGATGATTTAAATGTGTCAGTGGAATACCCCTCTATTAATCAGGCACCGATGGTTCAAGAAGGTTGCGATAAAGATATTTCTGGTGAAAATATGCAACCTCAGCATTTAGAGTTCTACATTGATCAAGAAGATTTCGATTTGATTCCAATTGGTTTGATGGGTTCTAGTCCGACGGAGAAGCAAAAAGAAGAGGAGGAAAATTGTGGCAATGAGGATTTTGTTTTGGAGTTTGATAAGCATGTGGGGACACAATATCATTTGGTTGTGGAAGAAAGGACCAGTTTTGATGAGAAAGTGCCATTGCTTCCCATTCAGGAGAGTGAGGAGGAAAATATGGTTGACTCATGGGAGTTTAACGAAAATGAGAGTTCCTTAGGAGTACAAGCTGACTTTGAACTGGTGAAAGAGGACTTAGAACTAGTTGGCAATGCTCAACCGCCACGAACCCCTAATGGCAATGGTTATGATGTTCAAGAACGTTTAGAGATAGCAGGAGAAGAAATGGAATCAGATAACAGTCAAGGTGATTGTTTGATTTAATTTGAGCTAACTTTTCGCAGTGCTTCTTTTTGAAATTTCGATATATAATCTTTAATTACTTTTGTTGGTATGTGTAGTGTCTGAAGAAGGACTTCAAATGCAAGGTGATGATATTGAAGCAGATGTATCAATAGGGACAGAGATTCCTGATCATGAACCTGTTGAGGATTTTCAAACACAAGAAAGTTTTCCTTCATGTTTGTGCGTACCAGAAAACACTTCAAATAGCAATGCTGATTATTGTGCCTATGATGATCACGGTGAGCCTTAATTTCTCATACACCATTCTTTTTACTGACTGTAAATGCATATGGAATTTTGAATTGATGAGTTAAAATGAATTAATTCATTGCATTAGGTTCTAAGCAAGATGAAGATGATGTAGTAGAACTTAGGACCATAAATGTTGAGACAAGCGAACCAGTGATAAACACTCATTTGTCATTGTGTTCAGAAAGCAATGATATCGAGGAAGATAAGATTCCTGATACGCCAACTTCTGTTGATAGTCTCCATCATTTGCACAAGAAACTGCTACTTCTTGAAAGAAGAGAATCTGGGACAGAAGAGTCTTTAGATGGAAGTGTTATCAGTGATATAGAAGCAAGCGACGGAGTTTTGACTGTTGAGAAGTTGAAGTCAGCCTTGAGAGCTGAAAGAAAGGCTTTAAATGCTTTGTATGCAGAATTAGAAGAAGAGAGAAGTGCTTCTGCAGTGGCTGCTAACCAGACAATGGCAATGATAAACAGGCTTCAAGAAGAAAAGGCTGCAATGCAGATGGAAGCTCTGCAATATCAGAGAATGATGGAAGAGCAATCAGAGTATGATCAGGAAGCTGTGCAGCTTTTGAATGAACTTATGGTAAAGAGGGAGAAAGAGAAGGCAGAGTTAGAAAAAGAGCTGGAAGTGTATCGAAAGAAGGTACAAGATTACGAGGCAAAAGAGAAATTGATGATGTTGAAAAGAAGGAAAGAAAGTAGCACAAGGAGCGGAACTTCTTCGGCTTCTTGTAGCAATGCTGAGGATAGTGATGGATTATCTGTTGATTTGAACCATGAAGTGAAAGAAGAAGATGGTTTTGATAACCATCAAGAAAGTAGTAACCAGAACACCCCTGTTGACGAAGTTCTTTATTTGGAATTGGCTAATTTTGAAGAGGAGAGGTTATCCATTCTGGAGCAACTCAAGGTTTTGGAGGAGAAGCTTTTTACACTTAGTGATGAAGAAGAAGAGCATTTCGAAGACATAAAACCAATTGAGTATTTTTATGAAGAGAATGGCAATGGCTACAATGAGAATTTGGATCATAGCAGTGAAGTAAATGGAGTTGCAAATGGTCATTACAAGGAAATGAATGGAAAACTTCATCAAGAAAGAAAAATAATTGGTACAAAGCCAAAGAAACTTCTTCCACTTTTTGATGCCATTGATGCAGAAACTGAAGATGGGATGTTAAATGGGCATGCAGAAGTAGTTGATTCTGTTGCTTTGCTGAAATCAATCAATAAATTCAACATAGAAAACAAGAAACTTTCAATTGAGGAGGAAGTGGATCATGTCTATGAAAGGCTACAAGCACTTGAGGCAGATAGAGAGTTTCTTAAGCATAGTATAACCTCTTTGAGGAAAGGAGATAAAGGGATAGAGCTTCTGCAAGAAATTTTACATCATCTTCGCGATCTGAGAAATGTGGAGCTTCGCGTAAGGAACATGGGGGATGGTGCTCTATAATGACAATGTGCTCAAACATGTCAAAGAACATAACAGGTAATTAATTTGTTGTGCCTTCAGTTTATAATCCTAGTCTATATTGTTAAACCAAAACTACATTTATTGATCCAATTTATGTTTGGTTAATGCAGATTTCATTATGGAAGATGATTCAAACAGCTGCAAAATTGTAGCTGGAACAGCACTGGCTTTGTTGTTTAAATGATACAAAGACCAAATGCAAATGCAATTGCCAAATATTTTCAGCCAAAATATTTCATATGGGGAAGTCTCTTGATGGAGAGGGAGGCTTCTGCTACGGTCTGTTGGGTGGTCTTGGTGGAATTCAAGATATGAAAGTCTGCCTATTTTTCAATTTTGTTTTTTCTTTAACTTTCTTCTCTTTGTCCAAGTAAGCCCAGATTTTTGGTGGGTTAAGTTGAGTCAGCTTGCCATCATCTTTTTGAGGGAAAGGAAGATGGTGAGTGTATGTGTGTGTAGGCTAGTGAAAAGAAGCCAAGCTGTCATTTGTATGTTGTGAGGAAGAGCCTGGCTTGCAAAGCTGGAGAGCCCCAATCAAGATTCCAGTGCCAGGTACATAGAAGCATTAGTTTATTTAGACAATTAGGATTATTAGAACACTCTTTTTGTTCTTTTTTTTTTTTCTCTTTCTTTTTCTTAAAACACTTATGAGAAGGCAAAAGAAAGGGTAAGTAACCCTTCTTTTTCTTTCTCATCTTTGCATCATTTCTTAATTTGGTGGATTGTTTATTATTTGAGGGGGGGCAAGGTTGAGTTACTTGTATACTACATGTATCCACTTGTAAAGTACATAAAAAAAAGTGAGTGTTTGTTAATTTTATTTTGTAGTTGCCTTTGTATATATATATAAAATTAAATTTTTTAAAAAGAAAACCGATAATGTAATAAGAAGGAACATTGCTTTCTCATTTAATGTTGCTTTAAGCATAAAATAACTGTTGGTAGGTAGGTACAAACCAACAAACTTAACAGCCTACTAATTACTAAAAACAAAAAGACTTGCAAATTATACTTTAGGGGGGAGCTGCAGCTGGTCTGAGCTGCCTCATAATTTGTTAATGTAAACTTTATAAATTCCTACCTCCTTTTTAAATGATTCATGTGCTAGGATTGGAATAACAAGAGTACAACACATCGCGTGTATATATAATTCTATTTCTTCTTTTTTATTTATAAAAAGTTCGCTGAAATTTAAACTTGCAATTTCATAATATCCGGTATATAATCAAAATTTCTTTATATAATGGCAATTAGATTACTCTAGAGTTAAAAATTTTAAATATAATCATCACCATTGAAAATATTTTATCTAAATATTATTCTTCTGAACGTGAAAATAAAATTGTATACGTCGAGAAAATTATGTGAGGTGCAATTACATTCGCAAATCACATGCATGTATCAATGCTTAACAACAAAGCAGCAAAGGATTTTCTTCTTCTTCTTCTTCTTTTTCTCAATATCCATCAATGGCTGTAAGAGTTGCATTTATAATTTATATCTCATTTCTAATATTGCATCCCAACTCTAGATTATGAAAATCATGTTCTTTTTTTATATATAAAAAGTTAAAAACAAATATTAAAGCTTTGCACCTAACTACCTATCTACATTATTGAAAGCTATTGGTTTCTCCATGTTTAAGTTTGATGCTATTAACATGTTTAGCTCTTAGAAGCATAAAGATTTACTCCTTACTAAAAGAGATAGTAAGTTGGAATGTCAATATATGATGTCAGAATTAAATTAAAATAAATTGTTATAAAACCTTATTAATATTAATTAATTTCGGTAATTAACCCACTAAACACCTAATGATAATATTCTCTCCACGTGGTGCATTACATTCTGAAATGCAGCCTTTCCTTCTTTTTTCTTTCAGAAAAAAAGATGGGGATATTGAAATTATCTGTGTGAGCAAATATTGGTTACCAACTTTCGGCGGAGCTCGAAAAGATTGATTAATTAAAATGAATGAAGGTTTGATGGGTTTCATTATGGTTTTGTAAGAATTTATGATCCTAACATGTCCCATGTTACCCAACTTTCAATTGCGTATTAAGACCAAATTAACTCAAACTAGTTGGAATGTCAAAAGATTAATGAGTAATTTAGATTCTTAATTCTAGTTACGTAGTTCATTTCCAATTCTTGGACTTGTTCTCTGAGTGAGACAGGCTTTACCTGCCACATATTTAACCATTCAACACCAGGATAAATTATGTCTGTAATATCATGAGTTAACCAAGGAAGAACACCATTGCGACAACTATCAAAAGCATGAAATTTCATTCCAATACAGAAGAAGTGAAACTCGCGACCCAATCTGCACTTACAGTTACAAGTACGCAGTTTTAGATAAATTTCAAAAATTGAAAAAGAATTTTGAAAATTGACGCAGAACAGAAATTTTGATTTTGATTTTGAACAGGAGGTTGTTCAAAGAAAGGGATACACAAACCTATAAAATGGTAGAAAGGTGCTAATATTTTGATTTTGAATACTAATCCATGTATGGAAAATGATGGATCTATCAGCATCATATAAGCCCGCCAGGCTGTTTCCTGTAAATTGCAATGCCGCGTTAAATGAGCTTTTTTCTATAATAAATTTAAATATTAAATACTATAATTATATTATTTATGTATAAATTAAATTTTCTGTAAAAAATAAAATTGGTACAAGTATATTTTGCATTAATATGTTAAATGTACTAGTCTTTTTAGTATGTAAATACATAATTCTATATTAAAATATTAAATATAATTTTTATATGTAGAACTATTTGTTTTAATTTTAACATACAATAAAAAATTGCATACTCTTGATATAAAAATTTGCAAACATAAATATAATTTTTATTTTAAAAAAAACAGCTATTAACATTGACATCCCTTTTAAATTTCTATGGTTCAAAACAAAAACTAGAAACTGTACTATACGCATTTACATTTTCTATTGACACATCGTTTTCCTCTTTTTGGTGTCTGGGCTCCATGATCAAGCTTCTTATTGTACAAATGCATAGCAATAGCATTGACAATTCCATGCCCTCTTGAACTTTGAGTCAAATGGACTTGTAATACATAATGGATAATATTAACTGCACCCGTGAATAATATTTGAAATTTATTATTTTACACTTATTTAATATATTTTTTTATTAACAAAATATAATAGTCAAACTACTTGTTATTAATTAAATATTAATATAAATAACATTAATATATTAATATTTAATCTTTCAATAAAACTTTATATTTTGAAAGACAACATAAACCGTATTTACAAATCACAAAGACGACCAATAAAACTCTATTTAATTAAGTGTTTGAATAGAAAGAATTTTCTATAAAATGTTTTTATAGGCAATTGGAATTCATAGTCTACTACAAGTTAATAATTCTCTTAATATGAACAGTAAACAAAATTTCAAAATCAATTCTTATGGAATTTTTTTTTTTTTTACTTTGAGAAGAAAATATATATTCAAAATTAATTGCAAAAAAAGAATGTCAAATAAGAATTTCCAACCAATAATAATTACTCAATAACAAGTTCCATCAAATTTCCGTAAAAAAAAAAAAAAAAAAAAAGGATGTGTTTGAAAGCACAACATAAACCGTATTTACAAATCACAAAGACGACCAATTAAAACTCTTATGTTAATTAGAGTGTTTGAATAGAAAGAATTTCTATAAATGTATTTTATAGGCAATTGAATGTCATCAGTCCTTACTACAAGTTATATAATTTCTTCTTAATATGAACAGTAAACAAAAATTTTCAAAAATCAATTCTTATGGGAGGAATTTTTTCTTTTTTTTACTTTGAGACATATTATATTCAACAATCTAAATGCAAAAAAAGAATGTCAAATAAGAATTTCCAACCAATAGATAATTACTTCAATACAAGTTCATCAAATTCCGTTAAAAAAAAAAAAAAAAAAAAAAGGTTCCATCAACTATGAAGTTTCCTCTTAAACATTTTAGCTGGACCATCTCTGTAATTTCAACCAAATAACTGTACTATTCCAATTTTCAGAGGTCAAGCAAGAATAATATATGGGCATTATATATTTTCCTTAATAAACCTATATTAGGCCGGTTAAAAAAATTTTCAAATCAATATAAAAATGATAATTATGGAGGTACATGACCTTCTCTTCTAAAAATTTAAAAACAGTCTATAAAACAGAAACATGATTTATAACTAAAAAATAATAATTATTCATTGATTTAAATCAAGAAACATCCTAAAAAATATTAAAAGCTAAAACCTTTGCAAAAACAAATTAATAGATCCCTGACTAGATAAATTTCCCTTGAATCTTTGTATTTACATGATCTAACCTCATCACTCATGAATTAGTATTTGATGCATGAATACAAAGGGATGTGAAAATCACTAAGTCTAGTGAAGCAACAAATCGACTACTTAGACTCTAAAAGACACAAAATCACGGTTATAGTTTAAAAAAAAAAGCCAGCAAAGTGTCCAAAATAATACAAAATAAACGCAAACCACGAATATTCCATAAGAATAAGAGAGATCATAAACTTCATACAAGATGGAGATAAAACCATAAAAAAAACATAATAAGAAAAAGATATAAATAACATAAGTGCTATACTTCAATAGACATAAATTTTTGTAATTTATTTAATAAATAAATATAAAATGGCAACAAAAAAGTCAGAAAATCTAAATGGGTCTCAATCTTGTCAGGAAGTCGGTTTCACAGGAATGAGTTCTCCTATATCTATATGTTAGATTTCTGTGTTCAAACGGAGAAAAAAAAGAAGAAAATTTTTATGAAGGAAAGAGGGATCTACCGAGAATATCTAGTATACTATAACTAGTTAGTGCTGATATAAAAAAATTAAATACAAAAAAAAAAAAAAAAAAAAAAGGTTCCATCAACTATGAAGTTTCCTCTAACATTTTAGCTGGGACCATCTTGTAATTTCACAAATATGTACTATCAATTTTCAGAGGTCAAGCAAAATAATATATGGGGATATATATTTTCTAATAATATATTAGGCCCGGTTAAAAATTTCAAATCAATATAAATGATATATGGAGGACATGACCTCTCTTCTAAAAATTAAACATATAACAAAACAATTATAACTAAAAATAATAATTATTCATTGATTTAATAAGAAATCCTAAAAAATATTAAAAGCTAAACTTGAAAAAATTAATAGATCCGACTAGATAAATTTCCTGAATCTTTTATACATGATCTAATCATCCATGAATTAGTTATTTATGATGAATACAAAGGATGTGAAAATCACTAAGTCTAGTGAAGCAACAAATCGCACTACTAGACTCTAAAAGACAAAAATCATCGTATAGTTTAAAAAAAAAATCCACAAATGTCCAAATATACAAAATAAACGCAAACCAAATATTCCATAAAATAGAGAGATCATAAACTTCATACAAGATGGAGATAAACCATAAAAAAATAATAAAAATATAAATAACATAAGTCTATACTCAATAGACATAAATTTTTGTAATTTATTTAATAAAAAATATAAAATTGGCAACAAAATCAGAAATTAATGGGAGGGGTTGTCACAGGAATGAGTCTCTATATCTATATGTTAGATTTCTGTGTTCAAACGGAGAAAAAAAAGAAGAAAATTTTTATGAAGAAAGAGGATCTACGAGAATATATATATATATATATATAGTGCTGATATAAAAAATTAATACATATTTCCTACTACCAACTTTAGAATATTTCAAGTTTTCGAAAGAAGCTTTGACTATGCCATTGAATTGTTTAAGTTAAAATTAGACTCAGTTCACAATTGTGCTGGAGCTTTCAATTTATAAAAAAAGTTACAAATTAAACAAATTTAAGTTTGATTTATGAAAAATTTTAATTGGTATTTTTTTGAGTGAAAAATTTTAATTAATAAAATCATTAAAATAATTATTTAATGTTTAAATATTTATTTTTATTGTAAAGGATGAAAAATGTAATTCCTTGCTACTCCTTTTTTTCTTATCTTTTTAAATGTATTTTGTGGAAAAATGGCAAAAACGATTACTTATACTAATATTTTAACCGCACGCCACACCAAAACAAGCCTTTTTTTTTTATTTGATTTTCAATTTTGACATTTCTTTTTTAAAATCGATAACATAAAATCCCGGTTTGGCAGTCGGAGGTCAACACGTTCGTTTTCGTACAGAGTACAGATATGACATGCGTTTTTTCTCATTACGAACACAAACAAGAAAACCTCTAATCAAAAGCGTCTAAGAAGAACAAATCACAAGAATTTTTATTCAATTCCCACCAAATCCCTGGAACTCAAAGTTTCCCAGAAATCAAAATAAAAAATTTCACTCATATTTTCTGTTACTTTCCCATGGGCCTAGTTTTCATTGGAACTTGAAAACTATGACAAAGTCGAAGAAGTTCTTTCAGAATCTGATAAAGCCTTTCAAGTTTGGTTCAGGCAAAGGTAACTAGAGAAACACAGTTCCTTTTCTTTTTTATTTTTCTTTTGTTGTGATCTACTGCATAATTGACTAAATTTATGATTTTTATGCATGTTCTTTCTTGATGTATGTTTTTGATATAACCAGAAGGCCAAGCTGAAGAGGACTTGGACAAGATTGCTGCTCAGGAACAGAAGCAGTTTGCATATGATACCTTAGCTTTTGCCACCAAAGATTTTCACCCAACTCACAAGCTTGGTGAAGGGGGATTTGGACCTGTCTATAGGGTAAACATCTCTCTTTAATTGGGTGAATTGATGAAATTCTGTTTGCTTACTTTGAGATTTGGTGTATAGAATTGAACAAGATTTTATGAGTTTTTGGGGTTTTGTTTTCAAGAATTGATGGTTTTTTATTGGTATTGTTTATCAAATGTATGGAAATAATTGATGATTCTGTTTTCAACATCGTTGTTTATTTCTTTCCTTTTTTTTTTTTTTCCCAATCAATAGAATTTAACAATGTTTCATGGTTTTCGGATGTAGTGTCCTTGGCATTTTTATGAATATGTTTAAATATGTATAAAATAAAATAAAAAAGAAAAATGGCATAGATATTTTCTAACAAAAAAGTTGTAAAAAAAATTTCTCCTTTGCTTTATTCCTGAATCTCGAAGATGCCAATGTTGATATATAAAATTTCTTGGTAACCAAAAAAGGGAAGAAGAACTTCTTCTAACTTGTGGAATGTTTTAAATAGGGAAGGTTAGATGATGGGAGAGAGATTGCAGTTAAGAAGTTGTCCCATAGCTCAAATCAAGGGAAGAAAGAGTTCACGAATGAGGCTAAGCTCTTGGCACGTGTCCAACACAGGAATGTTGTAAATTTGTTAGGTTATTGCACTCATGGAACAGAGAAGCTACTGGTATATGAATATGTCGCTAATGAGAGCCTTGACAAGTTCCTCTTCAGTAAGTAGCAGAGCCTTATCTCTTTATTCATGTTCGTGATCCTTATATTACTAATGTGGATTAACTGAATGAAGTTCCATCAAATAGCATCAATATGTTTAAGTTCCAAGTTCATTCATATATTTATTTGTATTTTTGCTAATCTTTTAACTTAATTAAGGAGTTGGGTGTTTCTTGTTTGCCCCCAAAATCAGGACAATCCGCCAGTCCATTAGTCTTTGCACATAATTTTTATTTTCAAATGCTTTCGTTTAGGCTCATGATAATAACCATGTAACACTTGGATTTTTCCCAATGTGTAGTATCAAGGTTTTTAAATTTTTTTTTGTCTGGTATTCTAGAACTGTTGAATATCAGAGAGTGTTCATTTCTTGTTTTAACTTGTGACCAAGTTTGTTTTATTGTTTTAGAGGTTGTTTCAAGTGCCATATCATTCATTTCGCTAATCAATTTGATTGATTAACCTGTCTGGACTGAAATGATGGAAATTTTTTCTTTATTGTCTACCTTATTTTTAGCGAATTTCTGCAAATGCTACTTTGAGAATATATTGCTTGGCTTAGTTGAGTAAACAAATTATACCAACAAGCATGAATGATCAATTGAAATGAATTATTTGGAGACAATCACCTAACTTGGAGGTGGCTGCAGATAATTGATATTAATAGATTTAAAATTGATTTATAATTGTATACATATCCTCAAAACTCTTGACATTTAACCTAATACGAAAAATAAAGAAAATAAAGGAGGGGCAGCTGTGTAATGAACAGATGTTATCAGTTGTGCATTCTGTTTCTAAATAATTAAAAAAAAAAAAAAACTTAAAATGATGCTTGCTTTGCTTTGATGAAATAATAGAAAACTTATATATTGAGAGACACATGCCACCAAATTTTGGCACATTTCTGATCTAAATTGGTAACAAGATTGGCAATAGAGAGGCGAGCTGATAAGTATCTTGGAATATACAAAAATTCCACATTTAGTTGTAGCTTTTTTTAACTTACTTCTATATGATGTTTGCTTGAGATTTTCCTTTTATAATGTTTATTTGAGATTAACTTACTTCTAAAAGTAATGAAATATTTTCCCTACATTCCTTTACAATCCGCTTGAGAGAGTCAACTTATGAGGTCATGACTAATATTTCTCTTTGAATTTGTATGCCTCATGCTCCAAGCAACCCAGTAGTCAGAAGTTCACCTCTTTTTTTTTACAGATTCTAACACAGTTTTGGAGGCTGAGAATGGAAGAAAGTTCTCCCAACTGCTCTAGGTTTCAACCTATCTCTAACCACTATGTTGATATACTGAAGTTTAAAGGACTTATGAGATGTTCATGACACCTGTCTATTTGTTTATGTTTTAAGTTTGCATTCTAGTTGTCTCTACAAAATGGTTACAGTGATGATTCTGATGCAGAATCCAATAAAAGGGAGCAACTTGATTGGAAGCAGAGACATGATATAATAACAGGCATTGCACGGGGATTGCTTTACCTTCACGAGGATTCACACAATTGCATCATCCACCGGGACATCAAAGCTAGTAATATCTTGCTTGATGATAAGTGGATTCCTAAGATTGCTGATTTTGGCATGGCCCGCCTCTTCCCCGAAGATCAAACACATGTACACACCCGAGTGGCTGGTACAAAGTATGTTTTCAACCAGTACTCTACCATAAATTTTTTGTTTCTCTAGAACTACAGTATGATACGATCCAAGTACTTGGTAAAAAGTTGGAAAGTCAATATAACACATGTCCTTATAATTTGTAACAGTGGGTACATGGCCCCAGAGTATGTCATGCATGGGCATTTATCAAAGAAGGCAGATGTATTTAGCTTTGGGGTTGTGGTTCTGGAGCTCGTCAGTGGCCAGAGGAATTCAACATTTAATCAATCACTTGATGCTCAAAATCTACTTGATTGGGTAAGACTGATTAAATATGCTTTGATTAGAGATCATTTCTGATATTTTGTTTGCCTTATTTTTTTGGTTCTTGTATTTTGTTTACCTACTTTAATGACAAAGGAAAAGCTTTTGCTGTGGTCCAATCAAATTTCGGTTTGTAGACGTATTGACTTATATAGTTATCTTAGGCCCTTGTTTTGAGAGAGAGAGAGAGAGAGAGATTTGCCTATTCATATGAAACTGGTAAAAGGAAATTAATCATCAGAATCTGCATGCTTCAGCTAGTCAGAAGTAGTATTCAAAAAGAAAAAGTCAAAATCAAATCAAGAAAGTCAAAAATGGGAGATGATGGAAGTCATGAAACACTCTTTTCAAATAAAATATATATATATATAGATATATAGTAAATAATGGATAATTGAAAGAGAGATAATTTCTTGTATGCTAACTCCATGATGCCGTACAATGTGGTGGAAGGTATGTAGGAAAGTGTTGATTTAAATGGCACAAGATCGAAGTCCTTGTTCTTAGAAATGGGTATCAAAGACAATCTAATGTGTTATAGAGACATGGACAGCTTACAAATTTATGTATCTTTTGGATTCTACTAGTACTTTGTAGAGCTCCTTTATAAGTGTACATATTGCTGTTTTTGGTGCATTGGCCTGGCCCTACACTTGGGTTTTAAAAATGATTTTATTGCTGGTGCAGGCATATAAGCTCCATAAAAAAGATAGAAGTCTGGAGATTATGGATCCTACATTAGCATCATCAGCAGTTGCTGAACAAGTAAAACTGTGCATTCATATAGGGCTACTATGCACACAAAGTGATCCAAATTTACGGCCAGACATGCGACGCGTAGTCATCCTGTTGTCAAAGAAACCTGGCAGCCTAGAAGAACCGACTAGGCCTGGAGTGCCTGGTTCCAGATATAGAAGATCTCGGAGACCACCTGGAATGTCTTCGACTGCTGGAACATCTGGTGATTTTGATTCACGGACGTATGATTCAAGCTCAAATGCCAATACTGCTACAGCATCTACTACAACTCATACTAGCCCAAGATTAGATCCTCATGGGAAACGTCCCATGGAAAGCTGAGCTTAATTCAGTAGACATTTTTTACTGTTCTTTGTATGATATAGGTGTATTAAATTTATTATTGTAGTGTGTAAATGTTTAATTGGAAATTAGTGAATATGTACAAGATGCTCTTGAACCTCTCTTCTTCTTGGAAGTTATTGATAGGGGAAATGCAATCACAAATTTTGGCTTTAATGTCTAATTTCTCAGGTTTGCATAACTAATTTGTAGTTAAGATCGAACATTTCAATTGCACAGCAAACAATTAGAATAGCTAGAATACAAATTAAAAAAAAAAAGAAAGACAAAAATTGGATTTGAAATCTGTTATGGGCTCTGTTATGTTAAATTTGACAATTTCTGACATCTTTTTTTTTATTTAGATGATATTTTCAGAAAATTAAAATAGTATATTATTTTATTGCAAGAATTATTTTTTTAATTTTTGTGAAAAATTAAGAAATATTAAATCTAATGGAACGGACAGAGTAATTCTTTGAAAATTACAAACACTTCAACTTTAGAACTTTAGGATTTGAACAGATAAATTTTATTTTCAATTAGGTTCATTTAATGAAATTTATTGTTAAAATACTTTGAAATCATGGTAAGAAATCTGAAATTATTTCTACTCATTTCCCATTCTTTTTTAAGAAGCATGAATTCCCTGTAAGCAACCTGCACAGTAGGATGAGTAATTAAAATTCAAAAATTGATATCTTGTTCACAATTTTATGTTGGCTTTATTAATTGAATTTTATTTAAATTTACAATTTTTAATTACGAATTAATAATATCAGTAACCGAAAGTGCATGGATTCTTCACTATTAGTGCGATTATGGTTTCACATACAAAACGACAATCTGACCAACAACACCTTCGATTCCCTCAGGTTCTCTACCTAGGCAACACGTACAATGTAAAAGCAGAGAAACATTTCTCTCTCGAGCAACTCGGTCTTAAAGCGGACCCCACTTTCCGCACTTGGATGCTGATCACTGTCTTAAAATATAAAAAATTTTCGGATAACTCAATCTCACGTGATAGTCATGCCGTGTCAGTGCCCTATTGGCCGATTCTCAGTTATCAATCTTTTCCTCGACCCAATTAGAATTTGCAACGTATGAAAGCGCGCAGGCTATAACATCACACCCAATAAAAGCCAAAAAAAATGTTTTTGAAACGCTCGTGATAAGGCAAAGAATTCAAAAACCGGGACAACATCGTAAATTAGCATTTCAAATATTAAAATCCCGAAGCAAGTTCTTATCCACGTCATCAATCCGTGTGCTTTGGTTAGTAGAAAACATCAACCATTAGATCCTCACCCGAAATTACAATCCCCTAACCGTTGGATCCTTCTTCAACTTCTCAACCTCGTCTCCTTTTGCTTTTCGATCCGATCCTCGAGAAAAACCTGCCCTTTTAAATCCTCCCCTTTACTACCACTCTTCTCTCCATTCAAAACAGTTCGCTACCTTATACTGTCTTTCACTTTCCCTCATTTTGTTGAAAAAATTTTCAAACTTTCATGGCTACCACCGAAGAATTTTCTAATTCACAACCTCCGCCTTTTCATCCTCCTGCTTCAGTCCTTCAAGAACAACAGCAAACCCAACCACAACAGCCACAGCAACAGTCCTCCACTATTCCTCAGTATCCTGAGGTATTATTTTACTCACCATGACAATGTCTTTTTATTTTCTTGTTTAATTCCATTTAATTTTGTGTTTAGGGTTTAATAAAACTTAAATTTCTTTGTTTTTTAGCTAATTATGCAAGCGATCGAGGCTTTGAACGACAAGAACGGCTCCAACAAGTCAGCGATTTCGAAACAAATCGAGACTATTTACCCCGATCTACCGGCTGCGCACACTACGCTGCTTTCTCACCACCTGAACAAGATGAAGCAAAGCGGCCAGCTCGTTATGGTAAAAAACAACTACATGAAGCCTGACCCAAACGCTCCACCTAAGAGAGGTCGCGGCCGCCCACCTAAGCCTAAAGTGCCACTCCCTCCTGGAACCGTAATATCACCACCCAGACCACGTGGTCGCCCACCGAAGCCAAGAGACCCATTTGCTCCAGTAGCTTCACCTAAGAAGAAAAGCCCCACGGGTAGTGGAAGGCCACGTGGACGTCCACCTAAGAAGGCTAAGCCGGCAGGTGCTCCAGCTCCGGTTACGGTTTCTCCATCTCAGGCAAAAGGTGTCAAAAGAGGAAGAGGTAGACCGCCAAAGGTTAAGCCGGCAGTAGCTCCTCTCGCCGGCTGATGGGACGGAATTTAGACAGAGACAAGAAGAAAGAGTTTTTCTTTTTTTATTATTCTTTATAATTTTTTAGGTGTGTTAGTTCTCTCTACTAATTGATGTTTTAGCTTTTAGCTGTTTTTCTTTTTCTTTTATTTTTTCCCCTTAATCAATGTTGTTAGTTTAATATGTGGTGGTGAAGAGAAAGAGAGAGAGAGGGAAAGAAAGAAAGAAAGTGTTGTAACGTTGTGTTAGAGAGAGGGTTTAGTGTAACTGTAATTTGCATGTAAATTGAGCAGCTCCTGTGTAGGCTTTATCCCCTCCTTTAGTCATATCTCTCTTTGATAATCCAAAAGAAAAAGAATGATTCTAATCACTTTCATTTATTTGTTTTTTTTTTCTGTATTTGCTTTTTCTTTTCCTCCATGTTACTTGTCTCTCACACTCCAAAAATGAAAATGGGTATCTTTGTTTATAGATTTTGTCTTTATTTTTGATAATAAATAGAAGATGGGTTTGTTGAAAATAATATTGTCAAGGTGGCATTAGTCATTACTCATTAGATTAGGCTTTTTCTTTACAGAAATAATTGTGTAGCATATGCCCAACATGTTACCTTTTGGATAGCATGCTTAATTTCACATGGCTTGGCTTTTAAATAATTTTTGCTTAGACAGAATCTAAAATCTTCTTGATGAGGTTATTTTTGAAAATTTTGGGCGGGTTTTGACTAATTTTTAGAAGTGACAATGGTCCTCTTGTTGGTGGCAGAATCTCTTTTCCCATATTCATGCAAGTGGTGCAGAGTGCAGGCGGGCAGGGCTTTGACCATCCTCCTTGTTCATTTTGTTGCTTCCTTCAAATTTGGTTTTGGTTCTTCATGCTCAGGATTTCGACTATTGCTCCTTAACTGTTATTTTTCTGTACTTGATGTCACATAATGGTACAGATTGTAGTAAATTGAAAAAATAATAATAATAACATGGAGTAGTAATTTAAAACTAAGGCAGCATTGTTATTTTTATCTTGGAAAAAATACACTATAAAATTGTATAATGACGCCATAGAAATTATATTCTCAGGGATTTTGGTATATTCGATCGTAATGATTATAGTCATATACTATCACCCTGTAAGATGCAAAAAGTCGGATACTTACACTCCCGTGTCTTATAATTTTGGCAATTTTCCTTTAGGATATTTAACAATTCGCATTCAATCTATTTTATTCCTATATTTATTTTGTTTCTTTTCTCACTACAATCTTTGCATTTTTCTTATTTTTGGTCTCATTACTTGTTATATATTTTGTTTTATTAAACATATTATAGATTAATCTGAACTAAGACTTGATATATATAATATTTAATTTGATTATTTTTATACTTAAGAGAAGGCTAAGTTGTGGATTTTTTTCTTATAGATATCATTTAAAAAAAAAAAATCATTAATAATGAATATAAATTGAGTACATCATAATAATATTTCTATAGAAATAAGAAATAGAAATATAGAAAACGAGAAAATTTCAAACCAGAAGATGCCAATTCAATATTTATAAAAAAATTTATGCTTTAGAATTATATGTATATATAGATTAGTACTAGGAAAACTTCACAACGTTAAAAAAATTGATTAAATCAATAACCCCAATTCTAGAAAAAAAAAAAAAGATTAACCAACTAAATTATCCTTTAATTAACATTCAATTTATTAAGATAAAATTTAATAAAAATATTTAGACAGTAAAGTCAGAACAAAATAATTGATACTTACTAAGTTTTAAAATACTATTATTGTCCTCTTTTAATAAAATTGTCATTTAATTAATATATCATTTTTGGTACTTTCGAGAAATAAATTATTATTAAATATATATTAATCAAACACTTAAATTACCTATTTATTTGATCTATAAATTGAAAAATACATTTTAATTAAATGAAAAGTTAAAATTAAATACCTAAACCGATTACTTAATCTCTGTTGACTGCAGGTGGGTGCAAAGAGTAAAATAAACTAACCCCCGATTACTTAATCTCAGTGCATTCAAATAATGACCTCCATTATGCAGATGTTCATTTACTTGTCGTTCGCCGAACTCAACTGAGCAAGATTATTTGTCCTACAAATGGACTTGTCAAGTGATTCCAAACGACAGGTTTTTGTTAACTGAAAACGACTTATCACCGGCGACAAAAGCCAATGGGCTGGATTCAGGGAGCATGATCCAAAGTCACAACAAGCCGCACATAATTTTCTCTTTCTTTATTTTTTTTTCCTATTTTGAATTTTTCCAGAAAAGAAAAAACAAAAAACCGTGGGAACCGTTCTCCTCTCTCTGTCAATCCGCCAAGAAGCCATGTGGCTCCAAATCATACGTAAGGCTTTAAATCTACTCTATCGAATCGCACAATCCTCGATATATCCTCTCGCTCTCTCTCTGTTTCGTTGGAATCTGACTCACACACTCCGCTTTTAACCATTGAAGCACACGTATCCAAGTGAGCCAGCACTCTCTAAACCAACTTCTTTCCCCTTTTTATCCTCTATATAGTTCACATCACTAACCTCTCTCGCTCTGTATGTCACAAGCACTTTGTTTACTCCGATTTTGATTGTAGGCACTGAGAAATGGTAGTGTTCAAGGTTTCGCGAGTGGAGACTACGCCTTTCGATGGCCAGAAACCGGGAACTTCTGGTCTTCGTAAGAAGGTTTTGATCCTTTTATTAATCGAATCGATGATCTAATTACTGTTGGATTCCTCTCCATTTAGTTTCTTTTTTGTTTTTTTAGAATCAGATCTATTATGATCAATCATTTGCCTCTGGCTTGATGATGTTTGTGAAAATAATCTAGATGATAATAGATCTCTGCTTCTGTTACAATCCTTTTGGTTTGATTTCTTATCGGTTTATTAGTAGTTTAGATCAGTGATGCTCTGTGATAATTATTGATTACTATTATTATTTGGCTGAATTGTTGAATCTTATGATCTCATTTTTCTTGTAATTTTATGTTCAACCAGCCTTGTTCCTTTATGTGTAATTTTAGCTGGTACTACCTAAGCAAGATTATGATCCAGCTCAATCTTTCTTTTTCTTATTTCATTTTGTATCTAAATAAATTTACCTAGTGATACTCATTATACCATTTTTGATTAAACTCTTTCGATTGATGGATTTATGTTAAAAGTGATCTTCCACATAGATTCATTTCACTGCATGCTCTATAGAGAGTGTCATGGAGCTTAAGACTGACTCCATAATTTGTTTGAAGATTAATTTCTTATTTCTTTTGTTAGATCTGGTGAATGCATAATGCCTGCACTAGGCCAAATGGAATATTACGTATGGCATTCCGTCATTTTCGTATACACCATCAAGTTTTTTTGTCTATTGTTATTGCAATGTTATTAAACATTAACAAACATAAGGGTGGCAATATGTCAATTATAGCATCCGTAATAGTGTTATAACTAACTGGAAAAAATCAATCCACGCTATATCCATTTCTCACCTATTTGAACCAGAGTTTATGGGTTGGTTATATTTTGCCAACTCTAGATAAACATCATGAGGTCAGACAAGGATGCTAGGATATGTAGTATCTGTTTTATAAGAATGTATTCTTGTTGGCTAGTTTCATCTGCAACAGTTGCTATTCCTTCTTTAATATGCTGACTGGTTCTCTCAGGTGAAAGTGTTCGTGCAACCTAATTACTTGCACAATTTTGTTCAGGCAACATTTAATGCCTTGACTGCTGAAAAAGTCAGAGGTGGGTTCAATAATTTATCTTATTGCTTAATGCTTCCTTGTAGAAAATAATAATTAAGAGGTAGATTTAAATCATTTGTGATAAGTCTTATTTTCCATTCTTTATGCTTGTGCATTTGGATTTTCTACAGTTTGATATAGAATTTTCTTTCTTTGGTTCAAGCCATTTTTGACTTTCTGCTGTGAAATCAACCACAAAAGCAGCATTTGATTGCTGTGATATGTTTAAATTAAAACAGTTCCATTGTTACGTGGGTGATGTTGGAAAATTTATTTCTGTTTTTTTTTTTAAACCTTATGCAGCGAGTGCTTTGGTTAGCTTTTTATGTGCTTTGCGTTTTTATTTTTCTTTGATAAGCAGGTGCTACACTTGTTGTTTCTGGTGATGGCCGCTACTTCTCAAAGGATGCCATTCAGGTATCTCTCTCTCTGACTTTCTCTTGTTTTGTTAATTCCTAGCAGGACCTAGTAATTCTATATTTTAAATAGAATCCCACAGCCAAAGGATATGGCATGTGAAAAGTTTTCTTTCAGTGCTTATATGAATACCATTCAAAAATCAAAAGGCATATTCTATTGTAATTTAGCCTGCAAGTCAGAATTTGTGGTTCATGAATGCTCAAGGTCCAATCTTTTTGTGTAAATTGACGTAAAATAAAAGAACCACTTGTTATACATGGCACTATGTATCTTGTTTAACTTACATGTATGCCTCCACTATTGAGTGTGTGCTTATCCTTTCCTTTTTTTTTTTTTTTTTTTTTTTTTTAAATTTGATAAGCCAGCTAGGTGCTACACTTGTTGTTCTGGTGATTTGGCCGCTACTTCTCGAAAGATGAGCCATTCAGTGTATCTCTCATCTCTGACTTTCTTCTTGTTTCTGTTAATTTCCTAGCAGGACCTAGTATTTCTATATCTTTAAATAGAATCCACAGCCAAAGACCATATGGCATGTGAAAAGTTTTCTTCAGTGCTCTATATGAATTACCATTCAAAAATCAAAAGGCACCCTTTCTATTGTAATTTAGCCTGCAAGTCAGAAATTTGTGGTTAAACATGAAGGATGCAGTAGGGTCAATTCTTTTTGTGGTAAAGTTGAACGGGTAAAATAAAGACATGCCCACTTGTGGTATAACTATGGGGCAGCGACATGGATCTTGTGTTTAACTTACATGTATGCCGTCCACTATGAGTGTGTTCTTGCTCTTCCTTTGTCCTTTTTTTTTTTCTTGTTTTTTTTTTAAATCTTAGGAATTTTAAGTGCACTAAATAACTTCATGCGTCTCTTGAACCCTGTAACTTCTCTTGGTTGAGTCTTCCTTTTTTTTTTTCTTTTTTTTTTTTTTAAATTTTAGGAATTTTAAGTGGCACTAAATAACTCATGGTCTCTTGACCTGTAACTTCTTTGGTTGAGTCCCATATCCAACTCCTATGTCTGTCTGCTCTATATTCTATCTCCTAATGTCTTGATAGTGAGTTTGTTTTGTTCCTGGCTGGATTGAGTTTGTTATGACCTCAAAACTTATGGAAGCTTGTTGCATTGCTTCCCGATAAGAAATTCTTGTGTCTTCTCTCTCCCTTCTCTTCTTGGATATTTATTTAGTTACTTTCGTTTATTGCTTGGATTATTGTGGATGAAAGGACTTCTTTAATGTTCTTAATGTTGTATTTATATAAATATTTCTTCTTCAAGATTCCCTAATTACATAATCGTATGCTCTAAAATTTTATTTTGTTGAAATGCCAGATTATTATCAAGATGTCAGCTGCAAATGGAGTAAGGCGTGTTTGGGTTGGTCAAAATGGATTACTTTCAACTCCTGCTGTGTCAGCTGTAATTCGTGAAAGAGTCGGAGTAGATGTAAGTTGTTTTGCATTGCAAGCTAGTTCTTAATTCTTCAATAATAGTTGTACTGACAAGTATTATGGTTTTTACCTCTGAACTTTAATGTCAGGGATCCAAAGCAACTGGAGCATTTATATTGACTGCAAGTCACAATCCAGGTGGTCCACATGAGGTATGGCATAACATTTGCTGCTTCTTGTTTGGGATTATGTTCATAAGTGCTGCCTCATTTTACATCTTGGTTTCCTCATGAAATGGAAAGGGACACAATTCCTTCCTAAAGTGGAACTGCAGGAATTCAATATCAATGGTTGTTTTTATTTCCCATCTTAGATAATAGCGAAGCCATAGGATTTGTCCTCTGAAATCATTATGAAATAAGCGGGGGAATCATCTAGGGAGATCATAAAATCTTTACCTTTTTCTTGTTCATTTTAATTGCAGGATTTTGGAATCAAATATAACATGGAAAATGGTGGACCTGCTCCCGAGGGAATCACGGATAAGATTTATGAGAATACAAAGACAATCAAAGAGTACCTAATTGCTGATCTACCTAATGTATATCCTGCATTATATGCCCCTTTTCTTTCATTTCCCCTTAGTACTTCAATTGGACCATTAAAATTATGATTTTTTAAAATATGTTTGTATTTCATTACTCTCTTTATTTTCCAGGTTGATATTTCTGCAATTGGCGTGAGTAATTTTAGTGGGCCTGAGGGACCATTTGATGTTGAGGTTTTTGACTCAGCAAGCGACTATGTGAAATTGATGAAGTAAGCTGCTCAGTGTGACCTCCATGCTATGACGTGTTTATGTGAAGCCTTGACTTTGTTCAATTTGGTCCAAAATTAACTTTTGGATTAATTTTTGGAGGACATAAACTTTGAGTATATGATTAAATTACCCCATTTTTTTGCAAAAATCAAATAAATAAAGCATTAAGTTTTCTACTTTTAAAAATACAATTTTTTTTTTTTTTTGTAAAATTAGAGGTTTGAGAAAAACTAAAAGATTTGAAGATTGAGAAGGGTTCGCTTTTAGTACTGTGTTTCTCTCCATCTTCGACGATGGGATTGAATTTATTTTCTATTTTTATTTAAATATTTTTATTATTTTAAAAATATTTTAAGATATAAAATTTTATTTTATTTTATTTTTACCAAAAATGGTTTGAATCGATCATAAACTCAAACTTTATGTTCTAAAGGGATCCAGAAATTAATTTTGGACTAAATTGGACATGTAGTGAAAGTTTAAGGGCCAAATTGAGCATTTTTTCATTAGATGGCAAATATTCTTATCCTGCTGTGTCTTAAATAATTTTCCCTTTTGCTTTAAGATGTATGCTGAAGGGTAATCATTGTTTACTTGTTCAACAAAATACCACCAGTTTGAGGATTCTCTGGTCTTATCTTTTAAAATTTTGTGATATAACTTGTCATTGTGCTTTTCAACTGTTTAATACTCCTTAAACAATTGCCAGGTCTATATTTGATTTCGAGTCCATAAGGAAGCTGCTTTCATCTCCGAAATTCACATTTTGGTATGTAGGTGACTTCTTCTGGTAGCTTATGTGAAAAACAATACTTTGTCTATGATAATATACTGATATTCATTTGATGATTTCTGTTGCGCCATTGTGGAAGTTATGATGCATTACATGGAGTTGCTGGGGCTTATGCAAAACGTATTTTCGTGGAGGAGCTTGGTGCACAAGGGAGTTCATTGTTGAACTGCGTACCCAAGGTTTTGCTAATTTTGTGATGATTTGCTAATACTGTCAACGAGCTCTCTTTTGCATTATAAGGATCTATTTTTTCTGGCTGGTTCTGCTTGATTAATGCAAACAGGAGGATTTTGGAGGAGGTCATCCAGATCCCAACCTTACTTATGCAAAAGAGTTGGTTGCTCGGATGGGATTGGGTAAATCAAACTCTGAGGTTGAACCGCCAGAATTTGGTGCTGCTGCTGATGGTGATGCAGATCGTAACATGATCCTTGGTAAAAGGTAGCCCCTCTTGTTTGTAAGTGACAAAATTTGTTGTCACGGGAATGCCTAAACCTCATATTCCTACTTGTGTTAATTTTTTAGGTTCTTTGTCACTCCTTCGGATTCTGTTGCAATTATTGCTGCCAATGCAGTTGAAGCGATTCCTTATTTCTCTGCTGGACTAAAGGGGGTTGCCAGGTACTGCATTATGCCACTTAGCTTCATTTATCATATTGGTTGTTCATTTGCTCCTTGTTGGATCCAATCGTATGCAGCCTAGTAGTTTTCTCTTTAGGTTTAATGGCAAAAACTTTTTATGTAAAGCACTAAGAGAAGAATATCTAGCATAACATTCTCAAGCAGGCTAGCTTTCAATTATCTGTGAGTCTTGCCAGCTGTGCATATAAACCTGCTTAAATTGCTTGCTTGAGTTCTTTTATTGCTTTGTTCCTGTAACTTATGTATAGGAATCCATAAAGTTATGATTTTATCTTAGTTTATTGTTGTGTTAGGTAATCAGGCTAAAAATATTTTCACTGTGTTTTGACATGATTCTGATAAATAACCTCTCCCATCTCACCCCCCCTGTCCACCCTCTTATCTTTTCTTCCAAAGTTTTAGAAGGAAATTCTCTTTTGTACATGTAGGAGCATGCCAACATCAGCTGCCCTCGACGTTGTGGCCAAACATCTGAATTTGAAATTTTTTGAGGTATTATTTTGCACATATCTTTTCTGATTTTTCTCTGCTGATGGTATTCCTAGACATGTAATTTGGTTATTTAATGTTCAACGCCAGGTTCCCACTGGCTGGAAGTTTTTTGGCAACTTGATGGATGCAGGACTGTGTTCAGTTTGTGGGGAAGAAAGTTTTGGAACTGGTTAGTGCTACTTCTGTTTGTACAGTAAAATTCCGTATTCTCGTAGCTTTTAGCAAATTCTAAAACATTATTTTTTGTTAATGACTTGTTAACAGGCTCAGACCATATACGTGAGAAAGATGGAATTTGGGCAGTTCTGGCTTGGCTATCTATACTTGCTCACAAAAATAAGGAAAACCTCAATGGCGGAAAGCTTGTGACCGTTGAAGATATTGTTCGCAACCATTGGGCTTTCTATGGCCGCCACTATTATACTCGATATGACTATGAGGTATTATTGTTTTTTACTTTTTCTTTTTTTCCTTTTGTTTTTACATTTTTGTTATTCAACTTCTAGCTGCTGTGGATCTTGGATTGTCATTTAACGGGCTAAAATTTCTTGAAGAATGTTGATGCAAGTGCAGCAAAGGAACTAATGGCGCACTTGGTTAATCTGCAATCTTCCCTTGGTGAAGTTAACAAGTACGTCTTACATGCTACTTCAGAACCTTTTTCTGCATCAAACAAAGTTTCTTCACCCTTCCTTTGAAGGAATAGCATATTTGTGACTCAATCCCCTTGAAATTATATTAGTTTGTTGTTCGGCTTTTAAATGCACAATGCATCCTTTATACTTTGGTTTTGTTCATTCAATAGTGTTGTTAGCTATGGTGGCTAAGCTGAAGGTTTTCAGTTTTCTGGAGTTTGGCTCGACCCCTAAAATGAGACACTGTCATCTGTTGTAAATCTGTGGTTTCTGGACTGCTTCAGCTGCATTTATTCTAATGATTGCATTTGCATCAAACAATCAATTTCTCAAAATACATAAAAAGAGTTTTGAGCATGATAAGTGATGATTCTGAACCAATCCGTATGCATTTCGATTTTATGACAGTTGTTAAGCTTTGGAATAGGTAGCTCATTTGCAATTATGATGCCGACTTATTTTTTTTGATTGGATTTTTGTGCTTGTGTAGAATTATTATCAATATAATATATTGTAATTATCTAATTGCGATATCATAAAAGCCCTTTCTTGCAGTTTATGCCTCTGATTAATATATTGTATTTTTACTTATAAACAGGATTGTGAAGGGGGTAAGGTCAGATGTGTCAAATGTTGTCCACGCTGATGAATTTGAATATAAAGACCCTGTTGATGGTTCAATCTCAAGTCACCAGGGTATTCGATATTTGTTTGAGGATGGTTCTCGATTGGTAAGCTGACTCTCGTTGTTGTGAATAATTTCAGGCATTTTTTTTTTTTTTGAAATTAGGTGTGAGATAAATGAAGCTTTGTTGATTGAATTTAACTTTTAGATTTATGACTGCCAAACATTAATGACTATATTGGATACTTTTTTAGTTGTGTAAGGAAGTAAATATTATACTTTAAAGGTCTGAATTTCAGTTGATTTCATGTTTTATTATTATTATTTTTAAAGCAAAATAGAACAGCATGAATTACGGATTTCCTCTCTAACATACATGCAGGTTTTCCGTCTCTCGGGAACTGGCTCAGAAGGTGCAACCATCCGTCTCTACATTGAGCAGTATGAGAAGGATCCATCAAAAACAGGAAGAGATTCTCAGGAAGCACTTGCTCCTCTTGTAAGCTGAAAAAAAGAAAAAAAAAAAAAAAAAGAATCTGATATAAATAATTTATAATTCCATCTCATAAAATTGGCTAATTTTTATGCCTGTCTTTGTAGGTGGACGTTGCCCTCAAACTTTCTAAGATGCAGGAATTCACAGGTCGATCTGCACCAACTGTTATTACATAGATAGATAATGCTACATGCAAGAGTGAAATTTTCTCTTAAATATTAAAATTTATCTCCTAGATGAGTTGATCTCTGCTGTGATATTTTGGAACTTCATAAGAAACTTTGACTGCTTATGTATCTTTGGCTTATTTATACTTGGAATATGCGGCCTTAAGGGCACAAGAGTATGTGCCAGAAAACAAGCCGATCTAAATTTTTGACGTGCAAAATAATATAAAATACCTCATTACTTGGCGTTTAGTGCCATTCATATGATCTTAGTGTTATTTCAATTGGATATATTTATTTTGAGTTCTCTGGTAAATATAATCTTGTCGGTTGACAGGCAGCTTCAGGACAATTAAATGTATATTTTTTCAGGGCAGTTGGCTATTATATGTTCCAGCAAACTGCAATCCTTGCGATACCTTCTAGAAGGGAAAAACGCAGTGTCAGCTATTTATCAAACTTTTTATTATTCTTTAAACTTGAATAATCTTATTCGTAAAAGAGTTACTGATTCAGATTTAATAGTCGATGCTTTCTTCTGCTGTTTCTTTGTTTTTTGTTAATATACTGGGTTTCATCTATGCAGTCAACCTCACATTGACTGGTCAATTTTGGATTGGGAAAAATTGTGTTTTTTTTTTTGGTCAATATTAAGGTGCTGCGCGTAATTTTGGAGTCAAACTCGTATGCTTGAAGCTTAATTGAAGGTCAACCGGTCGGAGAAAGCAACGTTTCCTCCGTTGCATGTCCATTTCAAAATTTTTCACATGCACTGTTTATGACTAGAGCTAGAGCCCTTATATCTAGACTACGTGATTTTGGAAAAGTCTTCCGTCTTTTAATTTATATTTTCATCATCATCCATATCCTAATGTATGAATCACTATCTGAAACACATTAAATAATTAATTAATCAACAATAAAGGCATACAAATATTATTTTATTTTTGAATGTTCAATAATACGAAAGATTTCTTTTTAGGGCATGCGCTTGCTTGCATTATCGAGACATTAAACATGTCTATGCTTGGCAGACCCAAGGTTCAAAGTCGGGGGAAAAAAATTAAATAAAAATTAGGGTGGATAAAATCATAAAAGAAAAATATTTCTGTCCCATTTATGATTTTATCATGCAGATGTCATGTTAGGAACTTAGGATAAGAATTAACTAGTGGTAGATGATTACGTTTATCAGTTTTTGGGTATCAAAGCAAGAGGCTCCTATCCATTTCCTAAACACTAAGTTCCAAAAATATTTCTGTTTTTTTAAAAAACACAAATATTTTATTGATAAAAAAAACTAAATTATTCTCAAGGTAACATTTTCCGGAATAAAAAAATTATTGTAATAAAAGAAAAAAATTTATAAACTCATATTAATTTACCAAAACAGTTGCCAGGCATTACCAATCACGGAAAAAATTACAGTTCAAAATTCTAAATTATTCTGTATCAATACATAAACTATTTCCTACCTGTAGATTTCAATTCTTTAATAAGGACCATTAGATTACAATAGAAACAATAACTTGTCACCGGCCAAACAGTTAATTACTGTGTATCTTTTTTACCTCTTCAGTAACTCTTCAGAATTCTATTCACTCAAGATTCTAGCATCAACTCTTCAGAACTCTACTCACACAAAAAAACTCTATCATGGGTTATCGTTTAGAATGCAGTAATACAAGTTTTAACCAAGTATGAATATAACCAAGAAATCCCAACGTAAAAACTAGAAATCCATATGAACAAACTGTAAAATATGCTTTCAATTAGCCATGAACCAGGAAAAAATTATTAGCAAAACCAATAACCATATTCCAAAACCAAAAACTTATATTATAAACCGTAAAAGATCATAATTTTCATAAAAATTGCAAAGTGGATTATCATTTTCATTCACCATTAAAACTAAATTAAAAATAAAAAAAAACAACAAAAACAACGTACCATGGCAGCAACTGAAATTGATAAATAGATCTTTATCAATCAAGAAGATGATTCAATTTACTTCATTTTTAGGTGCCTTGATGTTTACCTCTCTTCTTTTGGAATTGCAAAAGCTAGGTAAATTAAGAAGGAACAAGACGAAATAGAAAAATGACAAGATATATAGCTCTGTAGAAAAATAAAAATAAAAATGATAAACTAAATTAATAAGTTAACCGGTTAAAGAAATCTATTGTAATAAGTTTCTTTAACACGTGTAAACTGATCATAACTTCTCTAATCACAAATTCTGTATAACAGTAAAAGCCTCTCACAAACACTGGTTACAGGTTACCGCTAATCACAATTGCGAATTATTGGCAATTTATTATTTTTATATATTTTCTCAGATTTCATAATAAATATTTAAAGTAAGAAATTTTTATAATTCAAAATATTTTTAGATTTATAGGTAAAAATTTAATTTTTTTAACTAATTTTCAATATTGCATCTGGATAATAAAAAGCAAATTATTTAAAAATATATTTTTTAAAAATAAATTACTTGTCAAAAATAAATGCAGCCTAATTTTATTGATGCATAAGCCTTGAGTGCTTACTGGTAGGCCATAGTGTCAAAGACTCGAGTCTTCATTTGAAGATTTTAATTTAAATTAATACTGGAAGAGATAATTTTAAATATCATTTTTAATTGATGAAGTATTGTAAGTAACAATCAAATATACAGACATGTAAATTTGAAGAGATAGCTGAGTGACAAAGAACACCTGAAGTGATGGAGCGATTCATGAGTTTATGAGTTTGAACCATTTTTAACGCAAAATTTTTTATTGGAGTTTATGAATTCGAATCCTTTTTAACGCAAAATTTCCACATATGAATAGGAAATAATGGGTTTACATGGACGTGAAATGGATACCAACTGTATATATAGAATAGGAAATAATGGATTTATATGGACATGAAATGGACACCAACTGTATATCTCTAGGTTTTAAAAAAATAAAAATAAATACAACATGCAATTTGTAAAAACTTATATTCTTTCAATTTAAAAAACTTGTAAAAACATATACAAGGAGAAAATATGATCTGAAATGAAACAACACTAATTACTAGTATTATCATAAATCTATAAATTGTTACAACTTGCATGCAAAATATCTATAAACAACATAAAATACATGACTATTTCACAAACTTTTTGAAGTCACCATCTCATTATAGTTCAACAAATTAAGACAAATCCAAACCTCTACTTTTCTTTTCCTGCCTTCCTTTACGAGTAATCACATATTACAAACCAGAATCAAAAGGAACTCCAGTTGCCGGAATCCAAGAATCTCCAGCCAAAAAGTTCCCCACCGTAAACTTTCCGGCATCGGTCACTTTTGTAATAACATGATATCCAGGCCACTTAACTCTATCTCCTGTACTTGCTCCACTCCCACTATTCATATACTCAGCATAATAAAGGGTGCTCAAAGCAAAATTACCACTCCATGGTAACCAACCAGCAGGATCAATTAACCCATCTAAATTACTCTTCAAAATTACCGTTCTTGAATATTCCTGCCATGGCCGACCGAGATAACTCTTGAACGAACCCTGAACTGGTCTAAGATCAGAAGCAGCCGTTACACGTGAGTTATGGATAATTATGCCTGTGTTTTCATTTGGATCTGTTCTTGCTTGAGCTGTGACAGTGTTTTTTTGGCCACTCATTGGTTTTCTAACGTAAATGTTACAGTTTTGAAAAACGACAACAGCGTTGCCAAAAATGAAGTCTACTGTACCGTATATGTCACAGTCGCGATAGAATTGTCGTTGAGAGTATACATACAAGGTGTCTTGATATCCCTTGAAGCTGCAACTGTAGAAAACTGAGAAATCGGAACCTGACCGGAGAGCCACCGCTTGGTGTTTTTGTGGGCCAGCTGTGTTCTCGAATGTTATATCTTTTGCAATAAATCCCTCGCCGGAGACAGCTGCATAGATCATCGACACATATATAAACATGTCTGTGTGAGTAATTATTATATAACTTGGTAATTAATTAAGAAATCTTGGGGGGTGTGAAAGAAGAAAAAATAATTCAATATTGTTCATGGGAATAATTGACTTAGATTGAATTAAGTAATCCTTAATGATGTGGTAATTAATATGTGTAATAGTATTGTGATTGACTGAGATATCCATGTCCTCTTCTATTGTAGGGTTTTGAGTGAGACCCGTAAAAAAGAATATGTGCACTTCCTCTAAATTTAAGTCGGTGACTATATGTCTTAACAAATAAGGAGCTTTTTTAATCTATTCATTTTTTTTAAAATATTTACAAGCGTATGCAAATCTTATCCATGTCTTTATATATATTACATATGCATGTCTATGTCCGAAAGAAATTAGTTTTAAATTAATTATAAGATTGAAAAAAAAAAATTAACTTACCAAAAGTGGCAGAACGAAAAGTAGTAGAGCCATCTTGATTATTCTTGTTACCAGTAACAATGGTAGCATCAATCCCATCTCCAATTAACATTAAGTTGTTCATTGAGTTCTTGATCTCCACATACTCTTTATAAACACCCTTCTTCACGTATATAACGAATCTCTTATTTCCACTCCTTCTCGTAGCCGATGCGGCCACAGCTTCTCCGATGGTTTTATAATTACCTGATCCATCTTGTGCTACCACAATATCAGCTTCAGGGGATGACTGGAGAAGTTTCCGGTCAGTCACCGAAACCCACCAAGGGAATTCATCATCATGCAATAATTTCCTGCCACCGCCACCGCTACTGCCAGGGTGAACTGTTTTACTGTTATATAAGGGAGATATATAATAGTTTTCCTTATTAATAGCAAGTGAATTGCTAAGTAACTTTGAGAAGTTACTTAACATATCTGGCAACAATAAAGACTCTAAATAATTAGAAGTTAAATTGAATTCAGTAAACCCATTTTGGCATGTTTGGAGATTGGTATTTGCTGCACTTAACCAAGTTTGAGAGTCTACTGGATTATTATTATTACTACTAGAAACGAATAATGATCTGTTGAGGTGATCTATTGTATCCTCATAAAGCTCTACACAGTCTGCCCTTGCCAATTTAGCTTTTTCATCAAATGAATCATTCATTTCCAAAGATAAGATCATTTGATGAGCTTTAATGGCATGGTTCATAGTCACTAGAAGGGATTGATCGCGAAATGTGAACGGTGTTTGATCTTTTTCAGTTTCTAGGATATTCGTGTTCATGAAATGGTTACATATTTCAGGATATGGGGTTTGGCTACATGAAGCTATCGTGGCACCGTCGATAAACCCTAATGAATAAAATAAAAAAGAAAGGTAGAAAATGGCTTGAACAATCTTATTCTTATCCATGGAGGAAAAGAAACTACAAAGGCTTGTTAGAGAATGGAATTTCAGTTTCTTTCTAGTTTGAAATCATAGAGAGAGGGTTGTGTATTTATAGGCCACAAATTGGAAGGTATAGATTTTGTGAGTTGGTAGAATTATAATACAGACGTATATTTATTTGAACGCCTTATAATTAGGGTTTTTGCTTTTCTTTTTCTTTTTCTTTTTTCCTTTCGTTTTTTCTCAAAAACGTGTTGGGGTTGGGGCCATGCCCGATGCTTACGTGAAAAAAGAATCTTCTAGATTTGATCCTTGTTGTACTCCTAAAAAGTATTTTGAATTAGTCACAAAAATTGTCTAAGTCAATAAATAGTTCTGCTTCCATTTTATAAAGTTAGAATTTAATTTTTGAGATTTTTTTTTAATTTATAAATTTCTTTACTCAGATTTATGAACAATAATCCCAACTAAACCTTAATATTAAATTAGTAGAACCCGTTATTCCATATTCAGAGATATCATCTCATAATTAAACATGTTGAAAGTTTTTATTTAAATATTATTCTTAATCTGAATATGAAAATATATTATGCATAAACCTTATAATTAAATTTCAAAATATTATTCAACAATTAGATTCTGCTTAAAATTTCAACATAAAATACTAAGATTCATATTAAATACTTTTTAAAAACTAATAATTATGATAATATGAAACAATCCTTGATATATTAATAACAATTAATTACTAATTATCTTTTAATAATCAAATAGAATGACGTTGTTGTTGGGTTTAACCGAAGAGTAAAGGAGAAGTAAATGGCTATTTTCTTTTTGTTTTATTAAAGGATGCTTGCGGGTTTATTACGTCATTTAATTAATTAATTAATGGCATTTTCACAGTTTTCTTTATTAAGGAAAATGGGAAAAAAAATACAAAAAATATCGTACAAATTGACTTATTTTAACTTTCCAAGTCGTCTGAATATTCTGTACAAAAGTCTTGACTTTTGAATAGTAGTCAGCTATAAAAGTAATCATTTCAAGTGGCTGAAAGTTAACTACCCGTACTTTGACTTAATCGAGCTAACAATCATTATTATCAATGATAATTATCATCACCCTGCTTTCTCTTATTACTGATCCAAAATTAAATCTTTTTAAATAAAAAGAATTTACAAGAAAAAAAATAAATAATAAAATTTATATCTTTTAGTGTGGAAGATTTTATGACCTAAAATCACATGTATCAGTGTTACTGATTGCATTAATTGGGAGTAGATGAAACTTGTTAAAATCTAAATTAGTTAAGCTATTATATATATATATATATATATGCAACTTTCCAAGTGGAAAGGAAATGAAAGGAAAGCAAAGGAAAGGAAATTACTCGTGAAAGATTTAGCCCATTGATTATGAAAGGATTTGCCCTTTTCGTAAGTTTAGGTGTAGAAAAGAAAAGCAATGGCCTTGATCATCTTTCTCCAACCCTTAATTCTGTATTACAAAGCCACGTTGCTTTATCTCAACAATTAAGGCAAACCCCACCCATTTCCTCACAAGTGTAAGGTACTAATTAAGGTAATCAGCTTATATTATATACACACATGTATGCACATTAATTCGATAATAAATTTTTTTATTTACTAAAGTTTTATTTTTTGAAATTTGATTAAAAAAAAATTGCTCATCTATAAAATTTAACTAATTTGATAATTTGATGTGATGGAATTGATTGCGATATAATATGTAGAGATTAAAATATATTACAAACTTTATCATTAAATCAAAAAATTTAAAATTTTATCATTAAATAAAAAAATTTGTTGCAATTAACTAATTGCCTTTTAATTTTTCCCTTTATGTTTTTACATCCTTCAAAAGTACCTTTGTGGCCTCATATATGTATACGGGTAATATGTAACCTACTTATCAGGTTTTCCCTGTATAATATACAACACAAAAGCTAAAAAGAGAGTGGCAGGGAGTACCAACAATGTTACTAAATAATGCATTATTTCCTACTTGAAAATGATCAAGCTTGCTGGAAACCTAATTGACATTTATTTTGAGGGGACGTTTTCCTAATAGACTTTAATTAATGGTAGATTTAACGGCGGCACACCAAGGCATAGCCTAGTGACAAGTGTATATATAGTCTGACAATAGATCCAGATTCGAATCCTCTCTTCTAATACTCAAAAAAAAAAAAAAATGGTAGATTGAATGGTACCTTTGTGGCCTCATATATGTATACGGGTAATATGTAACCTACTTATCAGGTTTTCCCTGTATAATATACAACACAAAAGCTAAAAAGAGAGTGGCAGGGAGTACCAACAATGTTACTAAATAATGCATTATTTCCTACTTGAAAATGATCAAGCTTGCTGGAAACCTAATTGACATTTATTTTGAGGGGACGTTTTCCTAATAGACTTTAATTAATGGTAGATTTAACGGCGGCACACCAAGGCATAGCCTAGTGACAAGTGTATATATAGTCTGACAATAGATCCAGATTCGAATCCTCTCTTCTAATACTCAAAAAAAAAAAAAAATGGTAGATTGAATGGTCAGCAATATTAAACAATTCAGCAAGAAATTAAATCAGTTTAGTAGTAGATGTTGCAGTTATGTGTACACAATTGTTTATGATTGGGATGAAAGTAACATGACTAATTTTGTAAGAGATTCCATGGCTTGCTTGGACCTTACCACGTATTTTTGTTTCTTTCCATTTTGAATATTTTATTTAAGTTGCAAATCATGTGTTAGCATAAATATATATATATTTTTTTAATTTATTAAGAGGTTTAATGGACCGTAATAACATTATATGATATACAATATGAATAGTCCTCCCCTTAGCTCAATAATTAATACTAAAAGTTGATTAATAATTGTTTTTAGAAACTAATTACACTAATTGTTTTCGTACCTATCATAATCAAGTATATCAACTATCATCGTATATTCTTCAAATGGCAGGGGACCTTATTGTCAATATATTTTCTATATTATGTATTGTTATAGTCTATTTTTCATAAATGGAAATGATTTTTGGATCTTAAAAGAAGTTTCAAATTTGTTTAAGCTTCTAATATTAAATATTTACAAAGATTTTATTTTTTTTGTGGAGAAAGAAAAAATAAACATTGTCTACTTGCATTAAAAAGTATGTGGACCACTCATAGCTTGTGTTGTTGTTTTCCTTTCCTTAATGGCAGAAAGTTTAAGACAAAAATTTGTCTGAAACGAAGTTTAACTGTGTGACTGTTTTGTTTCGAAATATAAGATGTTTTGACTATATTTGAAAGAGTAATAAATAATATATTTTTTTAAAAATTTTATCTTATTTATATTAAATATATCTTATTTATATATATATAATAATTATTTTTATAAATTATATTAGTTTTGAAATAAAAAATAATTTAATTAAATTATTTTTAATTTTTATTATAATTTAAAAAAATTAATTATTTTCTTAATTTTTGTCAAAAATTTTAAATTGGTTACAGTTGGGATGACAGGAAAAGAAGATTATCATAAGATAGATAGCTGGACCTTATAATAATCTATATGATGTGATATTAATTTTAGACTTGTACCTAAAGCTTAATTAGCTTAGAAGCTAGAGTCTTGACTACAGTACGTGTGGATAAGAGGATATGACTTTCCACAATTTTTTCTTTAAAAAAAAAAAAAAAAAAAAAAAAAAAAAAAAAAAAAAAATCAAGATCACATCACCTCCATTTGTTTGATTGCTCAATAAACTCTTACGTTTATGTAAATTAAATAAATATTAAATCAGTCCACACAGAACGTATAGTAAAATTAATTATAATTATAGTCACACAATTAATCAAGTTGACGTTAATTTACATGAATTTAATATCAATTATAAGGGATTCACGTCCAAAATCAAAATTATTACTTCCAATCCATAATTAAGGTGATTGCACATAAAGTAGATTTTGTGCTTAAGCAATTAATTAATTAATTAATTAATTAATTAATTATATGTTGCAGCATCTAATTAATGTAATTATTCTATTTAAGAATAATGCTCAATTTACCCTCTTGAATTTAAAGTTAATACTGAAATATATAATTTGTCTAAAATCTATATAATTGTAACTTCAACTTTGCATCAAATAATCAAAAATTTCAATTTTATTTTTAAAAATAAAATGAAACGAAAAATTTAATATGTTTAACTAATAAAATTTATCAGTTAAAATATTAAATAGTTTTTGTTAATCCAAAACATTAAAATTATTTTATTTTATTTTATCATTTTGATCATTTGGTGCAAAATTAATATGATAATTATATAAAAAGTTGTCATTTTTGGATAAATTATATATTACCTTACGACACAAAATAAGCATTATTTCTTCTATGCACGGTATGGTTTGGTGGCTTGAAGCAATATGATTTGTTATTGTTATCAGAGGTTTTTTTTTTTTTTTTTTCTTTTTTTCAAATTATTGTATTTTTGTCGCTTAATGTGTGTATGTTTTTGATTCCTTAGAAAGCTCCTTTGACAAGTCTATATATATAAGAAGAATATAATTAGAAAGCTCCTTTGACAAGTCTATATATATAAAAAGAATATAATTAAAATTCGTAAATTATAGTATTTAGTTTAAGTTATAGCATAGTCAAGATTCGACTCTCAAGCATCTCCAATTTCCTATCGATAGCCATGTAACTTATCTATCGTTTGCTTTCATCTTTTAAAAACCAAAAAGATTATGGCGTATGAGTAACTATTCAACCTGTTGGGGATTGAGTTCCGCATAATAAAATAACTAAAAAAAGCTTATTTTTTAAAAAATTCTTAAATTCCTTGTTTGATATTTAACATAAATAATTTATTTTTGAATGTTTAACTAAGAGAGAAAAAAAAAAAGTCATGACTAGATGAAGGTACCTCAAGTCTTCCATACCATTCCAATCTTATTTTGTCTATGGAATAATACAGATAATGTCAATATTAATAATGTATTTCTTTTTCCATTAAGGCTTTAATAGTGATGGGCCTGTATATATCCCCCCAATAGAAAATGATGGGCCATATGTATGTGTATGGATAGGTTCCTTAAGTGTCTATCTGCTCAGTGCTTTGCTATTTCACAAAATTGACAATTTGTTTCATATAATTATATTTATATGACATCCAAAAATCCTTACACATCTGTAGAATTTTTTATTTGAAATCACAAACTAATAGCCACGTGGACTTTATTTTAATTATATTTATATGACATCCAAAAATCCTTACACATCTGTAGAATTTTTATTTGAAATCACAAACTAATAGCCACGTGGACTTTATTTTATTTTTTCTACACATACATATTTTCACATTCAGACTTAATATTCTAATAAAATTATACTCAAAAAAGTTACATTTTCTGAACTTAATACACAAAAAAAGTTTTGTGTTAGGAAAAAACAAATTTGGCGTCGCCCGGATTCGAACCGGAGACCTTCAGTGTGTTAGACTGACGTGATAACCAACTACACCACGACACCATTGTTGCCCTTCTTTCACTTGCGATTCTAGTTATTGACTTTGTGAATCCCTTCCCGTAGCGAATGACCCCAGTTTGGTTTCGGAGAAAACTAAGGCGAAAGAAATTCACTTTGCTTCTAAACATTTCCAACGTTCAAAGATGAAGCTTGTTGATTCCAAGCTGCGGTTCAGTTGAGCTTCAAGTTTCCTTCTTCTGGAAATGAATATTTGAGAATTTAAGGTTTGGATTTTCTTAATTTTGATATTCTAACTTTTCTCAGCAACGAAGCACAGTTTTGGAGAAATTTTTTTGCATGCTCTGCTTTCCCGTTCCCATATGTAAAAAAAGGTTCTCTTCTTCTTCTTTTTTTTTTTTTTTTTTTTTTTTTTTTCTTTTTTTTTTTTTTTTTTTTTTTTTTTTTTTTGAAGAATTTTCTCTTCTTATTTATAGATGTCATTTTCCATCGGATGACCACCGATAGTTGTAATTTCTACCTTGAAAAGCGTAGCCGTCCAATGCACATCTCTTGCAATTTTCTTCTTGTTTTAATTTCTATTTTAATTCTGGAAGTTCATTTTGGCATGTATTGCAGAGAGAGAGAGAGAGAGGGAATTAAGGGAAAAAAAAGGAATAAATTGAATGTTTTTTTCCCTAATTAAAAGTCAAGGTATTTTTGTTCATTAGCCCAAGCTAAAATATTGTTTTAATCTTTGCTCTTTGCTTCCAATATCTGGTTGCTTGCCGGAATTTGAATCTGGACCATTGCTATTGATAAAGCTAGGATATTCTTGAAGTTGTTCGTAAGCAACAATGCAGTTAATTATTTGGGGCTTTGCCCGCGGCAGTGATGTGAGGTTGATATTTTCATGCCTAATCAAGGCAACTTATTTTACTAGGGATTGCTTGGATGTTTCTACTTTCTAGTATGACTATTTTCAGTTCAATACAAATAATAAAATTTTTCAATACAAATAATAAAATTTTTGTATGAATTTAACAACTTTCTTTAAATTTCTGTTATTATTTTGCTTTTAATTTCGGGAAGTGATTCCTTTTTTAGTGAAATGTAGCATTTTTGGCTTGTTTTGTGGCCATAAATTGCAGTTGGTAAAAAAAAAAAAAAAAAAAAGGAAAGTGATCTCCTTTTCTCTAGTGAACATGTAAGGCACTTTTTTGTGCTTTGTTTTGTGGCCATATTAATTGCAGTATGGTTTAAAAAAAAAAAAAAAAAAAGAGCTTCTTTGAACTTGTAGCTAAATTAGTGAATGGTAATTTTGTTTTATGTCTTCTGAGAAATAACTTTGAAAATTGAGTCCGCATACAACTTAGTTTCAAGCCTCTAATATTTTATAAATTTCTTTTGCAATCCTAAACTACTTAGCACCTGGTTCTGCTATGTTAAATGGATTTTGAAATGAAATTTAGTCTTTTGGTCATTGTTACATCACTCAATATGTATTTTTTGTAACTTGAGTTAGATTAAAATAGTTAATCATGCAACTATTCAGTGAAAACTAGAAGAAAGACCACAGTGCAATAGAGAGAGTGGTGATAATTTGTTTTTATATATATATTTTGTGAAGTTGGAACCAAATACTCAATCCCAAGGTATATCTTTCTACATTACCAATCAAACAAATAAAAAAATATACATAATGTTAATTCAATATCAGCCATTTGAAAACTTCTTCTTTTCCAGGGCAATCCCACACCAACATACGCACTCTTAAATTCTAATACATCTCTTTCACAAGTCAAAATAGCAATATCCTCTAGACTTCCTTCCTCTTAGCTTCTTATCATCTTCTGGTGCATTCTCGCTCCATTCCTTACGACACTTTCCTCTCTCCTGGAAAGACCACTAAACTTGCCCTCTCCTCAATAAACTCCCTCAAAACAAAATACACATCACCTCAAACCACCTAACCATCACAACCGTTTTTTTTATTGGCCACAAATAGTGCTCTGCAATTGATTATGATCAGTTAATATTGTGTTGGGATATTTTAGTTGTCCTTTTATTTTTTGTTTTCGAAAAAAAAAAAAAAAAAAAAAAGAGCTTCTTTGAACTTGTAGCTAATAGTGAAGGTTTGTTTTGTCTCTGAATTGAAAATGAGCGCAAAACTTAGTTTCAGCCCTCAAATTTAATTTCTTTTTGCAATCCTCTACTTGCACTGTTCTGCTATGTATGGATTGAATGAATTAGCTTTTGGTATTGTTACAACTCAAATGTATTTTTGTAATTGTAGATTAATGTTCAATGCACTTCGGAAACTAGAAGAAAGACCAGTGCAATGAGAGTGTGATATGTTTTATATATAATTTGTGAAGTTGAACCCAATCCAATCCAAGGTATCTTTCACATTACCAAAAAAAATAAAAAAATAAAAATGACAAATAGCATGAAAACATCTCCAGGCAATCCACCCAACAACCACCAAATTCTCATCCTCAAGTATGCAATATCCTCTAGACTCCTTCTCTTAGCTCTTATCATCTTCTGGTGCATTCTTGTCCATCCTTACGACACTTCCTCTCCCCTGAACCCTACTTGCCTCTCCTCAAACTCCCTCAACCATCACCACCACCATCACAACGTTTTATGGCCACAAATAGGCTCTGCAATTGAAGACAGTATTGTGTGGGATAGTGTCTATTTTGTTCGAATTGCTGAATGTGGTTATGAGTATGAGCAGTCCTACGCCTTCTTGCCTCTGCTTCCCATTTGTATTCTCATTTTGTCCCATACAGGTTCCTTTTTCTCCCAAGATTTCTATGCCTCTTGTATCACAAGTTCAATTGCTTGTTATTGTTTTTTGATTGTGAAATTTATTATTTCAGTTTTCGCACCAATGGTTCCTCTCATTGGACTCAGGGCTGTATTGGCATTGGCTGGATATGTAGTTAATAATGTTGCATTTGTGCTTGCAGCAGTTTATCTTTACCGGTAAGATGTTGATTCATTCTTGTTGCAGCTTTTAGAACTTATATGTATGTACAGTGCAGTGGATGCTTAATCAATAACCTAAATTATAAGAAAGTTAACTATGAATTATTCATTTGGTGTGCAACAGTAAGAATCCTAAACAATTTTTGGTCTCAACATTGCAAAGGATTAACAAATTTTCTTGACAAATAGGATGAGAATTTTCATAATTTGTTTTCAGTGTTTCCTGCCATAAATATGGTTGGCCTTGCCATTTTCAATTTTCCATGGTTTTAGATTTTATTAGATTGATAAACAATACCGATACCTATATAGATTATAATAATTCCTCAAATAAAAGAATTCAATTACTTCAATTCTCTAGTCTGTGAAATCGCTATGCTCACGCTTCTCTTAGTGCAGAATTGCTTATTGTTGTTCTTGCCTTTGTTGATCATACAGGCTTTCAGTAATTATTTTGAAGGACCCAGAAGCAGCACTAAAGGCTTCAATTTTATTTTGCTTCAATCCAGCTTCCATATTTTATTCATCAATGTAATTTTCATTCGTCCATTAATTGCAAAAGCATTTCTAAAATTGAATTAGGCTGAGTGGGCTATCTGTTTCTGTGGTTGCAGATATTCAGAGAGTTTATATTCCCTATTTTCGCTGGGGGGGTTGTACCACTTACTATCTGGTGCAAAGAATATTGCTGTTCTTTGGTTTGCTCTCTCTGGTTGTGCAAGGTCTAATGGGGTGCTTAATGCTGGTTATTTCTGTTTTCAGACTATGAATCAAGTTTATCATGATATCTTCCTGAAAAAACGTCCTCTTGTAAATTTCTGTTTTCCTTCATTGAAGTGTTAATTTATGTTCAACTGGTTCTGTTTGTTTATATGGCAAAATATCGGTTGATTAAGTCTTTATCTTTAGCATATGATACGTATCATGTTCTATGTACAATGCAGTTATAAATCACTTAAACACTACTTTTTCACGTTTTGCATATATCACTTGTTTGTTAAATTTTCATTTTTCTTGTTGTTTGCAAATATAGTGCTTGCAAATATTATGTTGAATATGCATTGATACATATGCTAAGATGATATCCATAGTAATTTCTTGTTTTTATGGTAGTTGGCAGTGAAGGATATTGTCATTGGAGCATTGCGTTGTGCTTGTATTTTCCTTCCATTTATTACTTTTCAAGCATATGGCTACTACAATATTTGTCATGGACGTTTCCTGGACGAGACAAGGCCTTGGTGCAAATCCAAAATTCCTTTATTATACAATTATATTCAAAGTCACTATTGGTATGTTCATCTTGCAATATGTATGATCGTTTCCTATCCCTATATTTGCCTTGTCTTTTATAGCCATACTAACGTCTTTGTAACTTGCTAAAATCAAGTGCACTAGATTTATTTTGGTACCTTACCTTCAGCAACTTGAATGATTTTGAATTCCTAATGAATCTAGCCTTTTTTTTAATAATGTTATGATGATTTTGTTAATATTCAGAAGATTTATGCTTGAGTTGTTTTATCCATTTATTGTTGTTGATTTTCCATTTCTGGTTTTAGTGTTTTAGGATTTTATTTACTTAATTTTGCAATTTGTGCATGGTATGCCTGTGGTTCAGTGGCTCATTAATATTTTCGAATCCATTTGCTATTTTTACATTAATGGGCTCTTTTATCCCAGGGGGGTAGGTTTCTTGAGATATTTTCAGTTGAAACAGTTGCCAAACTTTCTGCTAGCTTCCCCTATATTGTCTCTGTCATTTTTCTCCATTCTCCATTATGTGAGGTCCCAACCTGAGATTTTTTTCTCACTGGGTTTTCGAGCTCCTACCGGGGAAAAGAGTTCTACAGCTCCATTTTCTTCTCAGGATACAACTCCAATAACAAACATTACCAAGTCAAAGGAGGAACTGTCTACTAAAGTACAAGGTACAAACTGAAACTTGTAAATGATTGTTTGATCAAGCTTAAACATATTTATTCATGTAACAATAAATGCAAAAGTTCCTGTTAAAAAACAAGGGTATTTGGATTACTACAATTTTTGGGGATAGTTATATTGACATAATAGTCATTGATCAATCAAAATTCATGATTTCCACTTACATGTTTAGGTGCATGTATGTATATATGCTTGCTTGGTCTTTGCATGCATATGTGCATAGATAGGTTATCAATATTGAATTCAATTTTGTGATTGTATCCATGTTATCCTGTGCATTGTCTTCCTGATGAAATTATCATGGTGTTTGTGGATTAATTTAAATGTTCATATATACATCAATTTCCAAAAAATTATTGTGCTTCTTACAGAAAATCAAAATCTTAGACAAAGGAGCCAATCAAGCAAAGGGGACGATAATCCTACCCTCCCTGAACATGATTTATTACAAAAGCCAGGATGCTTCCATATGTTTATCATCCCATGTATCTTGCACTTGGGATTCATGGCAGCCACAGCATTTCTTGTCATGCATGTTCAGGTTAGACTCATATTTATTTGTCATTGGAATAATATTTCTCAACATGTGGAACAATAACAAATTACCTAATTGAAAAGCATTAAAATTTTAGCATTATCGGAATTTTGTTACTAGTTTCAGTTTGAGGTCTTTTGTAGGTAAAGATAGTTAAGGACTATTGATTCAAGTTATCCATCAATCATGCTGTTATAAATCTACTGGCATTGGGAGCTTATGCTAGTTTATTTCAAAGCTACTAAAGCAAGGATTAAACTTCTGGAAATTAATTTAGTCTTTGCTTGCCATGCCTTTTATTGGCGAAACATGTACAAATTTTTCACTTCATTTAATTTTAATTATTCTTGATAATTTACAGGTTGCTACACGTTTCTTGTCTGCCAGTCCACCACTCTATTGGTTTGCATCATGTATCACAACGTCTCAAGGTTCTGGCAAGAAATGGGGGTACATGATATGGGCATATTCTACAGCTTACATCCTTGTCGGTAGTTTGCTATTTTCAAACTTCTACCCTTTCACTTGAGCAAGAAGAGAGTTAGTTTCTCCCGGTTCTTTGACACACCATCTATAGAGCGAATTGATTATGTGGGTAAAAGCAACGGAAGCACAGCTACAATGCTTTCTAGTTGGATAGAGATGACTGTAACCTTGCTAGTAGACTGGGGTGAAGTACATAATTTACTAAATAGAACATTTTTTTTTTACCAAATGCGCGAAGCATCCTGCTATTAGTGGGCTCTGGCTAGAACAGCTTACATTAGAAATTTAGTTGCATTATAAATTATTGTATTCTTGTCAACCATCTTTATGCCAATTTTTCAGATTACAGTACTTTTCTTCATTTCACTTTCACACTAGTTTATAACTCTAATATACCTTTTGGCTTTACGCTCTTCCAAAGTGCATTTTTTGGAATCAAACTTTGTTTTCATCCTTAAATGGATTGAAATTTTTATTAGTAGCAGTGAAAAGGTCAAATTTTGTTTGACGTGTAAGTATGATTTGAGGCAGAAGAGAACAACAATTTGAGGCAGAAGGGAACAACAAAATCCCAAACCATTGCAATATTTGTCGCAGATTAACTACCCTGGGACCCAGCCAGAAATATAAAATTTGGAATAAAATAAAATTAAAAAGGGTTGCATTGCAGCTCGTGAACCCTAAGGTTCTGGAATATTAGGCATCGAATAGAAGTCTCACATGTCTTCTTCCTCCAGTGGCTAGCCATATATTTGGAACTTCTTCCTCTTCTTCCAGACTTTTCATTTCACGGGCTTGCATAAATCCAAAACTACTTATAGCCAACAAAATTTCTTGCCCAACCAACGCATATGGCTCTCATTTCACATGAGCAAGCCACAGAAAAATACATTCTTTTTATTATATGTATTCGCCAGCTAAACGCATGAATAATATTTGCTTTGCATATTTTATATCTAACCGTACGTATAATGAGATTATATTCTACTGCCTAAAGGACAAAACTCGTATTCTCCTACCATGAATTTTGACCGGTATATATTGCTATCGCACTCACTGTTAACCAGGCCATTATTGATAATACCACTCAATTATTGATAATTGCACTGCAAAATCAAAATGGTTAGGCTCTTTTCTATTTTTAGTGAGTCTGTCTATCATAATTAACCACAATTCTTATGGTTATTGCATGCCTTCTCCAACCTTTTTCTATCCATAATTAACTCTAATCGCCATACATTTATACACATTTCTTTATTTTATATTATACTCTTTGTCCAAAATTATGTGTCGCTTTGATAAAAATTAAAGAATATTAATTAATTTTTTTCAATTTTATTCTTCTATCTATATATACTAAAAAAAATAATTATTGTCTACAATTTTTTAAAATACATCTTTTCTTATTGCCTCTCTCTTTCTATCTCTTAATTTTAGTGGTTGATCAATAGATAGAAGAATTATTGAGATTGGCCCTATTAATCTCACCTTCACATAATTGTGACTCCTACTTTGATGAACTCAAATAATTTGAAATTGATTGACAGACACTAAAAAAGTTTATTCCATTGCTCATAATATGGAGCCACAATTCATAATCAGAGACAATATATAACGGAATTAGGGATGGTTAGCAGTGGCCATTGCAGCCTAGATTTGAAATTTTATTAAAATTTACTTCTATAAAATTATAGAAAATTTTATACTTTACAGTAAATTTTTTTTTTTTTAATTTTCGTCCTCCTAAATTGGTTCCAGTGCGGGCTAGAGGGCTAAAGCAAAGTTTTTGAAATAGGAGGAAGTAGAACTTAATATAATACCATTTTTAAGTACTTAATGCAAACAATCCAATACAGGTCAATTTATTTAAATATTTTTGAATAAATTATTTAATAAATTCTAATTCAGTCTTATTAAACTTCACTTCAATATCATAACTTCAATCCTACTTGAAGCTAAATTAAATTAAAAATATAATGGGGGGCATGTTAGGGAATTTTAAAAAGTTAATCAGAAAGTCTACGGACGTTAACTCTGAGTTTAAAGTCATCAAATTCTGTTACAACTCCTTTCAACTGAAAACGCAAAAAAAAAAAAAAAAAAAAAAAAAAAAAAAAATTATTTTTATTAAAATATTTACTTCTTATAAAAATTATAGAAAATATTTTGGCCTAATACTTTACAGCTCTAAATTTTTTTTTTTTTTTAAATTTTCGTTCCTCCTAAATTTGGCTCTCCAAGTGCGGGCTACGAGGGCTAAGCAACAGTTTTCTCTTGAAATAGGAGGATAGTAGAACTTTCCAAATACTAATACGCAATTTTTAAGTAAGCTTAATGCCAAACCAATCCAATACAGGTCAAATTTATTTAATATATTTTTGAATAAACTTATTCTTACACTAAATTCTAATTCCAGCTCCTTATTCAAACTCTCACTTCCAATATCATACACTCTCAATACCTACTTGAAGCCTAAACTTAACATTAAAATAATATAATGCGGGGGCAGTGTATTAGGGAATTGTTAAAAAGTTAATCAGAAAGTTTACTACGGGACGTTAGACTCGTGAAGTTTTAGAAGTCATCAATTGTGTTACTTATTACTCCTTATCACACTAGAGAGAAAACAGCAAAAAAAAGAGGAAAAAAAAAAAATAAATAAACAAACACAACATATGCACTGAAAACCATCTCAGCCCTGAAACCTGCATAGTAATTCCCCTGAATACTGTACCTTGGCCTGAAAAAACCTTGTAGTCAAGGTCTGAGTCATACTATTCTGTTATGAAAAATTTATTTGCGCGCCACAAGCAACACAGATGTGCCATAAATCTAAGAGAATGATAAAAAAAGAAAAGAAACATAACTCTCTCTCTTTTTTCTCTTATAACTTATAACAGAAAGTGAAAGGAAGAAGAAACACATTGACCGGGACAGTAGAAAACACACTTGCAGAAATTCCTGATTTATGGGAATACAAAATGCTCATATATAATACACTAAACACCACCTCCACTTTTATAAAACAGTACAACCACGCCCAAATTAACACAATTCTCTATGAAAAAAAAAAAAAAAAAAAAAAAAAAAAAAAAAACAACAACAACAATGCACTGAAAACCATCCAGCCTGAAACCTGCAAGAATTCCCTGAATACTGTACCTTGGCCTGAAACTTGTAAGGTCAAGGTTCTGAAGTTACTATTGTTAGAAAAATTTCATTTGGGCACAGAAACAGATGTGCCAAACAGAGAGAAAAAAAAAAAGAAAAGAAAACAACTCCCTCCTTTTTCTTATAACTTATAACAGAAAGGAAAGAAAGAAGAAACTGACGCACAGTAGAAAACAACTGCAAAATCGATTAGAGAAACAAAAAGCTCATATATAAACACAAACACTCACTTTAACAGTCAACACCAAATTAAACATCTCTATGATTACCTTTAATTCCTACTATATACATCAAGGCAATCCTTTAGCTGCATAACTGTTAACCAAAGCAAGCGCATTACTCGTAAACTTCTTCACATCCGCCGCACGATCACACACCTCCGATTTCAGCGGCCCGTCCGCCACATCGTCAAATCCGTCCGTGCACGTCTCCTCGTCCGTTAACGCCGCGCTCATCCACGTCTGCACGTTGCTCATTTGGAATCGGAATGCCTCATCAGAAGAGCCTGCAGCTCCTAGCTGCCGCATCTGTTTAAGCGAACCACGGATCTCTTCTACAGCGTCGCCGAAATTGGACAAGCAGTCGTGGAGTGCGGCGGCTGCGCGGTGGTCGGAGCCGTAGTCGGCTTGGCGGGAGAGGTTGGAAACGAAGGAGGACATGTGCCGGGCTCTCGATAGGCTAACGCCTATTGCGACGCGAGCTAGGCGGCCGGGGCTTTGCTGGACTGCGCTGGAGTAACGGGAGAGAGAAGAGTAGCAGACTTCAGGATACAATGTTGCGCCGCAGCTTGTACGGATGTAATCTGCGCTGTTGGATCGGTCGTCTAGAGAAGCGACGGTGAGGACTAATTGGAGGTGGAAGGTGGCGAAGAAGATTGAGAAGAGTAGAGGCCGTTGCGTTTTTGCATTCATTTTGCTGGTCTTTTGCTGTCGTTTTTGCCTCTCTGGGATTTGGTGTGGGAGACAGGCTGATGTCTATTTAAGCGCTTGATTAGGCTCGGTTTGCTGCCATGCAATTACTCATATACCCTTTCCTTTAATTAGATTTTAACTATAAAAATTGTTAGTGGAGGCTTGTAAACTCCGACATGGGGAATATGGATGGACCCTTCCAATCTCTTCTTGCCTTGTTATTATTATTTTTTTTTTTCAAAAAGAAGATTAAGATTTTTTTTTTATTTATTTATACATGGGATAAATGTGTTGTTGTTCAAGCGATTCTAATGAGGTACTCTCCACTTTTTTTTTATTGAAGTTCTTTCTAAAAAATATTTTTAAATAATTTAAATATTGATAAATTATTTTTAAAGAAAAAAAAATGAAAACACAACTAAAACTCCAGCGCACATTCATTTTCCCTAAATTTTTTTAAATCCGTTGCATTTTCCTTTTGAATCCCTTTTAGCTTTCTTTTTCTCTTTTCCCTTTTTGGTCAGTGTTGTATGCTTTATTAAACAAATAATTGTAGGTTTGGCTTTTATTGAAGAAATGGTAGTGATGATTGAGGGCGCTTAATTAATTAATTAATCAACATAATCTCTTTTGCGTGAAATATAAAATGTTAATTGTAGAAGGGCAACATCGTCATGCAAAAAAATGGGCTTTTTAATTTTTTAATTTTTTTTTTTTTTCAGATAGTTCAATTGCACAGGAGTATTTTGGTAATTAAATAATAGGCAATTTTCGAATATTTTAAAGGCAAGAAATCGCCAAAGCAGTGAGAATGAGAGAAAACAAAGGCCTTTAGCTTTTGAAAATGCGGCTGTTGTGTGTACTATAATATAATCGATTAATGCATGTAAGCAACAATGAATACATACCCACTACAATGTATGCGCATTATCTACAGCACATAGATTTTTTGGTATATGAACTTTTTTAAGGTTGTTTGGTTCATGTACGAAATAAATTATTTTTTCCATTTCATAATTTTTATCCTATTTCTTTCATCCATATCAAATTATTTTTTTCATTTCATCTATAGAAATAAATAATATTTAAAATTTATTAATTTTACTCTTATTGAATATACTCTTTTATTAATAAATATAATAGTGAAATTAATATATTAGAATTTAATTAAATCTTGATATAAGACCAAATTAAAATATCAACTTTTAATATTATAAGAAAACTCTATTTTAATCAAATAATTAATTATTATTTCATTAATTTAAATAATAATCAGTACATATAAGTAGTTTAAATTTACATTAAAGACTTTAGAATATTAATAATAACAATACAAATATTAAATCCATAAACTTTTTTTTGAAAGGTAATCTATAAAATGTTATTTAAATTTTTAAAAAATAATATAATAAAATTATACATTCTGCACGTTTAATAATGATTAAGAGAAGTTACGTACAATGACTTTGTTTAGATTAAAAATGACGAGCAAAAATAGGACGGCCAGAAAATAAAGATTTAATTGAAGGAACACCAATTAGAAATTAAATTGGTGTGGTTGGCCGGTTTACAAAGCTTATACATGTCATTAATGGGGCACTAAAATAGCGGGTGAAGCGTATGAACTTCAACTTTGAATATTATAGGCAGTTTGGGTGGTTAGAAAGTGGGGAACTGGGGACCCTTTGCCCTTTTTCCTCCACTACGTAGTGTGAAGTGAAGCGTGCTACTGTTTTTTCAGGTTGGGGTTTAAGCAGATGCAGGTTGGAGGGTCCCATTTCTCTCCATTTTTACTCTTTTTGCTTTGGATTTTCTTTCTTCTTGCTATTCATTTTCTATCTCTGAATTTCAATCCTTCGGGTGTGCTTGTGGGTTGTTGTATTGTATGAGCTTTTTTTTGTTTTTTTGGTGGATTTGCATGCTTTTAATATCAATATCAAGAGATGGTCAAAACTAGTCACTTTTTGGATGATCTTAGGCATATGTACAATTCAAACTTTAATATCTTACATTTTTTACTAATTAAGAATTTTTCATTTACTAAAAAAAAAGATTTTAATATTTAGATGATTTTTTTTTTATATGAATTTCATGTAATATTAAAATCTTAAAATATACATGACATAAGGAACAATATCATGATAATTTTAACAGAACATGTTAACTCATATATTTCATATACGCACACTCCATAAACGATGTAAGATTCTAAAGGACCAACCTCCACGTGCACTAATACTAAAAGATCACAACATATATATAAGTGTACATTTTTTTTAAGAAAACACTTAACACACACATGGAATAGGGAAAATTAAGACACCCCCTATGGCTCTACGTACTCAAAACTATAAGAAATGTAAGCAACGAAACTAAGTATATGCATTTTCTCTTAATTAGTCTTTTTTTCATTCTTCAATATAAATAATCAAACAATCGTTCGTTCAGGAGATTTATAAAGGTAATAGTACTATATATAAACTATTAATGCAGGATATATATAACAAAAAAAAAAAAAAATTCGAGGCAGGAATTGGAGACAACTTCATATTAGCCAACGTATAAAAGCAAAAGCTGAGTTTCAACATTCAGCGGAGAAAAAAGAAAAGCCAAAAGATTGAGAACACGTAAAAAGAGCAACATCAAAGCTGAATTTAGACTTTGAATGTACAGTGAAGAGATAAAAAAAACTACGTACTTGTGATGGTTATCTTTTGACTTCCTTTCGTTAGCACATGAACGAATAAGTGAAAGAAAATTACAGTGCAATTATATGCATGTTTTCGTTGGTAGCTAGCTCTGGAAAGAAAAAACAAACACAAGTAAAAAAGTAGATTCACGTACTCATCGGCGCAATTGACTCCAAAATCCAGGGGCCAGCCATAAACGACAATGATGCATGTAAAGAATTAGGAAACATATAATCTTTGTTCTTTCAAGTAAATCTTTTGGATATATAATTAACTTTCAAGTGGCTGTGATTAAGTTTCCAAAAGGGACAACAGTAAATATACTTACTTCAATCATTGCACCAACAGAAGAAATTTTTTTTGCAATTAAATTTAATTTATCAAGGGGTAATAAATATAAAGACTGCTCATCAATTAGATTTTCATGTCAGGTAGGTAAAGCTGTCTGTTCTTCTTTCTTTATGCAAAGGAAGATTAGATGCCCCCACCACAAAATTAACAAACGAACATCATTATCAAAAGAAAAGAAAGCGATTTCGACTCCGTGAATCAGGGCAAAAATTCATGGGTATGTGTCATTTGAAGATGGGTTGTACAGTGAGCAGGTTTTGAAAATTTAGGGTTTGTTTAGATTTGTTTTGGGGATTTGACTAAACTTTGAATTATGATACAGTTCAGAGAGTTGGATCTCTGGTCTTAAAACCAATTTTAATATCAAAAATTGGCGAACAAAAAAAACGACTCCATTTGGTCTAATGTTACATGTGAATGAAAGAAACGTTTCAAACAGTAATATACACTCCCTATTTGGAGGGATCATGTTCAAATGCTAGGAACATCTATTACACATGTTCCTTTAATTTGATTATCTTTTATGATATTGTAAGCTTTTGAACATACTAATTGTATCCCATATTTTAAAAGTGAATTTTGTATTTTTAGAGTTTTATAACTTTCACTCCACTCAACCAATTACGTAAAATGAGTGTGTAATGTGCATGCCCATGCTTTATGTTGTTCGTCATTGACTAGTCGATACGCTAATTTCTCATTTCAAGCTAACTAGAATGCTAAATTTCCTCGTTAATGAATGAGGAAAAACTTTCCCTGTTGAACACAACCAAGGAAGAAACTTTTCCACTTCAAAAAGAACAGTAAAGATAAGAAAATGAAACAAACAAGGTCAATTGGACTATCCCACTTCCTTCTATGTCCAGTGGGTTCAAGAATCTGGTACTAGGCCCTCCCTTTATCTTTGTGACTGCATTTTTGCGGGCTCCATTTCGCAGCCATAGTTCACACTTTTAAGTAAGCAGAGCCCCTTCTCACTGATTCTTCAAGTCTTGAATGTAAAATAAGCCCAAGAAGGGTCTCATCACTCTGATGAGTAGTTCTTAGCCCAGACTCAAGTTTCTTTTATTGAATTGTAAAGGAATCAAGTGGCTCGTGAATCGCTGGAGACTCAATTCAAAAAACTCATATGATAAGTATAATAGTGTAAGTTCAAGAACTTGTTGAATTAATTAGGAGGCCAAATTTAAATTCGAGTTTGAACCTATAAATGAATCATTTTTTTTCAACTATAGATATTACATTATAATAAGAGAAGCTCAAAGTTGAGTGTTATTTTTATCGAACTGAATTCATTCTTAATAAAACTCGACTCGGCTCACTTCATAGATATATTCTCACCCTCTCTATTGGCCTATATTTGCTATTCGTTATATTTAAAGAATAGCCAAACTATATACATATACACGTACACAATACTATATTGTATTATGATAAATAAAACGTCATCATCTCGTACAATATAGGATACAAAATTATACTGACAAGCGGCAAGTACAGTACAGGGTTGATTCCTCCCAGGAACACAAGGCTCAAGAAATTGCCATCCCCAATAATATTGGGTTTCAGCGCTAAAATGAATTTTAGTTTAGCAATAATATGTTAATTATCTACTCCAATATTGTGATGGTTTGAGTTTTTAAATATATGGATAAGTGCAAGAAATTCATTCATGTACTTAACTTTTAACTTTTAAATATAAAATTATATTTATTAAATACTTTAATTTATAAAGTTAAATCCATTAAATATTTATTTATAGTTAAAAGATATATATATATATATATATGAGATAGAAAATAAATGTAACCAAGCATTAATCAATTGTGGTGCAGAGGTTGGGAACTTATCCCTACACTTACTCTATCTCATTGGTTGCGCAAGGATTGAAGGTCTCAAAAAGAAAATCAATGTGATAAAACACATAAGGGGGGGTGATGGTTCTCACTCACACTTTAAAGGATCATTAATGAATGAAAACTAGAGCAATAATGTAGTTGGTTTTTGCGGGCT